TCTTGCTGTTGTTCTTGCTGTTGTTCTTGCTGTTGTTCTTGCTGTTGTTCTTGCTGTTGTTCTTGCTGTTGTTCTTGCTGTTGTTCTTGCTGTTGTTGATGTTCTTGCCCTTCCTCAAGGCCATCTGCTGCCCACATGAGAGGCCTTCGGTGTTTACTTTAAAGGCGTCTCAGGGGTCCTTTAGTGTTTACATTAAGGGCGCCCTAGGGGTCCTTTAGTGTTTACATTAAAGGCGCCTCAAGGGTCCTTTAGTGTTCACATTAAAGGCGGAGAGTGTTCGGGGATTTTTAATAGTATTTAAATAGAGTATATGATCTTTCATGTTCATCATCATCTAGACCACGAGTACTAATGAACTCCGCGAAAATAATAATCCCCCGCTTCCTTCTCTAACTTCCTACGGTCCCGACGACATCTTCACTGAAAGTGTCTCTCGAGTTGCGCGGTGGGGTCAAATCCAGAGTTCTGACTGGATCTCTCCGACGATTCGGCAGAAGCAGGTCAGAAGTAGAATCCAACAATGGAAAGACTGGGTTGGAAACGGCATGCATGAGAAGGTCTTGGCGGAGATGACCGCAGGTCGTGGGGGCTACAACATGATGATGATGCCCTACAATCGTTACAGTGCTACTCAGGGTGAAGAAGATGACGACGAAGAAGAACCGATTGTGGGAGGTAATGCTCCTGGTACCCTAACGACGCGGCGTGCTTCTACAACCTTTACCACTCCTGAAAGAAGAAGTAGTGATGCGCACATGGCAACTCCAACGAAAATAATACACAACATCCAGAATGAGAATACTAGGAACAATAGTTCGTCTTCCTCAACCTCCCCAACCAAGAAGTTTCTTTCAACTTCCACTTCCCCAAGCAAAAAGCAAGCCATTCAACATCTTGACCATAAGCAAAAACAATGGCGCGAACAACTTTTCGAGAGTGTCTTGCATCTTCCTAAATCCGTCTTCGCTGCAGAATCACAGGCCGATAAGTTGTTCATCAGAGCAGCAAGGCAGCTGAACTGTCCTGAACGCGCAGCTGCGGCATTTGGAGCTAGCCAATTCGTTTTAGGCGGTCCAGGAACCTTGGACTTCTCAAATTGGTATCTAGAGGATGCTGAACTGATCTGCTGTACGGAAGCGGTGAGGCAAATGGCGAGGGAAGAACGAGTAGAAAAACTAGCAGAAGCGGAAGCAGAAGAACGCAAAGTGCTGGCGTTGAGGGATGGCTTGGCGCTCTCTCCGTCGAAAAGAAGCAAGGACACAACTTCAACTTCTGACGCAGTTCCTGTTCCTGCAGCCGCTGAAGGAGTCGTGGAGGACAAAACTACTTCTACTAGCTTAGGCTCAGCCGCTGGTAAAGCTGTAGTAGAGCAGAAACATGATGACTCGACAACGGCGTCATGTGGATCTTCAGTTCGTGAAACGACTACTGATACATCAGAGGAGGCTAGTTGTTCTACGTCATCAACTAGCGGAGGTTTCTTTAGTAGTACCGATTTTGATCAAGTGAAGCATCACAACTTGGTGAAAATGCTATTAGAACAGAAGGTTTCTTCTGGAGGTGCTGCAGGAACAACAGAATCTGCATCTAGTGCGTCGCTACAGCAAGCAACATCACGACAGGATCTGACAGGAGGAGCAGGCCACGCGAACGTGAGTATGATCAGTGAGTTGCTAGAAAGCAGACGCGCGATTCGCAGACTCTATCTCGATGGCAATCGGTTTTCGTGCCAAGCGGCGTTGGATTTCTTACGATTGTGGACACCAGCTGCCCATGCTTCTTCGCATAATACGGCAGACGGCTGCTCGAGCTCATCTGGTGCACCAACATCTTCTTCGACAAAAGCCTCCAATGCGAATGAAGACTCCACCACCAACTACAACTCCACAGCCGCGACCGTATTGTCCCATCTACAAGAGCTGATTATCGGAAACAATCCGCAACTAGGCGACACCTTCGTTCGTGGCCTCGCTCTATCACCTGGCCTGCCGCGTTCACTCAGGCGTCTCGATCTCAGAGGTTTCTCGCGTTGTAGTCCCGGCACTTTCTTGCATTTCTTCCAGCATTTAGAACCGCAATGTCCGTTTTTGATGGATTTGGGACTTTCCGACTGCGGCTTGGGCAGGACTAGTGGCCAAGCAGAGGTTGTGGCTTTGTCCAAGTTGACGCTTCTAAGAAAACTAGACTTGAGCCGCAACTTCCTACTCGAAGACGGTCTCCTCGCTCTTCGCGACTTGGTAGCCAATACACAGAGCCTAGAAGATCTGGATTTGAGCTACAACGTCCAAGCATTTTCAGATGCACGAATAGAAACTGGTAGGGCTACAGGGTTCTTTCCAGGTGACATCGAAGAAGCGCAAGACGAAGATGAGAATCAACTTACTACTATGTGTGCATCAAATCCCTTCAAGAATATGCATACTTTCTCCAACGAATTTGAGCGCCGTTTTGGAGAACAATCAACGCGCCTTGAGGACGTACCGAATGACGACAATGGGACCTCAACGAATGTTGATGGAGATGACGATATTGGCGGAAATGGTGGTACTCCTGAAGGTGGAGATGCGTCTTCTGCTACTGCGGGTAGTGCTAATGGATCAGCAGCTGGCTCATCTTCCTCCCCCACTACAGCGAAGAAGCCACCAGGAAGCTACTCGCATTTGTGTCGGATAGCACCGGAATTCTATGCGCCGTTAGCGCTCTTCTGTGAGGGATTGTCGCAGAATCGTTCACTATTGTCGTTGGATCTAGCTCACTCGGGTGTAGATGCGAAAACAGCGGTAGTGATCGAATGTGCACTCGCGCAAGCGTCTGCTTCAGGAAGTTCAGGTGGTGGGAAAATTATGGCTGGAGCTTTTGTTTCAGCTTCTCACCTGCTAGCTTCAGTCTACTTAATCCAAACCTACTTGTTGAGTTTCATTGGCGGTAGTGTCAAGACAAACTATCAGTATCTTACTCAACTCAACCTGAACCTAAATTACCTCTATCCTCTAACAGCCAAGGCACTAACGACAACGCGCAATCGGGATGCAAGCTAAAGCATCTTTTTCTAGGCGGCTCGCCTCTGGGAGAGTATGGGCTGCAGGCCTTGTTCCGTCTGGTCATTGCTTGTCCTTCGTTACGGTGCGTTGATGTGAGCGATTTCGCTGACCATGGAGGTAGTGTGGTGGGTGCCATCGCTGGGGGATCAAGTAGCTCGTCTTCTTCAGTTAAGAATCAATGAACTACCATAAGGACACGGATACGCCTTCCCTGAACCGAATTTGACCTGTGACATTAGCATTACCTCAAGCATGTACGTCGTAGTCTTCCAAAGTTTCAAAGTGTAAGAGATTGCATCAGACGAGATCGAGATGGATGACGTAATTGCAACTCTTTGGTCTAACTCAAGCGGAAACAATGCCGCAAACTCAGGATCAGGTACCGACCACCAATCTTCTTCAGCCTCCGGCTCTGCTGGCGGCATAATTCCTTTGCTGGAGAGTCTCAACAATTTCGACACCTCTTCCGGCGTCTACGATTTGAATCTCCGGGATCCGTTCGCACGCAGTGTTTTCACCCGCAAACTCGTCAAGCTACTCGAGGCTCCTCCACCACAGAACGGTGGGAGGAAGGTTGGCGGCGTTGCTTTGTCGAAGACGACTACGAGCATTATCCGAGATGTAGACGCTTATAGACCAACTCTGGCGTTGCTCGGTGCGGATGGTGATTCCGGTACTGCAGCGCCTGGTAGTGGAGCTGTAGGTGCTAATGCCAATGGCAGCAAGAACAAAAAAGGCGCAGCAGGAGCTGGAGGAAAAGCTGCTTCGAACCTGCCTAGTCTAGAGAGTCTTGCAGCTGAAATCGAGGTCGCAATGAGACAGGGCACAAGGGACGACTTGCTTTCTTGCCTGAGAAACTACAACAAGGCTTCATCTTCATCAACTAATAGCTCAGTTTCTACCTCCTCGGCCACAGCCGCAGCCGCATCCCCTTTTTCCCTCAACGTCCGCCTCCGAGTAGATTCCTCTGATGCTTTAGAAAAGGTCCTCTTAGCTCGCAACACAGAACCGATGGCGTCCGTTTTGCTAGGTTTTTTCCAGAAGAACCAGAGTAAATCCAGGCTGCTGATCGATCTACTCCAGAAGTTTCTGCGGTTGACGAAACCTATATCTCTGAACTTCAAGCAGTTCACACTTATCAAGGATATGTTCGACCTGTGCTCGTTTTCCGGTTTTGCTCCTTTTCTTCGCGCATTGCAGAAGACGTGTGCGTTGAGGCACTCACAACTTGGCGCTCTGATCCGCTCTGTTTCTCTCGATCGCGTCCCACACCTAGTCGAAGCTTTGCTCCCCTCTCTCTGTTTCCGCAGAGACGCCCATTGTCGAGGGGTGCAATTCGAAAGACTGTTTCTCTCGGCAGACACCGTTCATCGCGTCACCCGTAACATGATACTCCGAAATGTTGGCAATCTCTTCTTCTTCCATCCTTAAGGCTAGTTTTTCACTACCGCGTGTGCGTGTGAAGTAAGTACTTATGCTAAAAGAAGTGGAGCTCCTCTCGATTTTCAGGAGCGCTAAGAAAAAGAAGTGGAGCTCCTCTCGATTTACAAGGTGCTCAACCGAAGGGAAAAGGGGAACTCGTCACTTCACCAGGTATTTAGTCAAAACTAGCGCTAACATCCTCAGAACCCTACAGGCAGATACGCCTTGAAGGTTTCAAGCTCTCCTTGCGACCGTGCAGTGCTGGAAACGCTGTTTCTGATCAACGAGTGGGAAAAATCGATTGCCAAGTACTGCAATCAACACGATATCGCTATGGATCTGGGCGGAACAATGGGAGCCAATACTACTGGGACGACTCAAGCAACTTCTACAACCGGAGCAGGCACCGGCCCAAGCGCACAACTTGGGATCATGATGCCCGCTTCCTTCGATTGGTCTGCTCTATCAGTGGAAGACAAATCCATCGTTTTGGGTGGCGCACTCAGCAGCGAGCAAGCAAGTGCCGAGCATCTGATCATCCACACGGACTTGAGCGAGTCTCAAGATTGGAGTCATTTTAGGAACTGCTGTAGGAAAATCGTGCACGTTGAAGCTGGAGGAGTCAAGAAGAAAAGACAATCAGGAGGCGGCAGTGGAGGATCGCCCGATGGCAAAGGTGGCAATCAACAACAGAGTAGTAGTCCCGCTAAGAGGCGTGCCTCGGTTTTCGGTGTGGCTGCTGACAGTGACGATGAAGTCGATGGAAAGAAAGGAAATGGAGCTTCTGCTCCGGCTGCTTCCATTGTCGAGAAATCCTACGACTACCATAGAAACGAGACCCTGTCTATGGTGTCATCTGGTTCCGGAGTAGGGAGTGGAGGTGGCTCATCTGGTTCTGGTCATCATCATGAGGAGGAGGTCTTCTTCTTCGACTATGCGTCGTCCCTTTGCGTCCATCCACGCACCGAGAAAACGTCAACTGCATTGATCGAAAAGCTGTGTGCGCAGATCGAAGCCAGTGACACACCGATCTATTCGAAAGTCAGAGCACTGCGTTCCGTTACTCACCTTCTGTGTCCGACGCTGAAGGACTTCATCAGACTGCTGAAGACGTTTCCAGAAGGCACCGGCTGGCTAGACGAAGCAGATCTGCGGTCAATGACATTATTAAGGCTTCAGGTAATCCATCATCTCCAGAGGCATCCTGGGACCTTCCTCTAAGGGAAAAGCAAGCCCAGGATGACACTCAAGATGGATTCCAGGAAGCTCTAACATTAGCAGAAAGAAGCTGCGCAGGAGTGGAGGCACCAGAACCGCGAGCTGAGTTTTTTCTTCTCCTGTGGGCACGGTGTCCACATCGCGAAGACGTGGCGTCACACAGATTGCTTTACAACAAAAACGTCATCTCCGAAGCCGCTCAAGCCATGATTAGCCGTCGCCTTGGCCGACTAGCAACATTCGACGTTCGAAGAGCGTGTCTCAACACAGTACCCAGAGGCGTGTTTCACAAAGGCGCTTACGATCTGAACCTGCGGAAACCAGAAGATCGGGTACTGCTGTACGTCCTTGGCGCTTTGGTCATAGCGGAAGAAGAAGCTGAAATACTACAAGAAGGAGTAGCACGCGAAAGCGAGGGTGGGAATGGTCTAAAGCTAGGACTTCCGCTGAATATGTTACAACTGATTATAATTGAGCTACAGCGAGCTAACATTGCATGGAAGATTATTTGCTCTTTTAAGTACTTATGAAGCAGGATGAGCATCTTCGAATGAGAATTTTCTCCTTCATTCCCCCATGCGTGACCTTTTGAACTGGCAGGTAAGACGCTTGTTCTAACCAATGTGACGAACGCCCCACTGGAGCCTCAGAAAACCAGTTTTGCCGAAGTCGTAGCAGCTGCAGCACTCAAGAATAGTGCTGTCAGTCCAGCATCTATTTTTGCTTCATCTGCTTCTGGTCCTCCTGGTGCCTCGAAGATGAGCGGCGCGAGTCGTGAGAACGCTCTCGCAGCAGCCGCTCTGCTGGATCCTTTAGTGGATATTCCGACACTGGTCGGCAAAGCGGCTTTTCGAAACGGTCCTTCAACGATCCCCGCAAAAGGCATGGCGAAAATCGCGATCCTGTCGAAAAACGTCCGGGATGAAGTGAGGCATTTTCTGCGAGCGAGATGGTGCGATCCGACTTTTGTGTAGAACAAAAATCAGTTTCAGCTGGAGCTCCGAGGTCCGTGTCCGAGAACAAGTTGTATTTATAACTACATACATAATTTAGTACTGTTTTGTCGTCGATAATCTTGATCAGTTGATGTCATGAAGGTTAGAATGATCACATGATATGTTCATATGATCAATGGGCTCTCTAGTATTTCATGGTGTTTATGAATGTATGATGCGTTTGTGCACTTCAGCGCAAGAATTTTCGATTCTGTGTCATGTAAAGATGTAGATGTAACTATGTACAGACTACCACCAGAAATAACTCAGTGGATCAAAAATACACATTGTCTAATATGACCACTTAAGTAGTTTTTTTCTAGTAGAAAATGAAAACAGCAAGCTCATCATGATGTTGTTCATCACCAACGTAATCTTAATCAGAAATCTGAAGTCAAAAATACAGGCGAAATACTTGTCATGATAGTATCGATTCCGAAACCTTTTCCTTGATTTTGTCTATTTGATACGCATAGTCCACCAAGAATGCACACATAGAGTAAATGTTACGAAGGTCCTTGTGCGAAGTCCAAAAAGTAAAGTAGGATAGTGAATTGCATTTGCATCTTGTTGTTACCGTTACATGTTACTTCTAGAAGTCTTTTTCGAAAACAAAATGCGCGAAATACCTAATCCTCATGAAAAACAACGTGAACGTACCAAACAAAAAGAAAAACATTGCACTAGATCAAAGAGAAAGCTCCGATGAACTGCGACGCTTGTATAATAATTGTAATAGTAATTGTCGTATCACCATAGAAATAGAATTGCATTCCCTGACGAGCACTCCCGACTGATGTAGCAACGACTGCCAGCAAATAAAATAGACGGAGATAGTACAGGTTCTCGAACGCTCACTCCTTCAACTTCATAGGTGAGCCAACTCCTATCCTATCCTAGACGGAGATAGTACAGGTTCTCGAACGCTCACTCCTTCAACTTCATAGGTGAGCCAACTCCTATCCTATCCTAGACGGAGATAGTACAGGTTTGACCTTTATTGAACTCAAAAAAGAGTAAAACGAATACGAAAAGAAACAAGGGTCGTAGCTGCAGAACCCATGGAATCGTCATAAAAGTCAGAAAATGACGCTCCCACTTCGGGTCCTTGGGCCTTTGTGGTGTGAATTTTGATGAAAGGTTGCGGTGGAACTACACTTATCGACGAAGGAACCACGTCGGATTTCTACCTGAGGTTTCTTCTACAGAAGTTGCGCTTCGCTAAGTCCTCGCGATGACACGTCCCGAGCAAGTAACACCAACAGAGGAGGCAAGTGAAGCCGACACGGCCGCGGCGAAATCAGATGAGCAGAGCTCGACCTTTCTCTTATGTTCTTGAAGAGGTTTTGTTTCGGTTTGTGAACTACACGTTTGATCTGACAAAGAACTTTAATTTTCCAGCGTATCTGATCTGTACGCTTAGGGATACTAAAAGTGTCTAGAGCATGAGCAAGTTCATGTTTTGATATGGGGGATCATACGCTCAAGCTAAATTAATAGCGAACAGAAGTCAACTTACAAATTTCTAATTCCCACCATCGACCACGATGACCGACCAAGAAAGATCCTTGCTAGAACCGATAGCAAGGAAACCACCGGAAGTAACCGTTCTGAATCTGCCAGACTGAGGGCAAGGAGATTAGCAGTGCTTTTCACCGACCCTCAGGACCGTGAATCCATGGATTTAGAGCTAAAACGACTCCTCGAACGCGCTAGAGCCTCTCCTGATGTCCATCCGTTTGCCAAAACCCAAGACAAGCTCACCTTTGTTCTGTCCGTAATGCTGTGTTTCTTTGCGGCTAGCGCACTCACAGCGAGTTTTATGCCCTCGGCAACGAAGGTGGACACGGAGTGGGGCAGAGTCAGGATCTTCTCGCAGTACGTCTACCCAGCGATTTTGGTCATCTTGGTGCCACTACGGTTTTACCTATACAGGAAGAGAAAGTACTTGTTACTTTGAAGATTTTTCTCCCTACGTGGTAGCACTATATTTTGTTGCTCCTTGCCGAGTTCCTCTTCCAGGATTGACTTTATAATCCAGCGCTTCTTGTCCTCGTCGCTTTCCACATTATGATTATCATCCCCCACGATTCTTCTACCAATTTATTTGAATCCCTTCTCTATAATTGAAACCACGGCATCTAATATCAGGTACCAATACTTCTGCCTCGACTATTGCTATTTTTCCAACTACGTTTTAGTCCTCTGGCTCTGGGTCTTTCCTGACGTCCCCGAACTCTTCTCCATCGCTTTTGCTGCTGCCGCCGGACCCCTTGCCGGTGCGACGTGGCTCTTCCGCAACAGTCTCGTTTTCCACTCTCTCGATAAAATGACTTCCTGTTACATCCATTTGGCGCCGTTGTTGGTGGTGTTTGAAATGCGGCACTCAAGCGCGGATCTGGATTCAGATATCGAGTATACGTTTCCCAAGACATTCACGGTTGGAGATGCAGTGGGCTATTTATGAGAGGAAAGAGCGTACTCACACTCAAGAATAGAGCAGGCGGCTTCCTACTTACTGGCTCGGTGTTTTTCCTTCCCGTTCACTACCAAAATCGTTTATTATTATATGAAATCTTCTATCATCCAGATTACAAAAAGCGCCTAGAGTCTACTTGAGGATGACTCCACTTTTTCCCATCATGCTAGGGCGGACTGTTCTACCTTGGTCATCTAGCGTTGTACACGCTGATCCTGAATCTCCCTGTTGCGCTGGGTGGCTTACCAGAGGATCCGGCGTATCTCACGAGTTTCAGATATTTGGTACTGACGCCACCAAAAGCGTCAAAAGCGGACACTAGTAACAAGGCTGGCACATCATTAAATGGCGGAGCCTCCAAACTAGATCGCGTTGATGAAGAAGAGGGAGCAGCGGGAATGGGGATGCCAACGTTATGATAAAAAAGATTAACGATACGTACTGTTACAAGTGCTGTCAAAAATTGAAACTGAGTTTTTCTAACACCTGTGAAAAAAGAATGGGCTATGCTACCTGGAGGTCCGAAGTTCGCTCTGTTCTGGTACACCGCGTTTAATATGGTCGCCGTTTGCGCTTGGTACGTCTTCACTCCTGTGTTTTACCATTTATGGACTACTGTTGTCGCTTCAAACTACACCAACACGATCATGGACAAGTGGCTTTAGCTTCCACAATACTATCCGTTGCTGTACAAATCAGACATTGATACATAGGACGACGCCTAGGGCTTTTTCTTTACGATTTAAACTTTCAACCATTTTTTTGATTTTACGCATCCATTGGCACTACAAGAACAACTACCTCAACCTCTCCCCCCCCAGCAAGTACCTCTCTTCATACCCTTCTTTTGTTGGGATGCTGGTAGTTGTGGTATTTTGGTTTACGCTTGCAACATGGAATGGCGCAAACTTCTATATCGAGGTTTTTTCTAGAGGTGCGAAACTTAAACTTCCGCTTGCTTCAACGTCACCAACGAAAGATGGTGTGGCAGTGGAGCGAGCGGCGTGACGCATGTAGGTTGAGCAGGAGGATTGGTGGAAGTAGCAATGAATCTCGGTTCCAACATTCTGGTTGATGATAAGTCAGATTTTGAGGCACTTTCGTGTCCTTGATATTTATTGTTTAGTCTCCCAGAAGATAGTACATGTAAGACTATGCGAGACTCATGCCATGTCATGCTCACTTCAACTCAAGTGAGCTAATGTCGTGTAAGCAGTTACTCCAGAATTTGAATTAGCACGTAGGAAAAATAGAGACTTCATCTTTATTAAGTTGAAATTATTGACTTCACGTTCACGCTAATGCGCAACAAAATGAGGGGAGGTTTTGTTGATCTCAATTTTTGTAAAGCTGGAGCTTCTTCCAACGTTCCTATGTCCGTATTTCATACCACTTCTAATGTCGCGCGCATCAGCGGCTCTCCTTATGAATATAGCCGATTCTATTAGTTCTTCGCCCTCTGAGTGTTTATAACAGAGAAGCTCGTACTACGGTGACCATAGTAGATATAGACACGCACAGATACTTCTACCTGTTGTCGCTGATGAGTTCTTGGGCTTTTGCATAGATAATTAGAATGGGCTACATATCAAGAAGTATGTGCATTCTACCTCCTGCTCCTCGCTCTGTTGTTACTCTCCAACACTTGGTTGGCAGGTTCATGTGGGTGCTATCTTTTTACCTAAAGGTACCAGAACTACTAGCAAGGATGGACATGAGCAGTGGGTTTGCAACGTACAAATGTGTGCCTTTGAGCTTTTGACATGACAAAATTGTTATGCACTGTTACTTTTTCAAATTCAATCCGACAAGTAGGGCAGCATCTTGTGTATAGTATTGAAACGTAAATGTCCGTTAACATCACAAAAGCTGCAGGTCCAGATCCTGATCTAAGGATAGCATCACGGGGACCATCCGAATGCGTATACCAGGCGCAGCTCTCGTCTTCTTGCCACAATCATTTCTAAGCGCTCGTGCGCAGATTCGGTTGAGAAAGTCATCGCCCTCATCATGTCCATGTCGTTCGGTTTCGTGGTTCTTGGTTGCATCCATCGGTCTCCGTTTTCGATCGGAATCGATTATTCATTGTAGCTTTCACCATCAGACATTAGTGCTATAGCTATCGCCAGCTGCGCCATCGCCAGCATATTGTGTCGTTTTCTCTCGCGCCTCGTCTACTCTCACTTCCCTCGATTCCTCTTCCTTGACAAATATCCTCACTTGTTGCGCCAGTTGGAACTACATTGAAAGACTCCGTCATTTATTGCTTCCAACCTAGCCAAAATTAAGAAAGTTAAAGTCTTTACTCCACAGCCGCAGCCATGCCCACCTGAAGTTGAACCCAGGTGGTTGAACCACAGTCGTATCCGTAAAATTCTGCATCCCATGCCCACCTGAAGTTGAACCCAACACAAAATCAAAATGACGCTATCATCTTCGCTTCACCATGACCATTTCTATGACCACCTCTTGTGTTTGAGGACAAGTGGACGAAAGGGTCATGACGGAGACCCTGGACGGCAAATAACGTCGTTTTTCGCCATGCCTCCAATGCAGGCTTTTGGGCCGATCCCTACAGTCCCGTCTGGCACAGGGCTCTCTGACGCCACGACTATGCTAAAAGCATCATCTTCTCTGGCTGGCGTTCCTCCAGGTACCATTCCAACCAACCTTGACGCCTCTACTTCTGCAACTACTATGTTGCAAAATGTCAAGCCAGCGGATGTAGGCAAGAAATTACTTTCGCAGAAGGATGGAGCAGCTTCCTTGATGCGTGACTTGGTTGAGAAGAAAGCAGAGGGGGAAAGTTTCACGGATCAATTGAAGGATCGGCTGAAGAGTGGTTTAGGTTTAGTTAAGGCAACCAAGAGAGCATCCTCAGCATCGTCCTTGTCCCCTCCTTCAAGGGAAGAGAGGGCTCAGGGATGACCTCAGGGATGCGACCCGGTGGCCCTAACTTAGACTCCGATGACGCAGGTGGAGATGGAGCTTCCGATGAGAATCCGCCAAGTGTGCGGTCTAATTTGGCACATTGGCTGCAGTTGAAATCCTGTGGGTATGGGGGTTGGATTTGGGAAGAGGGAGCTCATCCAGAAATCACTTTCGCGAAACCACAGAGCTTTGTGCATGTGCGCTTGGTGGATGATAATCCGGTCAATCGGGAGAAAGCGAGACTTTTATGAGGGAAGGAAAACATCAATTTGAATTTTTTACATTTTGTATGACAAGTTCAAGATTATGTTTGCAAAAGTTGTTTATGATCATCATCAACTTCTTACCTCCTAAGGAAGATGATTTTGATAGCTTGTGCGAAGTTCTGTTCTCCTTCTCTCCGCGACCTCCAGCCAGCCATTCCCTCTTTCATCCCTCGCTCCCAGCACCTCCAGCGATCCGCAGACCTTCGATCCTCTGAAGGATGCTCTGAATTCGCTTCGCGCGGGCGCTGACCAAGCTCCGAAAGTGTACCCAGATGATCTCAATAAAGCCAGCATGGTTGATAACAATGGAAAGATGCCGTTGCCCACGCCGGACGATGCAGAACTAGTCTACTGGGATGCTACGTATTTCTTGAATGGTGGCATTCGAATTACACCCAGGATGCAACCGGTGAAGGAGAGGGCGCCTTTCTTTTATGAAAGATCGCTTGTAGTTTGTTAGTGTCCAAGTCCCTCTTCACGTTGTCGTTACAAATTGGATAAGGCAAATTTGTATGCCAATTTTTAGAGTAGGACTCTACTACGAAATTGGCATGCAGCCAATTACAATTAGAGTAGGACTAGGACTCTATTAGGACTCTACTATCTACTACAATTAGAGTAGGACAACTAGGACTCTACTACGAGACTACGAGACAACTCTGCTCCTTTTCTAACCCCTTCTCGATTGTCGTCGGCGCACCCGTTTGCGGTTGGAGGTCGAAGTCGACGCGCAAGCTGAGATGGATTACCTCAGAGGCTTTTTTGGTCGCAAAGGCTTGGCTCAGATCGTCTACGACACAATTCGACCACCGGATCCACTTCATCCAGAAAAAGGCGGCGTCAGGGAACCCTCACCGAATGCTACAGAGTCGATGTTTTCCTCTTTTGCAGCACAAGCAGCTAAGAAGGCTAAGGCAGCAAGTGCATCGGTTGCAGAGCAGGCAAGCTCTATGGCTAGAGGGGCTCTGTCTAATGCAACGGGAATGGACTTTCGTGGTGAGAGGGAAAACCTCTTAGACCAAGCCGCAGCGAAAAAGTTGGGCGGCGTGCAACACACTTTTCCGCTGTCTTTGGATTTTCAGCACGAGCACAACCGTACCAGTGAGAAAGCTGAGGAACGAGTTGCGGCTTGTCGACGCATATGTCGCGCACATCAATGTCCGCCAGCTCATACAGAGCCAAGAGCAGTGAACGAAGACCGCTTCAGCTTTGCTCGAGCTTCCTGTCGTGACGAATGCGTATCGCCGAGCTTCCTCGAACTTGTAGGTTTCGAAGCCGAACGTGCTGGCTTGAATGGCAACTACTTGATGGTGGACAGCGGTAGGAAAACAATAGATGCGCCACCGTCCTACTTCCGCGTCTTACCGGAAGAAAACAAGGATCTAGGTGACAAACTCTCCAACATCATGAGTGACGCCAAATCCATGGGGAAGAAACTTGTCGGCTCTTTAGCCACTGATTTCGCGGAAGATTTGAAAGAAACGCCAGCTGGTCAAGCGGCAGAGCATGCTTTAAAGGCAGCCGCAGCGATGAAGACCTCAGTTCTGAAACCAGACGCTGGTGGTGCGGGTGGTTACGGTTCCATGTTTTTGGGGAAGTTGTTCGGACAAAGCGTGGAGGAGTCGGACCACGCTAACGACCCAAAAGACGCTGTTGAAAAGGAGACGGGCGTTGGTCCGAATGCCAAATTCAATAACGACGCTGGTGGGTCTGGCGAGGACAACACGGAAGAACCCCCAACCGACGATGCAGCGCCTCGAAAGTATGCTCTAGGCACTCTTGGACGGCATTTGAGGCACGATTCAGAGGCTGTAATGGACGAGTTCCGAAATGCGAAAAAAGTTGCCATGATCCTCTACGACCACGATCAAGACCAACGATGGGGTGTTTACGTCGCCGAACGAACCAAGGACAGCGAAATCGTGAAGAAAGTAGCCACTTCTGCCAGCAGAGAAGACAAGCTTCCTAGTAGAGTAGCTCAGTGGCTAGATCCGGAAACGAGTAAGCCGTTTCACACTGACGGCGGACAGGGGTACACGCCTAAGGTGTTGTTTGACTACTGTCGACCTGACGGTTTGGTCCGTCCAAGTGCACAAGTGCGATGGGCTAGTAAGCGTGTGATTTTCTACGAGTCTCCGAAACCAAAATACCCCAATGATGTGTCAGACGTGGAGGAAACGCAATTCTTCAACCGAATGGGCGGGGAACAGAGAAGTACCGGAAAACTGTGCAAGCACACACGCACGTGGAGCGGGGACAGGATTGAACGGAAGAAGCTAGAACACTTGCTCGGCAAGGAAGGCTACAAAAACCGTGGCCTAGTGGGTGCGGAAACGACAGAACTGCAATCTGATGTAGCTGCAAATGGATTTCACCTGGACAAGAAGAAAAAACTGTCGGACGCTATGGTTTTCAGGCTCTACGAGGCATGTAGAAGGCACGATCGATCGGTCGATATCGACATGGGCTTGCGCGATTCGCTTGGTGGCTTTCTGCCGAATACTAGCCCAGCTCCAACGTCCGCAGATGATGACGACCATGCTGGCGCAGCGGGAGTCATTCCGGACGCGCCTGATGGACAAGTGGGTCGCGGACTGCCTCACGACCCTTTGACGCCTGATGTAGCGCCGTATAGATGCTTAGATCCTGCCACAGAAGAGCGCATAGACGCTCTCTTCAGCGGTCGCGAGATAGAGATCGACGAAAGCAGTGAAAGCATCGTGAAAAAGCTAGGACTGTCTGGTAGATGGAAGAAGCTGATGCGGGTAACTGAACACGGAAAGTATCGGTCCGAGTACATCCAAGAGGGTGGGCGGCTGCACTTGTTCGAAGTATTGCCGAGAGCGGAGCTGGTACACACGCCGGGAGCGAAGTTATGTGTTATACTTGTTCTGGAATAGTTACTTCTGGAAGTTTTTTTAGTACTTCTTGTTGAATGTTGATGAACAAGTTGATTTGAAGATCTTAGTTGTTCTTGTTGATGAACAACAACAAGTTGATTTGATTTTCTTGGAGTAGTTTTTTCCCTTCATTCACGAAATGCACATGAGATCGAAAAAAAAGCTGAAAGAATGTTTCGAATTGGTTTTTGGAGCTTTTCTTCTACGATCTCTAACAGCCCACGACCTAACCCGTTGGCACATTGCACCACTCGCACATCCAGTTCCGGCATTCGACGCTTCCGGAAGCGACCACAAGATGATGTTTCCATCGCCACCACTGACACTTGAATTACCCGAGATGGGCGCTGACGTGTCGAATCCCGCTGTAGGCATGTTGAACGATGTCGCAGCGACTGGAGCAAACAAGAGCTCGGATGGAGCGGGAGGACTAGGCGCCAAGTTTCTACCCAGAAGTAGTGACCCAGAGTTGCATGTGGGCGAGTCAATTCTTGGCGGCAAACACAACGATCCGGTGGCGTATGATTATGGAAACGATTTTTCAAGCTCAGTTGGTAAGAGTATCCTCTACTGCGTCGTTGACGTTGACCTTGTATCTGCTTCTCTTGCGTAGCTTTGGAGTTGGAGGACTCCTTCATTTAGATTTATTGCCTAGCAAAATCATTTTCGTTCTTTATTTCATCCTCTTCTAATCCCCAGCAGCCAATGCAGGATCTCACGCCGACGAAGCCGAACTGGGCCCTGAGGCCGTCCTAGAACGTGTCCGCATCGACTTTGGCAAACATCTGGAGTTGAAAACTTCCGAAGACGTTTGGGCAGAGGACGATCGTGTAGGAAAACTGCGGCGCCTAGAATCTAATGGCCGTTCTGTGGAGGAAACCGAGGAACTAAAACTGCTTTTGGCGAAGAGGTTCCGCGAAGGTCAATGGGTGTTGAAAAATCGCGACAACGTTGCCATTCTAGCAGAGGAATATGGAGGTCATGCCAGACATCCAGGAGAAGTCGAGCGCTGGTTCTTGTTCAACCCTTATCGGAAGGTTTTAACGAATGAGCGGGCGGCTGTGAAATTTAAGCCGAACTTGCAGCGGATAACGTCAAGCGGAACTGCGCCTCCAGATTCGTATTTGCACAAAGATGACGATGCGGAGGGAAAACCAGAGAGTTTGGGCGGCAGTGGAGAACATGCCATTTTACCAGGTGGATCTGAGTCGACGATTGATACGGGGAAAACGTTTTTCGAGATGGACCGATTCTACAACTCTCCAGACGATTTGGTCGGGTTTTCTACCGATCGCAAGACCTTGAGTCCTCAACAACTGGAGCGTTTTGATTCGCGTGTGAACACTATCGATCCGGGAAGGATTGAAGATTCCGTCACGCATTTGCAGCCCATCTACCGACCAGGCGAGCCGTTTTGGCACCAAACGAGGACACCGTGTCAGACAAGCAGCGAGTTCACCAACGGTGCAAAATGCATTGGCGGTGTGCGAGCGGCGCTCAGGCTGATGCGCGAACAAGTCGCCAAGTGCATTGACGGCGATCCGCCGTGTGTAAAGACGTTTACGGACGTTGCGAGTGTTAGGGATCAAGGTGTGGAGGATTGCGAGGAATTTACTGGCGAACATGAAGCGATACAAACAGCAGAAGAAGAGCTATGGAATGGACCGGCAGGAGGGACAGTTGGCAAAAAGAGGAAATTAGCGGAGTGTCAAGGTAGTAATCACCACTACTATTGCGTTTGCGTCGTGTTGAATTCTGATGATGTCCATCACATGTTGAATTCTGATGATGTCCATCATATGTTGAATTTTGATGATGTCCATCATACATTAATATCTCCATTTCGATCTCCATTTTGAAATTAGTACTAGGACCTACTTTGTGTTTCAAATTTCAAGCCTACTTTCTCGATTTCATCTTTGAATGTTTCCGGTATTTTTGGTATAGCCTGAATTTGATCCTAAGGGAAAACAAGAAGAGAACCCTTAGGATCAAATTCAGGTTATCAAATACCAGAACCATTCAATCTTTCATCTACATCTTTTTTAACAGTGCTCCATCACGACATCCGCACTTGTCGCCGGACGCAAGGATGCAAAGTTGGCCGTGACAAATCGACTGCGGTCTACAACGCGAAAGGAAGACTCGTAAAGGAGGGCGAGTTTCATTGTACGATCGATGACAGACTGTTTGGACCTGAGTATCCGGTGTCTGAGGACTCCAACGATATGGCTAGCGGCGCAGCCTTCATGCCAGTAGCGCATGCGGGGTTTGATTTCTTATTTCCGTCAACATCCAGTGGTAGTGCTGGAAGTGCTAGTGCTTTTTCGGGTTTGAGTGGAGGTGCATCACACGCTGATGTGGCTCTGGTGTGCTTGCTAAAGGAAAGGAGAAGAAGGGGAAGTAGAAGAAAGAAGCGCAAGCACAGTGGTTTGAGTGGAGGTGTTTTTTCGGATTTTCAACTTGGACGAAGCGCGTGACAGCGTTCTTGACGGAGCAGGGAGCACGGTTTTTGTCTGATAGTTCTTTGCCAAAATCTCCTTGATTCAACCTCTGACATCGATGGAGTTCCCCATGCTCCTGTCTTCCCCTTCCTGTTCATTTGGTACTTATGCAAATGATCATATTGATCCCTTCCAGTTCTTGTTGTTGTTGTTTTTCCAATGATTCCTTCCAGTTCTGCGATCATCGAATCTCCCGTGGAAAACCAAGTTTTTGCGAAACTCACGTAGCATTCCGAGTTATTCCTTCACGTCAAACTTTTTTTTGAGTATCTATGATGATGTCAACCAATCTTCAAGAATGAAAATTATTTGAATTATAGTACCGACCACTTGCACTTCTTGATAATAAAAGTAACGGTGCTTGAGGCCTTGCGGGAGACCCTAGATCGGTCTTGGTGTTCAGCTTCAGAATCTAAGCAAGAATGAGAATCAATATTGCGTGGCCATGTCCTCAAGGTATTAACGCTTCTACAAATTGTAGAATTAGAAATCGATCAGGATTTACCGCAATCTTGATCTGTGATTTTATGTTGGGAGTACTAACGTTGACGTTCCATATTTCCTTCAACTGACGGAGCAAAAATAAAACCGTGATACCGATATCGATATCCACATGTCATCATATTTTTCGTGGTCGACGATGATCTTAGTTTTCATCTATTACCATAGCGATATTTGAGGAGGAGGACACGACAATGAATCCACACGACAAATGTTTCCATTTCGTATTCACATGCATTTGCACCACGTTGATACTTATCATGCTAACTGATTGTAACTCTAACTACAACCGCAGGGAGGTGGCTTCGGAGATCGTGAGCAATTGTACAGGAACATGGATCTCACCCTCGAGACTGAGGATGTACTAGGTAGAATTCTCTTGGTTTACATCCCTTCGATTCTCTTCTGAAAGTTCAATCACATTTCTCCTGAGTCCTGAACAATGACCGCGTCTTCTAATCCGGACAGTTACAATGCGTTTTATCACAGGAGTCGGCTCTTCTTATCCGACTTCCTGGAGGGACGCGAGACACTGAGTCTCGATGACGACGTCGTTGTCATGGACCGGGTCAAATACGCGCCCAACGCAGGCACTGTCCTCAGGCACATGCCACTTTTTGCGGGTCAAGCACTTTTTCTGACGCATTCGCATGGAGAAGGGGACAATGGTTGTAGTAGTCGCGCTTCAAGAACTCTTTCGACAAGTGCAAGCTGTACAAGTAGTGCAGTGCTGGCAGAAGAGGAGGTCAAGGGTTGTACTGTTACCAGTGCTGCGTCCACGTCGACTACTCGAGCGCTTGCGTCTTCTAGTTACTCTCGCCCCTTTGTGAAGGAAGTTTTGCGCATGAGCATGGCGTTTGTGCATGAAAAGGGAGCTGAGCGGGAGCAGCAGCACCCTCACCCAGCTTCTGTAAAGTCTTCGTCCAACAGTAAACAAAAACTTTGCGCAGATGGAGATCTCTTTCAGGTGCTGCGATATTTGAAGAGTAGAGGTTTTTTTCTTCTTGCGATCGAGAACGAGGAAGTTTTCGAGGAGCTGAACACTGGCAATAGGAGACCACTCAGCCGTCTGCAGGAAACGTATAGGGCGAATGACCCTGTTGAGCATGGTGAACACGAGCGACAGCATCTTAATATTTTTTCAACGCCATCTTCTCCACGTCAACAAAGGCACCTGCCATATGCTTCTCTTTACCTAGAACACAATCCTCTCTTGCAGACGAAGAAAGCCGTGGCCTTCATTTTTGGAGGAGAGAATGGAGGTCTGTCGAAGGAAGCACTGCGACTTTGCGATGGTGGAGTATTTATTCCGACCAGGTTGAAAAGGGCGACAACGAATTTGCCTAGCAGTAGTACCTGTCGTGCAACATCAGAAGTGGAAGTGTCTTCTGTCGAAGAACCTCCAACCACAACTCTTCAACCTCGTCCGCGATCGCACACGTGCAATTTGAGCATTGCCACGTCTGTGGTGTTGAGTGAGCGATTTCGGAGGAAGATGCTTGGTGAGAGTTTCGACCATTTGATGCCGGAGCCACAACATCATGTGCAAGAAGTGGAGCTAGAAGATAAAGAACATGACTGTATGTCGGCTACACAGACGCAAACACCGCCAGACTCCACGAGGTCAAGTTGTAGCACACCAGCGACGACCCCGAAAAATGTGAACCTCTCTGACGTGGAAGACCCAGAGATATACTTGAACTTTGCAGCAGCAGCAGCAGGACGAGCAGGCCCCTCATCATCGTCATCTAGCTCGTTCTGGGGCTCGGGCGTTGCTATTCCCACTGGTGGTCCGCTGTCCTCGGTTGGCGCATGTCCTACTCCTAATCTGCAGAGGAACGACTCAGCATGCTCTGCATCTACTACGTCGCAGGAAAATCAATATCAGTTCCCAAGAGCCGCCAGATATCGCGTTCTCCTTTTCTACCTGTATCGCAGACTTACAGTCGACAAAAGGGAAAAGTTCGCATCGCACCTCGAATCTTTCTGCAATGAGCGGTCGATTGCGGGACGTCTCCGCGTGGCAAAAGACGGGCTCAACGGCTGCCTCGGCGGTGACGTCGCAAAGCTACAAGAGTTCGTGGATGCTTTCAAAGATGGTGCATTTGACGGCGTTGAGGGATATCTGCTGCAACAACATGAGGTTGGTCGTGGTGACGGAGGCGAAAACGACTCGCAATCGATTACGACCTTTGAAGGCATAGATTGGAAATGGGGAGGACTAGATGAGAAGCTGGTGGTAGCCGCAGAACCCGAAAACCCGAACACAGAAGCTGCAACACGCGCGCAACAGCACATGCTTCACGGCCCAGCCGCAGTTCGCGTGTGTGACGAGGTTGTTTCCCTCTTTGGCGGTTGCTACAATTCCAATAAGGATGCGGCTTTGCGATATTACAAGCAACTATTCGATAGTGCCGAGTGCGTGGAGGCTTTGATGGAAGCTAATCAAACCGGAGTTGCTGTTGGCGAAGAAAAACCACAAGAAACCACTAAGACTAAGTCTTCCGAGACTAAAATTTTGGGGGAAAAACCCGATCATCACGATAATCTCGCCCCAGCTACACCTCTGCTCCCAGAAGAATGGAAGACGCGTCTTGCTCAAGAAAATCCTGAAAACATCGTGTTTTTCGACGCTAGGAACATCTACGAAACTGATGTGGGGTACTTCGACCTGCTTTGCCGTGGAAAAGCTGAAGGTGCAGTACGAGAAGATGCAGATCAACATGCCGCTGCTCATGCTCTTGATGTAGTCAATAACGTCGAGAACAGCAGGAACAAGGATGTTCACGAAAACCGATTACAACTGCAAAGAACCCCTCGTCTTTCATCTCCTTCGGCTTCGAGTTCTTCGTCTACTTCTAGCCTTGCCTCCTCTACCCTTCCACCTGTCGACCGCCTCTCTGTCCGAACACGCCAATTCACAGATGTGCCAAGACAACTGGTCCAAAACCGGGAAAAAATCCGTGCGCAGTGTGCTGGTAAGAAAGTTTTTGCCTACTGTACTGGTGGCGTGCGCTGTGAACGGGCAACGCAACTTTTACGGATCGTCTTGGAGAAAGAACCAAATGAAACAGCAACAGGTGAAGTAGTAGAGCCTGGAATCTTGGATGGAACTAGTACTACAGCAGAGATTTCCTCAGGCGCTATTGCTGGTGATGCGACGACAGCAAATACAAGTACAACTGAATTGTTCCAGCTTCGCGGTGGCATTCATGCTTTTTTAGACCGTTATCCGGATGGCGGAGGTTGCTTTCACGGGAAGAACTTCGTATTTGACAATCGAATGTTAGAAACAAGAGAAGACGGTGTAGGAGGGGTAGTAGTTGGCAAGAAATGCCCAGTCGGTAAATGCCGCGGATGCGGCGTCGCATGTGAAGATTACACGTCGAATGCACGTTGCCAGAAGTGCAGGATGAGGGTCCTTCTCTGCGATACGTGCATCCCGGCTATGTCAAGCAGTACACTCTGCGTGCTGTGCGAAGAACACAACAAGATGAAAGAACAGTCGAACTCTACTGGTAAGAGTAAGAGGAGAGGGAAGACTCAACAGAGCAAGTAGCTTCAACTGCGCGCCTTTGAAATGTCGATTGTTTGTTTCTGCCAGTTTTCACACACGGGTCTCGGAGGACATGCCTAGGCTTAGTTGTACATTTTCAGTCTCACCAGAACGCGTTGTTTGCGCCTCACAGCCTTTGTTTCTCCCATCTATCGCGTCCATGACGATGACGTTGAATAGGCAGTTAAACGTAAAGTCAACGATGTGTTCTTAGAAGCCCTTAGCCTCTGTACCTAGTGTTTAATCGGACACAGGCAAGTACCTCCACCAAGGTGCGAGTACGAGTATGTTCTGCTACTACAACAATTTCGGAGAAGAAACAATTTCTGTCGGCCTTGCAGAGGCGACGCGATAATACAATGGAAATTCTGGAGAGTGAAGACATCGAGGATCAACTAAAACGAAAGCGTTTCGCCCTTGAAAAGAAACGAAGTCAAGTTGTCTTGACTGAGATTAACATTTCCCTTGTATGTGTATTTCACCTGGCCCAGCATATTCCTTTTCCTACTACGCTCTCATGGATGCCTCATTCCTAGCTCAAATTGTTACAGTCTAAAGTGCTCATTCTTTTTCTTGCGTAAAGTTTAGTATATTCTGCCTCGCAAGAACACGTAGAATACCGATAAGCAAGCGCATTGATATATCTGCACCGCTGGCGCTATAATTCATTTTTTTTCAGGTTTTAACAAACCAGTTTGAAATTGAATCTGTGTTTAATATGCTTATTGATCGGTCAAGGTCATTCTTATTCTCCTTCTTCGACTTCGCTTTGGCGTTCTCGTTTTTCATTTATTCCAATTCCGCAACTCCTTTCTGACTGCTTTTTCATCGTATTTCCTAGCTTGAATGAAATGTTTTGCGACTATGGCTCCTCGCAAAAGAGTGCGTTCTTCCTTCTCGTTGGCGCTTTGCGGCGACTCACATCGAGCTCAACCGATACAGAGACTTTCTCGAGTTCTTGGCCTCTACTACGCCTTTTGACGTTGAGAGCAAGGGGAATGGAACGCCTGGTCGAATGCGCAGGCCCACGAAGGCCTTGTGACGATCAAGACCACGGTGCAAGTATCAGACATGGCCATGGGAAGAAATCGACTCGAAAACCGCGAAGAACGAGAAACAAGAAAAATCACATAGCAGGTGGTTTTTTCGGCTTTTTCCGTAGACAGGCTAAGCGTCTCCAAGATTACAAGACAAAAAGTGCGCACCATTCATCCAGATACTACAGCGCAAGTCGACGCGTCGCTCATTGTTTCAACGGCAGTTCCAATGATCCTTACCAGATCCTTGGAGTGTCTAGGTCCGCTACGGAAGACGAAATCAGGAGAGCCTATAAGAAACTTGCGGTCAAACATCATCCGGATAAGGGTGGAGACAGCGAGACCTTCAAGAATATTCAATCAGCGTACGAAACACTATCGGATCCATCGAAGAAAAGGCAATATGATGCTTATGGTACTTCTACTTCTCATGCAGATCCACAATCTCGTCCCATTTTTAACTTTACAACAACAACTTAGATACAACAGGTAGCAAGTAGCATGGACGACAACTTAGGAGCCAACATACTACATCATCCACACTTAGGTAGCATGGGAGGAGGCATGGGAGGCGGAGGTCCTGGTGGTTCAGGTTCTGGTCCGTTTCAACAGAGCTCCGGAGACCCCTTCGGAGGATCCACTGGAGACCCTTTTGGCGGATTTGCAAACGGGAATTTCCAAGGAAACTTTGGGGATGATCCTTTCGAAGCTTTTTCGAGGATGGGCTTCTCTGAATTTGCCGAACAAGGCCGTTCGGGTGCGACAAGGCGAGTAGCCAAGCCGCGACCACTGGTGCAGGGGATTTCTTTAAGGCCACATTTGAAGAATTTGGATTTGCATATGGGGAATAATGATTAACGTCCTTCGTTCTGTCTCCTATTGGTCGTGTTCATTCCCCTCGTGCTCATCTAGGGTTCAGTAGAAGAACATCTTCACTGCCGTGAAGTAAATGGGCACTACGAGGATTGCACTCAAGCGTGTACTTGATGTAGTAAAACTAGTAGTTCTAATCTCCGTAACCCTAGAACAAATTTGCCAAAGGCAGGAAGTGGAAGCGACTTATCGACGGCAAAGAGTGTGCACTAGCTGTAAAGGGCAAGGAGGTGTCTTTCGCGTTTGCGATGGGTGTGGGGGATCTGGGTATCAAGTTAGAACACGGCAGTTTGGAGGCGGGTATGTCCAAACGCAGGGAACTTGCGGGAATTGTAGAGGCGCTGGCAAGATAAGAGTCAATCAGTGCACGTCTTGTGGTTATGGTGGAAGAGGAAGTACTAGAGGAAGAAGTGAAAGCAGGTCTAGTACGACCTAAAAGTAGGTATTCGTCAGCAGACGCTTTCGCTTTGTCGTCAAACAGTTGTACGGAATTCATTTTCAGTACAACTACAACAACTGCAGTAGATTCCACTCCATCTGCCACAAGTGCCGGCCTCCACCCTCCCTCTCTTTCATTCTCTCGGCGCCGGCACCTTCATCGCGGAGGAAGAAGTTAGCCTACGACTAGACCCCACAGTCGAGGATGGGTATTCTTTCAAGTTTCCTGACTGTGGGTCTGAAGTTCCAGATCCCTATTCTCCTGAAGGAGTGGCTAGAGGAGATCTGACCCTCATCGTCAACCTTCAGGCACCAGCTGGCAGGACCTCAGATGGCGTTCAGACTACACCAGGGTCTTCGGCTTCTTCAAAGTCATCATCGTCGTCATCTCCCTCATCCTCTTCTTCATCTTCCTGCTCAACCCCTGCTAGCACAAAAAGATTGCGCTATGAGCGTCTGGAATTCGAGCGCGGCCCTCAGAATGCGCTCTACACGAAGGTGAGCGTGCCATTTGGGGATGCTGTATGTGGTGAGACGGAACTCGATTTGAAACATCCTTGTGGGAAGTGGATACGACTGAAATTGCCACCATCGTTGCAGCATACGGATGTCGTTCGTGTAGCGGGAAAGGGCGTCTTCTGGGATGGTGTAGATGACACGAGAGGACGAAGAAACGATAAAACTACGTCGAGTAGGACAGGAGATCTGTTCGTGAAGTTGAAAGTTTTGATCCAACAAGGAGGTGGAGGCAGTTCTTCGATGTCCTCCTCATCGACACCGACATCAAGAATAAGAGGCCCCTTTAGAGATGCCGCAGAGCGGGAAGCATTACGCAGAATTCTGAATCGAGAAGAAACCCTTTCTGACGTTATCGAAAGAGAAATTCGCGAGCGTCAACAGAACAACGCATCCTCAACAACATCTGCATCTTCGACGCAAAAGCACCCTACAGAACCACAGGAAGACTCACAAGGTTCCTCATGGACGAATTGGTTCCGTAATGCTACGGCATCTTCTTCTTCGGGCAAAACATCAAGTACCTCTTCATCAGATGATTCTACAAATGCCAGCAGTGTCCAAGCCAATGATGTTTCCCAAGTCTTGCCTGCTGAGAAAGGAACGATGAATCGACATCTTAAGACTTATCGCGCGGATCGCGAGAAACGAAAACGGCAAGAGCTCTCGGATTCAGGACATCACTTTGGACCAGGTGATGGAGGAGAACAGAGTTGTCATGTTCAGTGAGAAGATGTTTCTTGTTTTCACGCAGGCACTCGTGCCTGCACTTTTGATCTCATTGTCGCAACCTGAAGAACCTTCTATCCCTTCTCTTTGTTCGCCTCGCATCCCCAAGCCCCCAGCTCCCCCATCTTCCAAAGTTGTAATTCATTGTTCTTAGAGTTAGACTATATAGTAGAAAGTTTTTAGGGTTTTGGTGAGTTTCTCACGATATCTGCACTTCGCCTCACTCGGGTTCAGGAACAACAGGTTGCAAAACTGAACACTTGATGCTTGTTCGGCGTTGAATTGATCGAAATGACTTCACTCTGATTACCATTTCGTCAGCACTATAGGTCAAATCGGCATCCTTGACTATCGGTTTTCCTTGCAGCTACGCTACACGTACACTCACTGTGCAAAAATATCGATCGTTCATCGGATTGATTTCCTTGTGTCGAAGTTCGGTGCTTATCGTCAACAACAACAAAGGAAAACACATCATTATCTATCGGTTTCGCTGAATGCCTAATGAGTGCTGTGGGCTCGTGACTTCGTGACATCATAGTGGACCACCTTCTCCCCCGCCCCGACACAAGATATATCGCATCTCGTCGTCTTCATCATTCGTCTCGATTTGGAAACACACTGTCTCGTTTTCTTCATTGGATGAAATTGAAACATTTTGATTTTCCTAAACTGCATTACGTGTGTTCCAAATAATTGCCTTTGTCAACTACTACAATGAGAATGACAGGAACGAATCGGAATCTAAGACCCTATCATTGGCCAAGGTACTGGAGAACAACATTTAGCAAGTGTATTTGTACTTCTACTTCTCTTCGACTTGTCTTCAATTTCTTGAAATTGTCTAAGATTGTTTCGAATGAACAAAGCATCACCATGAGCCAATCTACTACCACAGAGTTTTCCGACACTCTGCAACCCCTGTTGTCATCTGGAGTGGCACCTGGAGCACGCCTACGACAAAAGAGATTTGAAGCTGCGTCAGCCGCACGTTGGGAAAAGCGAAGGCAGATGGGAAAGACCACATCCGCGAAGTCGGAAAAGATGAAGAGTACGAAGACCCCTGTGGCAGGAGTAAAGAGAAAGACTGGTCGAGTGGCTGCAAATAAGGCTTGTGCCTCGTCATGCGCTTCCAAGGCAAGTAGTAAGGATGCTGAAGATGTTGGTGAGATGGAGATCATTGGTAATAAGTCCAGCGTTGACGGGAAAACGAAGAACGGGGATGTCCCTGTTGAACATCAGCTTGACAGTTGTAGCAATACTACTTCGAGAGAAGGCAGTCCACCAGGTACACACTTTTATGCACACCGCATGGATGCTGACGTGTTATCTGCTCCTGTTGTCGACAAAACAGAAGAACCTGCACACACGACTAGCCAGGAGGGGCCGGCCCCTGCTAGTCCGGAATGGAAGACAAGCGTTTCTTCTTCACAGGAAACAACCAGAGCACTCGACGAAGCGAACCCACTTGTCCAGCAGGAAACTGTGAGCGACGTGTCGGTTCCCGCTCTGGCGCCTACGCCTTCCGAAGTTGACAGTGAAAAAACCTCCAACAACGACGACGATAAGAGCAAAACATCTAGTGCTGCTTGTGCTCCTGTAGCAGCTCGGCCTTCCTCTACAACTTCTGGCTTCAAACGTCCTAAGTGGAGCAAAAGTGCATATTTGAAGAAACCAGTGGTTGCAGAACTAGAAAAAGACATAGAAGATACTGCTGCATGTGCATCTGTTGGGGTTGGCAGATCAAAAACGTTTACCACACCAGAGAAAGTGACAGGTCCTCATTCTTCTCTGAGTAAAACATCAATCACGTCGACAGCAAGTACGACTTGTCCTGCTGATTCAGTAATGAGCAGTTCAACGGGACTCCTCACGTCAGGATTGGGCAAAGCAGAAGTGCCAGAAGGTGACCACAATGCCCAAACTAGTCCAATTCTGCCTAAACGAGTTGCTTTGCGACCAACGCCGCTTGTGCCACGTAATCTCGGACCCCTACTCGATGCAGAAATTGGACTGCCTTTTTCTGCTGAGGGTGAGGAGATCGGACTTCCCGTAGCACCAGAAGCAGTTGAACGCATCACTAGTGTGGCCAAGTTGGAGGATGGAGGAGGAGAATCTGAAAACGATACTCTCCTTGTGAAGCGGGACGTGGACGACGGCGTGTGGGTGTCTGAGAACGCGCAACTTGTGACTGGTGAATCACCGAAATTGAGCTTGGAGGCCGACCACACAGAGGGAGCTGCTACCTCTACTGCAATAGCGGCCACGATTGACGCAAGAAAACATCTGAAGGATGAAAAACATTCCGAAGGCACTACAAGTACCATGAGAAAGAGCATGGGAGCGTCGAAAAAGCCGTCATCCACGGCGAAAGTGAATCAAGGCAGAGCTCGAACAACTTCTAGCACTGCCTCGTCCGCGAAGGCACGATTATCTTCTCAGACCAACGAAGTTCAAATGCCTCGAGGTAAAAGGACTTCTCTACCGACACCGTCGATCAAGAAACCTGCTACTTCGTCAACACCAGTTGTCGTGGAGTCCAAAACAAGTGAGGCGAGGACCACCACAAGTTCGACAACAAGCACTACGACTACAAAGCGCACGACTCCCTCAAAAAGAAGTAGTCGTTCTTTGAAAATGACGGTACCAGCACCGCGACCTCCTTCTTCCTCCACATCAGGACCTCCTTCAAGCAGCGCAACGCCCTCCAAGCTCCGCACGCCAGGGTTTTCTCGAGTTGTGCCTTTCGTTCGCAGTCTCCCTGAAGGTGCAGCGCAGGTGTCGAACTCTGTTCATCGCTTTCACCGCATCGGCACGGTCGCCTCTATGAGCAAGCATCGTGGAGTCCGATTCTCCTGTGTGTGCGGAAAAAGCGGGTGCGAAGATCCTCGTTGTGCAGCTGCATTGGAGATAGCTGGATTGGAGAAGGAGCGTCATGCTGGTGTAGTTACGGATTTGAAAAAAGTGGTGTGTGAACACTCTCCAATGTGTGTGCCTGTTGAGCAGGAAGAAGAAGAACGCGAAGTGCTGGCGGAGAGGAACAACAGCACCAGAACGGAAGTTTCGGAAATAATCCTACAGCAAGAGAGTGAGAGTACTTCATTGGAGATAGCTGGATTGGAGATAGCTGCTGCATTGGAGATAGCTGGATTGGAGAAGGAACGCGTTGACGACATCTGCCTGGTGGATCAAAGAGTAGAAAATTTGATGGAGACCACTGCTTCTGACACTTTTGTTAGCAGTCATGAGACAAGAACTGTTGAAGGAGTAACAGTAAAAGAAGCAACTGCTGTTGAAGGAGTAACACCAGTAGAAACAACTACTGCGAAGTCGCCGAGCACTCTGCCTCATGCAGCCACGTCTACTAATTATAGCGATACATCTTTAAGGTTAAACGGCACACCAGCGTCAGCATCATCTTCTGGTCTTTTGACTACAACTCCACCTGCACATCCCATGTTGAATCCTAATACAACAAGTACAACGACCACGCCAGGAGAAGGAGCTTGCTCAGATTTTTCCGTTCTCACATTCCCCGCACCTCCTCCACCGTGGGATGACTCGACGAATGTTCGGTTTGGTGCAGAACGTTTCAGGGACCAGAATCGAGCTGCGGAACTACGCCTTTTACTCGAATTACGCGAAGAACGACGTCAGCGAGTCCTTGGAGCTGGGCGTGGGCAGTCTCTAGCGGACGTTTTGAGCGGCATTGATAGTGCAGTGGCCGCAGGAGCTGTCGATCAAGGAGATAAAGGGAAGAAGATGATTGAACCAAAAGCAAAGACAATAGGAATGGGGAAAAGCAAAATACGAACGACTAGCGATTTGTCGTCATCCGATGGTATTATGTCGTTCAAGCAGCGGCCTGCCGCACGAGTTTCGAGGATGCGTTCTACTTGTTCGCAGCAGAAAAGTGTGACACCTAACACAAAGAACAACAAGATGAAGAGCAAGTTCAATAGAAGTGCAGCAGAGAAGGAAGTGGGTCCCCTTCAGGAACGGTGTACTTCATGTGCATCAACTACTTCCACATCGAAAAGTGCAATGTTGTCGACTCAAAATAGGACGTCGTTGACGAACACTAGAACGACAACACCAAAGCCGAACATCTCCATCTCCAAAAGCACCACCAGCACCAACAATAAGATCAAGAACTCGCTTACGCAGATGAAGAAAGCAAGACAAGAACACGACCAGCCGCCGAGAAGTATTTTAAAGAGTAAAATCATAATCAAGAATACTGACGATATTTCTCGCGACGACGCGCAAAACGACGAGCAGCAGGACCCTCTCGAACTGAGATTGCCGCATCCAGGTGAATTATGCAGAGATGGAGATGAATCCTCCAGTGACGGTTCATGCCTCAGCTCGCCTTTCACGCACTACAGTGAAGACGCACATGATACGGCGAGGGTACTAGAGGCAGAGGCTGCTGCGCATCTATTGGTGGAAGGTGTTTTTACTCGTCCTCCTGTTTTGGAGGAAGAGGACTACGAATGCAACGGTGGTGAAGCTAGCGGATCACAATGTAGAAGCCGTTGCACTAGGTGGCGAGCGCAGCTATTGTTCGATACTGCTGCTCCCGCAGCAATAGTATCTGCGGCACTGAAGCGCTGTAGTTTAGGGAGTACCAGAATAATTGCCCTTTCTGGTGGTGGAGCTTCGTGGAACAAAAGTCATCCGTCAAGTAAAGGAGTCATCGCCTTTCTGCGCATGTTCTTGGTGCAGACTTTTTACCTGTGCATGCTTTTGATGATGCTCGTGCTGGCAGTGGACTTGGGTGGACTGGAACAGGAACTAGGTGGGGGAGGATGGCCCTAAGAGGCTAAAGTCGAGTTGGGGAAGCAGCTGACGCTGAGCTTTTAGTTATATTTATTATTTTTGAAACTGACGTATTAGTATTCAGAACCACTAGAAGAGTACGTGCTATTGGTAATATTCAGAACTAAGTAGAAGAGTACTATTACTGACATGGTACCAAGATCATTTTTGAAAAGAGCTGAAAGTGAAATACAGATAGATCTATCTAGCTAGTAGTAACCACCTATGTGATATTTACCGGTGGCGTCACAACTGTCTTGATTTAAGAGGGACAGTACCGGCTTGAATAAAGCATAAGAAAGATCGAGTTTCAAGAACAAGGACAACCTACCTATTTCACGTCATGCAGAACTTTTAGTCTGTTTTTAGCTAAGATCATAGTCTCAGGCTGAGCATCTCACGCCTCACCAATATTAGAAATCTGTGTAGTACATGTACTGTCCTATTCCAAAAATATAGCTCTTGTCATATCGATTACTTCTGAAGTGTATTACTACCCCTTACGATGTGGACCTTGATCTGAAGCTGAGCTAAATGTAAAGCGAAACTCGTCGTGGTATAATTTTGCTGATTTTGTCTCTGTGGTAGCTACTAAGTCGTGCTGTATATTCTTATTCCAGTCCTTCGTAAAACTCCATCATCAACATCTCGACCACTAGTGTAACAAAAATAGAGGTTGCCAACCTTAGTGGTATTGTATTCGGCGTTAATGCTGATGGAAAAATATCATGATACTACTAGATAAGTGTCTGTATTTTTTTGAAAGAAAATGGATCATAAGCAATCAATCATATTTCTCGGTATAATCTCATGATGATCTTCGAGTCCTTTTACAGTGAAACAAAGTAAACGTTTTTTGCAATGCAACGAACTGTAGTTGTAGAATAGTAAGTGATACAAGCGCAACTCTAGAACACTCAGTAGTAAATACAAGTAGATGTAGAACCAAAACTTGACCAATAGGATGTATCTTGAAGCTCCTTAATTTAGAATTTAAAAGTCTGATTACCCGCTAGAAGAGAAGAGGAATCCCATTAATTTGCATCGTTGTTGGCCCTATACGCAGAACTGAACTATATTTTGACGATATTGATGGACAAACACCAACGGACAACTACGACAAGATAGATTACGATTCGGTTGGAGGAACATAGAGATAGGAACCTGCACCTGGTACGATGCGCTTTCTTCATGCAGTGGATGTCTTGGCCACGTTGACTCTAATCTAAATCTAATAAGCATTCTCCTGTAGCATTCGGATGGTCGTGCTCGTGCTATGAACACAGCATGCCAGCTGTATGGATTTTTTGCATAAAAGCAATATCGATCATGCTAAGGATGAAAAATGTAGACCACACGGGGATGCAGGAAAAGAACGCAAACGACCTTTTTGTCTTTCGATGGAACAGAGAGAGTTTCAAGGTGTCGCGTCCCAGTCTTGTGTTCTTTAGAATTTTTAGAAATTCTTTTTAAAACGCAAATGAAGAAAAAACCGAGAAAAAGGGACTGGAAGAGAGAAAGAGATGCAGAGCTAGTCTTAGTCTAAAAAATCTAAATTGAATGTGTCTTCTACTTCTTCTTCTAGTTGTATATCCCATCCACAAAGTGGCAGTAGTGCGACCCTAGCAGACAGACCAAGGGCGTTAGTTGGTTCGAGCAGAATCTTGAAGCAGAGCGCTACGGAGGAGCTTCGTCGGTACCATTTGCCCCACGACTTTGTTACCAGAAGGCAGCTTGATGATCACATAAGCAGGCTTAGGGCGAGGGTGAAGGCAGTCTCCGCAAGAGCTCTAGGCGAAACAGGAGATGGTAGTGAGGAAGTTCAGAAGCTTAGCAGGGAGCTCGCGACAGCGATAACGCGAAGGCAAGAGTTTCAGAGGACACAGGCGCGGGGGAACTTCAGTGCCGGTTTGTATCCGTTCAAGGTTTACCGCGCTAGGGCATCGGCGAAGGTCGGCGCGAGTGGTCAGCTCAAGCCACTGCTCGGGTTGGTCAGGGAGGCTGCTGGTGGAGCCCTGCCGAGTAGGATCCGCAATTCACTCTCTGCGGAAGTTACTGGTAAGGAGCTACGTGAGGCTGTATTACTGCGGAGAAACTCGAAGCAGACGGATGGCTTTGATGATCTAATACAGAATTACAAAGCTTTAGACGGCGATGGATGGAGTGCGATTGCTAGTATTATCAACGCTGACTGGGAGAGTGGACTTCGATCCCTTGACGAGCACCCGGATTGTGCCCGCATCTTGGGCGCGACAGTAAACCTGCTGCACAAGGGCCGGGGAGAACGTGGCGACCTTGACTCGTACAGGGGAATAGTTAACACGTCCATACTGGTGAAGGTGCTGAGCTCCCTCCTTCTATATAGGTTCGAGCGAGCGGTGGAGGAGGTTGGCTTCCTGCCGCCAAACCAGGGCGGTTTCCGGTCCGGGTTTCAGACAAGTGAATGCATCTTCGCCATGAGGCGGATGTGTGAGGACGCGCAGGAGTTAGCCGGGCTGGGCACGGAGGTGTCATCCCTTAGCGCGGTGCTACTTCTTGACATTAAGAAGGCATGCCCGAGCTTTCCTCGCCTAGTTTTTGTCGAGTTTCTGCAGGCGTGGGGGATCTATGACTCGCCATTCGGGAAGATTGTCGAGCGCATTCACAGAAACACTACGCACCGGGTCGCGGTGGGTTCGTCGAGGTCAGGGGAGTTCCGCCTCCCGTCAGGGTTTGGCGAGGGTCAGATCACTTCGCCTCACTTGTTCGCGGCATCGTATGAGGTATGCCTTCGCGTTTGCCGGAAGATAGTCGGCCTTGCGTGCCCGCGAGTGCCACAGATGCGCCTTTGGACGCCACGCCATCCTTGTTGTTTTATCCCCCGCAGGGACGCCGCGGCACTCATTCGCCCGGCCTCAGTGTCGTTGAATGTTGAGACGGTATACGATCAAGAGTCTGCCGATTGCACTATAATCCCCTCTGTTCTTCAATGCGCCGTCATGCGATGCCTGTCGTGGAGTCTGATGGGGTCGGAGGTAGTCGGGATCTATGACAATCGGTCGAGGATGGACATCATTCCGGCGGAGAACCCGAACACAACGGCGAGCGTGTGACATCTTGGCAACTGGATGGACTTAGGGGAGGACACTGACCAGCGAGTGCGCAGGATGGCAGGAGCACTCTCGCGCTTGAACGGCATTCCGGGAGTGGCAGAGACCACAACTGACTTGCGTGCTAATCTCCTCGGTCAGGTGCGTACTCGCGGGACATTTGCGTGCGAGGCGAGGCGCTGGGGACCGGAAGACATCCAATCGCTGCAGACAATGGAGAGCACTGCGCTGCTGATCCTATGCGGGATACCTCGCCTCTTTTTGCGCCTCTATAGCCTTCCCCTAGCTAGGATCCGCCGGTGGTACCGGGTGGACTGTGTTCGGTCTTTCATCTTCTACATGCAGGCGTCATTTGTAGGACATGTTGCGCGATCCTCGACGAACCGCCTGGCCCGCGGGGCTCTATTTGGTTTCTTCACCTTCGGAGAAGTTCCAGGTTTAGCGGGGCAGTATCTACAGCAGCCCAAGAGGGGCCGTAGGCGCCTAACAATGTGGGATCAAGTAAAGGACAACTTAGCGGCGGTCTTGGGTGGTCTCCGTACCGATGAGGAGCTGCTTTCTTTGATCGTCAGCCGTGAGAAGTGGCGCGTGGTCTGCCTGGAGTTGAGGCTATCCCAGATAGTGGCAGACTATGGGGGGGATGATACCGCGACCCCAGGGGAGCTCGAGTCGGCAGGGCAGTGGTGGCGTACGCATTTCATGGACAAGCACCGCGTGACACTGTCAGCAGATTGCCAGTCAGGTGCTCGGTGGTTGGGCCCACTTGGCGCGGGGCAGCTTGCGGGCGCAGTTTGCCAGCGTAATTACACTACTGTAGTGCAATCTCCTGGGCGGAGTTGGTGCCGCCGGTGTGGTTTCACCGTCCGGGGAAGTCAGTGGGGTTTGCGCTTCGCTGCTGAGTTCGACGCCAGGAGGTTCGAGCGCCCTCCTATTGCGCTTGGGCGAGACATCTGCATAGAGGCAGACGAGGTAGCGGAGCACGAAGCAACTTGCGCGCCGGCTGTCCAGGGGCCACAGTCCAGACCTTGGGCGGGCCAGTGGTCGTCGACGGAGTACGTGCGGTCGAGGCTCATAGGCCGCCTTGAGAGTACCTTGCCTGAGGATGGGCTTTCTCATCTTCTCGTTAGTGAGACGGGCCCGGCTGTCCGCTCGCTTTTCGGCGAGGTTGCTCAATCTGAGCCGCCTTGCGAGGCCTTGGAACGTAGTGCGCTGAGGTCCAGGCATGCCGCTTTGTACAGAGAGGTTGGTCTACGCGTGGCCGTTCTTTGACTTCCGCGAAGATGATGACCGTGTCTGGTGCTCGTGCGCAAAGTGTAGGGGCAAGCCTCTTGGTAGTCTTCGCGTTGCGTTCAGACACATGAGGATGGCAAAGAGGGAGTCGGCGATCAATAGGCTTGCGGAACTGCTAGAGCAAGCACAGCGTGAGACAAAGGAGAGGGCAAAGAAGGCGAGGGACGAAAAGGCTGCGGAGTTCAGAGGCGCCGCGGTCGAGTGTGGGGGCTCTGCTTAATCAAGTCATACAAACAGGGTGCTGGGGGTCTGGTTTTGGGTAGGGTCAGGTTGGTAGGTGCTGGCAGCCAAGTAAGCTGTCAGGTTGTCCTGAGTGAAAGTAAGTAAGTGGCTCTTCTACAGAAACGCTAAAAGTGCTCTTTCTATCAATGCTCTTGCTCTCGTGTAGTGAAAGTAGAAGCAGGGCAGTTTATAAAGTCACAAACATAAGCCGGCTAAGCTAGTAAAGGAAGAATGTGTCGTCTTCAGTGGTTGCTTTCTCGGTTATGTAAAGAAAAAAAAGTTTATTACGGTAAGTTCGTTGAGCTCAAGCCTTGTGTTGTGAAGCGCGTGGTAGTGTAGTTTAGTCGTTCCGCTTGCGTAAATAAAGCTAAGTGCGCTGCTTCCTAAAGTCTTAGCTGTTTGAACGGTGATAGTTGGGGTTCGTTGTCTAAATCTCTCGCTTAGGGCTAGTTCGTGTTAAGTTGTAACTTTTCACAACAGGCGCAACCGTGCCGCTTCTCCACTCCAATCGTTGCGTGAGATCCATCGTGTGTATCATCTATGCCGCCCTTGTGGCAGTCTGCACTGAACTTTGTGCGAGAGAGAAATCTGCTATGAGAGAAATCTGCTTTCAAGGTTGTGCCTCTACCTACCTGGAGGCGCGCCTTGTTTTCAGATGGTCCGCCGGTCGCCTTTATGGAAACCGATTGGGACTTTTGAGCTGTATTTTCTGTTGTGGGTTCTCTTGAGGGATTTCAAAAATTTTAGTTGATGGGAGTTTATAATGTATTCTTCTTGAGGGTTTTGCCGTATAGTGAGTGGGTTACTCGTGTGAGCGAGTATATAACTGAGCGCGAAGACATCGCCTGGAGTTGATTTTCGATTTTTAAGAAACTGCATTCATGAGGTAGGACCCTTTGAGAGTGCAAGTGGTATGTTTAAGGATTTGGGTAAGGTGGTCAGTAGCTTCAGCGTAGTCAAGCGGCTTGTTTAAAAGGGGGGGAGCGTCCCATCGCTCTCCCTTACCGATTTTGTTATCTCCCGCCCGCTCTTAGCAGAGTTGTGGCGATCAGGCATAAGGTAGCCCCTTGGGTCGGAGTTTTTTTTTTGCTTTTTGTTTTTTTTTCTCTCATCGGCTGCATAGCGGGAGGAGCCGGCCACAAGAAGAAAATGATGCATCAAGATGAAAAAGAACCTTAAGCAACTAGTAGGGTTTAGTGTTCCTTTACCAATTTCACTAACATGCATGTTCTTACTTAGTGAAAAACATCCGCTTAGTTCTCATCAGCAATCAGCTGCCGCGCAGCTCCACCTAGGGCCAAAAATGGTTTAATTTGATTAAGCGGACAGCGCTCCGCCGCCCAAACGTAGCACTCAACATAGGCGCGTAATGGGGAGACGGGCAACGCCCCGGGTGGCAGGTACTAGGTGTGTAATTATCCCTGCCTTTGCTCCTAGGCTTGACCATTTTGGAATCGTAGGGGCAGTAGCGTAGTTTGTTAAGGAGATTAAGAACTCCCCCCTACGCCGGTAGCTACGCGGAAAGTACGCAGGTAGGATTTGACTCATTGGAACTCGCTCGCAAAATATGCAGGTAGGTTTTGATTTATCGGAACTCGCCCGCACTACAAAAAAAAAAAAAAGCGAGATCGATTGTATTGTGTTGTAATTCATCTCAAGAAAACTACACCTGTTGGAACACCCGAACACGTCCAAGCGCACTATGAGGCTCTTGCGAGCAAATGGAATGACTATCGTTGCAATGTAACAGAAAGACGAGCAGAACGGACGCGCCGTATGATCCCTGACTGTTTAAGGCCCTGAAATGGTATCGAAGTGGGTTGCTCAGTGGGATACCATGAAGGGTCATAGTGCAGCTAAAGATCTGGGAGATCTTGCTGCTGATTCATGTTGGAACTCATTGAGTTCAAATGATGACCATGCGAGGAACTAACAAGAGTTCAAGACGAGGAGCGGCATGGATCATGATCAAGGTGACGAGTGAGAGTGAGCAGTCATTTGGCTTTGAAATCAGGTTCATTCCTTGGATCTTGAGCCAGTAATGACCATTGACCAACAGCACCCAACTTAGGTTATTGGGATTTGGTCCTGGTCCACCACCTAAAATGCGTAAAAGAAACTGGTGAGTGGTTGCAGATCAAACCGGTGGACTAATTATAGATCAAGCCTTATATATTATAGGTATCTAATAAACTCAAGGCCAGAGGCGGCGGCAGTGCAGGTGGAGTTGCTACATCAGACGAAAACTACTATTTTCAAGAATTATTACCTGACCAAAATCCCAACAGCATCAAAATGACCTAAAGCTGCGAACGTCGTTGAGCTTCCCTGGGGTGCTTGCATCGCCAGCCAGGATGTTATGGTCTTAGAGTATAGTTCAATTGGTTTTTCAAAGTACTTGTTGGTGTTCATCACTTTATCTGCATCGATCCAAATCTAAAAAATCTAAAGAATTTTAAGATTTGAAGACCATACAATTACAACTCTTGTTGATGCTGTTTCATCCCAGACATCTACAAAAATCTTCCCAACATCCCAGTCATCATTCCCTCGCCGACCCCTGTATGCCCATCCCCCTCATCACCTCCTCCAGACTTCTATAGCCATCCCCATAATCACCCCATCCCACCACCACCACCCTCCCCCACACCATTCTAACTTTGCCTGCGCTTTTCGGACTCTCCTTCTTATTTTCGGCACATCTTCTCCTGCCTCGCGGCATTAGCCGTGAGGAAGAGCAAAAGGTCTTCGCCGACTGGTATGGAGATGAAAGCGTGGCTGAAGATGATGGGGATATGGACGGGAATGCGTTTGTGGAAGCGACTCAACAAACGAGATCTTCGACTCCGAGGTCGAGTCATGCGACAGGTCAAATTGCGGCTAGTACAACTGTCACGCAGAGCGAGGAGCCTGAAGTACCGTCAGAACAAATTGAGGCAACTCTGAGAAGCGTTGTGAACGATGTCTATGATGTTTCGTCTAACGAGAAGACTAGTGCTAGTGGTGAGGGGTCCGGGAAACTCAAACTGAGACTGAGTAGCGCAGCCGACGACGCCATGAAGGAAATCTTTAAGAACACGCGGCAACGCCTAAAGGCCTTAAAAGTACCAACATGGCAGGCCAGACACATCCGTAATGAAATACTCAGCGAGATTCCCGCCGAGAAAGGCGGGTACGGTGGCATTCCCATTCCGGATCTACAAGGTACAGATTATGATCGAGATTCGAACTAGCAATAGCCTCACAGTTTCTCGGAGTTGTCTTAGAAATCTTGTGCTGCCAACATGTTGCCATTCCTCGGAGGTATAAGTAAAGCATGCTCTAATAATGTGGCCCAGACGAGGAAAAGAAGCTGGAGACGGCTTTGGACGGCCTGCTTAGCCTCCGCGGACAAATTGTGAAGAGACGTGAGCATTTTCAACTGGAAAGGAGTTCTCGAACAGGCCAAAGAGTTCCCAAAAGCCGCATTAGCGATGACTCTGAATTTCCATACAAAGACCTCATGTTCAGCGCGTTGGCTCTGACTGTTAAGGCAGTGGCGTTAGAACTCTTCTTCAGAGTGAGTTTGAGAGACATTAACATTCAGAAGAGCATGATGATGAATGCTTTGACTCATAAAATTTTGACGCAACAGTCTCATAAGGATTAGGATAAAGTTTTGCCGTAACATTAAGTACCAGAGAACGATAATGATTATTTTTGTCTCCTCGTAGGTACTAACTACTTTTTCATCTCCTGCAACCAAGTTCCCTTCTAAGTCGTCGAGAGAGCTCTACAAGGAATCCCAGATTGCTGCACAAGAGGACACGCTCCATCGGATCGATACGGCAGGTGCCGAGTCACGGCACGTGGTGGATGAAATCTACACGGATCTGGGAAGAAATTGGAGCCGTCTAATCGAAATCCTGGCTCTCTCAGACTACATTGCGGCGATGGAGAGTTATGTCCTGTTCAAGTCCAAGCCCAACCCCAAGGTAAACACCAACACGCGGTAGAAGGAGTCGGCGTAGAGTATCACGTTCATTATCGAAGTGCGTCAATAGAAGATCTTTGTAGCGAATATTTTTGAGAATGAGACAGCACTACTTTTATAGTTATAGACCAGCACCGCATTATTTCTTTTTTTATCCTCCATTTCAAAGCCTGCATCGAACATGATCATGATGACGCGTCGTGCACACGTGCCTCGAAGTGTGTTTTTAGAGTGTCTCATGATTTTTCCAAGAATCCGAACTTAATCCTTTTTTTCCCAAGTTGTTTGATATTGTGATTCACGATCGAATGAAAATCATGCCAAGTAGAGGACAGACTGAACAGTGGAAGCGGGTGTGGTGCTAACTCGCTCGGCATCGAAACTGCGCCAGACGTTGTAAGCGACTAGAGCGAGTGGTGTTTTTCTTGTTTCTGAATCAGGTCGAGGCAGGCTGGTGCATGGCCCCACGATCTTTGCAAAACTTGAGCATGGTACTCCTCAGGTTTCGTGAAGAACGAGGTGCTCCTTCGCGTAGGCGCAGTCCTCTTCTGTGGACCCGATCACATGGACAGCCCATGTGCTTGTGGCCTTCCCGACTCTCGATCTCGATCTTTCTGAAACAGGGTAGTGCGGTGCCAGTCTTCATACTTCCTTCAGCGTTTGAGTCTGATCCTCCTCGACAGAAGATCATTCTGCATAAGATCCAATGGCGATTCTGGAACCCTTTAGATGGTCAAGGCCTTAGACTTAGTTTTAGTTCAAAATAGTTTGTAACTACTTACGACTAAAAAGGATGACTCGCCGTCGCACCGGTTACATACCCGATGCACATGACGCGTCTGAGGATTACATAATGCTGAGCCTGGAGAGCTCGTTTGTCCCAGGAGTCGAGGCGCCGCCTAGTGCTCAGCGCAGATTTCATCAACGCAATGGCCGATTCAACGAACTATAGACCTTACTCGAAGCTGATTGCTGTGAGGCTTGGGAAGCATCGAAGGCGCAGACTACAGACTAGAAGCTGTACGAAATCTGGAACTGGCAAACCGCAACCATGTGGACCCATCTCTCGCTGGCGTTAGATTTCCCTCTCGATTATATTCATATTCGAGTGGAGGATCTAAACGACGTTATAGAGACTTGGGTATCCTGAGCACTGACCACGAGCACAAGACACGTGTGGAACAGCAGAGCCAGAGAAGTGTGGTGATGTTACAGCTCCAGGCCCTATCGATGCTGCCTGTGGCGGTCCAGCCCCAACTACACCTCCAATTATAGGGCCTTGCTGAGTAGGCGGAAGTGGATGTCCGTTCATCAGGTGTCCAGGCTTTCTTTTACCTCTAGCATATTGACCCTTCCTATGCGGTTGAAAGTGTTGGCCATGACCTCCTTTTGAGTTTGATGCAAAACAACCGAATCCGTGATGTGACGAGTGTGCTCCTGAGCACTGACCACGAGCCAGAGAAGTGTGGAACAGCAGAGCCAGAGAAGTGTGGTGATGTTGGAGCTGGACGAATCCAATACATTCTACAAGCACGTGGAGATCGACGATGAGAGGCAGTGTTTGGTGGCAAGAAATTTGCAAAAATATATATTCCTATCATGGAGGAGACGTCGCGTTTGGAAAGACATCTCCTGGATGACGAATTTATTATGGCTATACACTGTTTGGAAGTCCGGACTATACACAGTGTTTGGAACTCCGGATTATGCACAGTGATTGGAACTCCGGATTATACACAGTGATTGGAACTCCGGATACACAGTGTTTGGGAGTCCGGATTAGACACAGTGTTTGGAAATACGGATACACAGTGTTTGCAAAGACGTGGGAAAGCTGGCAGATCGAGCCTACAGGTCACAAGTTTCTGAAAAATCTAAAGACCCGTGGTGGTGGTCAGGGTCCTCTGTCGCTAAGAAACTGTACAGATGAAGATTTCATGACTTTTGTTCCTCGTATACTATCGCAGCGGAAAACCTTGAGTGGGTGACACTGGGCGAGTCGTGTCTATAGAGCGAGCGCCGTGCAGGTAGATTCTGCACCTGGTGGCCGGTTGTTTTGCCTCTCTACTCTTCCTTGTTATTGCGCGGGGTTGTGCGACATGGTATTTGGGCGACGTGTGCATGCCACGCACGAACTAGACCTATGCGCCTGCTTCTGGTCCTGATGCGATATATAACGGTAGCGGCCCCGCCCTAGATGCCGTGTCGCAGGCCAATTCTGGTCGCTCGTGTCCCTCGCGTTCGCGTGTGTCCGCAGGTCCGTAGCTGCATGCCGTGCAGGGAGCCGCGTTCTTGCTCCACCTAAGAAAGACGACCTTCTGCCGATGGTCGTGTTTCTGGGTCTGGCGCTCCCATCGCGAGTGGTGTTGCGTCCTTCCTTTTTGTGGAGCAGGAGGCTTCTGGGCTTGTTGGGGTGGGGGAGCTGGTCTTTCAGTGTGTCTTCTGGCTGAGGACTCAAAAAGTCTGGCGTCTGCGTCAGACACCAGGACTCTCGGATGTCTCTCTCTGAATTTCTGAGACCATCCAAATTTCTGGCGTCTGACGCAGACGCCAGCGGTTTTTCCGGTTCGCGTACCGACCCAGTAGTGTGCACTGGGTCGGTAGGTGAACCGGGAAAGTCCCTGGCGTCTGCGTCAGACGCCAGAAATCTGTGTGGTCCCAGAAATCTGGATGGTCTCGGAGACAAGCCAGAATCCTGGCGTCTGACGCAGACGCCAGCCTTTTTGGAGTTTTCGGTCTGGTTTCTCGTTCTCGAAGCAAGGTGAGCCCGAGCTATGGGGAAGCAGCCTCCTGTGGTCGCTGCTGTTGTTGCATGAATGGCTCTCGTTGTTGTTGGATGGTTCGCGGTGTCTTGCGTGTGCGCTTTGAGTTATTCTTCGGCGCCACTGGTGGGCTCGCATAGGAACGCCGGTGTGTTGGCGCGATGGATAGGTGTGTGAGTGTGTGGTCGTGCTCTCTCCCTCGGATTCTCAGGTGGGGGGCTGTCGTCGTTGTGTGGTGTTCTTTTTCGGCATTGGGTGGCCTGCAGAGAAGTGCGTGGTCGTGTGTCTTGTCTCGTGGGTGCCCTTAGTTATGACGGGATCAAAGTTTTGGGCTTGATTGTCGGGCATGTTCTTCAAGTGTAACATCCGCGGCCGTCCGCTTGCGGCATTCTATCTTAGGGGAATAAGTGCCCAGTCTGCTGCACTGAAGGTTTTCCGCTGAAAATCCATGGGTTTCCCCAAGTCATGGAAGATTTTGATTTTTTAGATTTCAAACAAGCGATCATCCATGTTAGCATTCTTGGCAAAATGAGATTTAGATTATTTAGAGATCTACAAAAGATAAAGATGCTGCATTCGGGAAACCGAAATGAACACATTGATATTGAGTTTGACTTTAGTGCGCATTCCATGACGGACATTGACTATGGCAGGACATTGACTATGGCAGTTTTTACTATCGATCTCTTGATGTATTCCAAACCAACCCTCCTTCTCCCGTTTCTTTTGTGTCAGGTAAGCGCACCTTCTCTTCCTACAACTACTAATGCTTCGATATGGTGTCTTGTGGTCCGCAGCTTTGTGTCTTGATGTGTTGTGTTCAAGGAGTTTGGAATTGGATCACAGTGCCGAAAAAAGGGTGGTCGCTCCCTTTCTTCTAGAGTGAATCAAAACGGCACATGAGTTAAAAGACAAACTCAAAGAGACTGTTGGAAAAGATTTGGTATGGAAAAAGGGATGACGAAATGCAAAGTCAAGTCAAATGGAGAACAAAAAGGCTTAAAATCATTGCCATTTTCTAAACTCAATTTAGGTTTTATTTTGGGCTTTGTAGTTGCAGTCCACTGCCTAGGGGTGAAGTTGGTAGGTCCTTTACGCCAGATCATGGGTGAACCTCAGTTGTGGGCCTGAGGTCCACTGGTGTTCTGATACAACACTAGGCACAGCGATTCATCAGAACAAGTGCTGAAACGATGAGTACCTCCACCTGCTGGCGGAACTGGTGCATTTGCTTTTTATTCGGAAAAGACGAGACGTGAAGGAGCAGGCAGCTATAAGGTGGTATTGCTACCGCAGGAGAAAAGTGTAAAGGAGAAATCAGATGGCGAAGATGGCAGTTGTACCGATTTGAAAACGCTGAGCGTCTCCTGAGAGAGCGCATCGCGGATCAGAATGTTATGGCGTCGAAGGAATCTTAACGTTGATGATATTAATGCTAATCTTTAGATTTAGATGAAATCCAAATGCCGAAAATCTCTAAAAGTAAAAATATCGATCGAAAGGAGGCTAACTCTAAAGAATCTAAAGATGTACTTTGTTTCTAAAATAAATATCTTCTAAATCTGAAAAATCTTAGTGTATGCACATCGAAATCGAAGTCTAGTAGTGAGAGTCTCTGTCTCAAAAATGCAACTCTCCCTACTTTCTAATATCGCGTGTGGCTTTCATCGGGTTCATCATCCTTTCGGCGCATTGTCTTCTACTGGGTTCTGGAATCAGCCGTGAGGAGGAGAGGCAGGTCATCTTCGATTGGTATGGAGACGACAGCATTGACGACGATGATGCGGAGGTGGATGGGACTGCGTTTTTGGAAGTGGGAACTTCGTTGGCTTCGGGTTCATCCCAGCGCCGTGCTACATCTAGAAGACCGGAGATGGCGGCGAAAGCACCTGGTACATCTCTATACCACGGACAAGTAGTCGGTCGACGTGGCCGACCTGCTGCCTCATCAGCAGGACAACGCGTAAAATCAGCATATTCTCAGCTACAACCACCAGGAGCTGCTAGGGGACAGCAAGTTGTTGCGCCAAACACACGCTTTGCGGCAGGAGGTACAGGGCGCGCTTCGCCAACAGGAGACAACGCAGGAAAAGGATATTATGCTGCGGCACATGGTGGCACTACCGCGCCGAAGATATTCCTAGTCCTAGACAAAGTGCTGCCAGAAGCAGAACTAAGCTTCATATGCGTGAAACCGTTGCCAGCGTCACAGCGGCCAAGCAGTCTGTCCCTCTGGGAATTCGGAAAATCGGACTTTCGGCTCTTGCAATTTGGTGTCACAGGCACCAAGCAAACGCGCAAGGTTGACCCCGTAGCTGACATGTTCGAGAAGGTTACGCTGATGCTAAAATATGATGCATCTTCTAGCGCTGAAGAGGCCACAATGATCCGCGACAACATCAAAGCCGATCTGGCTTCGCGTCCCGACGAGGAAATTTACGATTTGATGAAGTTTACTTAGAATGTTGTAACTGGTGTGAGAAAAACAAGATGAATGCAGCATGCTTCGCACGATTGTCAATGTGATTCTTCTAATTTCCGAATGACTTGCGCGAGCTTGTCGACGCCGCCATTGATATGATTGAGATGACTGGGGACCGGGTACAGGAGGCGCAAATGGCTGGCACCTCTCCCTCGTTGCGAAAAGCAGTTCAGACTCAGTCTGTATACTCCGCACTCATGGAGCTTGCGATCGAAGCCGGTAGGAATGTTATGGAGCATCCTCGTGACAAGTGCTAGGGATAGAATTCCAATTCTACTTGCATTACGATATATGTTTTAGGGCTGCACGCCCCCCCCCCCGCCCTGTGGTATGGTCTGTGGCGGCGCTCGCGCGCTCTTTTCCGCGCTAATTTTCGCGGGTTCTAGTGGTGGAGGGCGTCATGACTGGCCGCGGGCGTCCCCTTGCGCCTCTCCGCATGTCCCTCAGGAGCCTCCTGGGCTCTGCTGGCCCTCGCAGGCTGGAGGCCTCCGGGGTAAAAGGCCCCCGAAGGCGGCCACGGTCTCAAGAGCAAGCAAGCCGATGACCAAGGGCCCGGAGGGGACAGGCCGCGCGGCTCAGGGGGTCCAGCCCCTCGCCTTTTGCCGCCTTCGGAGGCCTTCCCAAGCCGGCGCACTGCTGCGGCGGCGGAGCATATTGGCGGGATGTATGGCACAGGCAGGCAGCTGGAAGGGAGCGGAGGCGGCCCCTTGGGTCCCTTCTGAAGCCTTCAAGGTACAGCCAGGCAGCTGCAAGGGAGCGGGGCAGGCCCGTTGGGCCCGTTTTGGGGCCTTCCATTCCCGGCAGACGGCTCTTGGAAGGGTCGGCGGCTACCGGGACCCCCCCCCCATGCGCTAGAGGGGGGGGGGGCGCCGTGGGACTTACGTCTTACGGAACGCCGTAGAGCTCGCTGTTCGTGACGCGTGACGCCCACCGCGTGACGCCGAGAGCCTCGGGAAGGGGACGGGGCCTCTGTGCTCAATTTCAAGCGTGGCGCAGCACGCAACCAACTTGCGCGATGTGCTTCACGTGTCACGCGGCGGCGCGTGGTCCGTGGGTCTTTGCTCGATGCGTGGGCCTTTGCTCGATCTGTGGGCCTTTGATCGATCCGCGGGCTTTTGGTCGATCCGCGGGGTCTTGATCGATCCGCGGAGCCTTGGCCAATACGTGGATCCTTGGGCGATCCGTGAGTCTTTGATTGATCTGGGGGCCCTTGGTCGATCCGTGGGTCTTTCATCGATCCGCGGGCCCTTGATCCATCCGGGGAGCCTTGGCCGATCCGTGGGCCTTTGATCGATCCGCGGGTGGTCCTTGATCGATCCGGGGATCTCTGCGCACTCCCCGGATCACTGACCAACCCCCCGGCCACTGATCAATCCCCGGGTCACTGGTCGACCCGTGGGTCTTTGATCAATCCCCGGACCACTGACCAGTCCGCGGATCCCTGGCTGAGCGATCCGTGGGTCTTTGATCAGTCCGCGGGTCACTGATCAATCTGCGGCTCACTGATCAATCCGCGGATCACTGATCAATCCGCGGGTCACCGATCAAGCCGCGAATCACTGACCAAGCCACGGGCCCCCGATCGCTCCGCGGACCAATGATCGACCCCCAGATCGCTGATCGATCCGTGGGTCGCGCGTCACGCGTCACGCATCAAAGAGGAGCAAGAAGGTAACCATTTTAATAGGGGGGCCACGAGGTGGGACTAATGTGGACAGCTCTGCGGCGTTCGGTCCACCTTTCGGGGGGGCGCCGTAGCCTCGAGCCCTGGGCCGAATGTTCATAACAAAACAAGAACTATTGCTTATAGTTCGCTGGGTGTTAACCATTTCCGTCACCGCAGCTATCTGAATACCCAGGCCCAGGAACTCGCAAGAGTGCATACGGGAGTTCATGTTGAGTACAGTTGCGTCTTATCTCCTTCTAAAACGCCAGCGAAAGCAGCAGAAAGAGCTCTTAGAGAACGGGGTCCAGAACTTAGCACGGAACGAGGCTCTTTTGTGAACGGCGGCCAGACGGACATTGACGCTGCGAATGAAAAACTCATGGACGTCGAGCGAATCGGTAAAATGATTTTGCTCTCTAGGTTCGTTTGGAAGAAGGGAGGGTTCAGTGTGCTGGAAATCAACAATGAAGCGATGAAGAAGATCATTAAACGTATTTTTCCAACTCAACAACAACTAGAAGCTGAGCTCGAGCAGGGCAAAATAGCATTATCTGCTAAGAAGAAGAACGCCTAGGCGTCACCTTTATCATGATCATGATGACACAACAAGAAGAAATGCACAATGAATTCGGACCATCTTACATCTGTAGGAAATCTCAATCCCGGGAGCTTTACACACATTACAATAAGTGCTATGCAGTATTTTTTCCTTTCAGATTTGTAAACGTCACAAAATTTAATCGCTATATACTAAATAGCTTTAGCTTGACTTTGATAGCATAAAACAACGACTGCCAGCAATTCCACAGCGATCGTGACACGCAGAGCAGATCATACACGCGGACAGCTGCGTACAGATGTTGATACTGAAACAACACAGTCGGTACCGCCTCAGAGCAAAACTACAAACATGAGAGTCTGTAGTTCCCTCTGGTTCGCAGTAGCATTCCAAAACATATAGTTCTAGGACAAACAGTGCGACTCTGTCCGCAAGCTCTTTCAGACCTACGTCGGTCCAACCTGGCTTCGGTGGAGTTGGACGACCAAGCAATGATGAGGGCAGACTCATACGATCTCCATAATACACTTAATGGGGGTTTTCAAGAGAGAGTGAAAAGTACAGGCAGCTAGCGCCAGATGAAATACAATGCAGAAAAGAAGTAGAAAGTAGGGTCGGAAAAACTTGCATACCAGCGAAAAAAAAAAGAACTTTGATCGCTCATTAACAAGTAGGGAGAGGAAGAATTTAAAACCGGACTACGATTCCTTCCATATCTAGAACGATCTCCAGAACTAAAAAAGGATGCGGTCGCTCCGAAGTAGTTACAGAGGTAACAATTCCTCTAGGTCCTTTTTCGGCCGGTTGCTGTCCCAGATATGCGTGCTCATCAGCTGCATTAGACAGGAATGCATCTTTTTATGGCTACAAGAAAATTTAGATTTCTTTGATTGCAACATACCTTTACCTATCTAACAACTAAGAGAGTACCTCTAATTCTCGTCGGAGTTGAAGCACGCGTTGATAGCATCGGCGATATAATGTTCAAGAAGGTGCTCGGAAGTCGAGGACAAAAACTGGGAAACTCAAGGATGGCTTCAAGTGCAGCACTTACGAAGGGGAACATCGCGCAGCAACCTAGGAAAATGGATACGGACTGGAACTACGCTACGGGGCGAAAGGTAATCCGTGTATTTAGATTTTTTAGATTTCTTTGATGAATATCAATACGATCATTGAAGGTAATAGAGAAACGAGCTATCTTAGAAACATCACAGGATTGAATCCAGTTCCAGATGAGCATCTTCAGGTTCATAGAAGTTTGCAACACCAACATCCACATAACAAGAAGAACTGAAACTCGCATCTTGTTCTATCTAAGATGATTTTTATCCTATGACCATCATCATCATCATCATCATCATCGTCCTCATCATCGCGACCATCTCTTCACAGGGCATCGCTAGCAAGAAGACAGCTACTGGCTCTGCTGCCATGAAGCAGCTTCGCGGTGCTGCCTCTACGGCGGGTCGGGTTCTCAATCGCGATACGCGAAACATTTGAACAACTTTGGCCCTCCTCCAAGCAATTGGGGTCCGTCTGGTCGCGTCGTTTCAAACGCATTGGCAAACGGAGGCTGCAGTCCGTGATAGTCCGCGAGGAAGGCTGTGGTGACGCAGTTGTTATACAGTCATCGAACTCGTGCTGTACAGACGGTCGTGCCAATTAGTTGGTGTCGCCTACGGAACAACATGCAAGAGGAAGACGGGTTTGCAGTTGATGTTGTTCAAGTTCAGCTTTGGGTTTTCTTTAGATTCAAAATTACTATCCAAATTTAGATTCTTTAGATTTTATCGAGAAGGATACTCTCAACGCAGGAACCATGATTGAGATTCTTGAGGAAATCATGCGTGAGCCAGAAGCTTGTACTTGGTCCTGGTTAGCATACGATTTTGTCCAAGACGTTTCGATTAGACGATTCTGGAGATTTGCATAGGCATGAGCATATGAGACAGATTGAAAACACATGCACATCGTTTTTCAAGTATTTAATATCAAGTAGAGTAATTGCAGTTGCAGTAGCTTTTGGAGTAGATGAGGAGTTATGAGAAGTTCTGTTGTTTGCTAAACGTAAATCCGATAATTTTTTGGCACTAGGCGTGAAGCCTAGGTTTGCCTTTCTGTTGTCTGTCTAAACGCAAAGCCTTAATGATTTCTTCTACATTCATACAACACGACTTCTACCACGACCATCCATTCATTTGAACATAAGTCGGCTTTAGTGGATCAGATCAAGATCGCCGAAGACCGAACTATTGTACGTATGCCGCGTATCATTTTTTCACATAATATGGGCATTGTCTTGGACGTGCAAAATACTAGTAATACATAGAAATAATGGCATTCATATTATTAATTACATTTATATTCATACCCACACAACATGTGATGCAGCAGTGCCAGCAAGCGGAAGCGCAATAGCTGTCATCAAAGTAGCACCAGACTACCTCATTGATGTTCATTCCTTGCTCGATCTTGAAGACGGCACCTTCTTGCCTGAATCTGCTCTTGTCACTCTCAGAGTCGGTCCTTTTTTTGAAAGCCTTGGTTGTAGAAATTGTGGATCTGAAAAAGGTGAGGTCTGTTGTAAAGCGAAGCAGCAGTTCCTGCAGGATGTATGACGAAGGAACGCAGCACAGCATGGTAAGATCCTCTACGTTCTTATGCAGATGGGATCCACCACAAACCACGGATCAAGTAGCCCCAAGCCAGTCTGCATCACCTTCTTCTAAGACGGTGAGACGAGAAAGAAAGAACAAGACCCCCCTTTGCTTACAATTCCGGTTTGAGTTTAGTTTTAGAACGCAAGACGATACTTAGACTAATACTTAAGTAGTACTTAGATATCATACTCGCATGCAGATGCATGGAGAACATTTGACAAAAAACGTTGCTTTCGTAGGAAAGCTAAGGAAGCTTGAACTTGTCATTCACATTCTGTATCATAAAAAGCTTTATGAAATCAGAGTACTTTAACTTAATATTTCTACTACTTGGATAAAGATACTTTAAGCTAACAGAGGACTAGTCTAGTACTCATACATGTTTGAGGAGGCAGTCTGGAAACAAGATGTCGGCTGAAGACTTACTTGACACTTTCTCGGATGAGGAGGACGCGGAGGGGATCAAATTTCAAAACGGTGTCCCTACTCCAGCACGATCGTCACTTGGTGGTGTAGATCCTGTAGCTGCGGATACGGTGGAAGAAAGGGAAAAAGTGCAACTTGGTGACCGGACCAAACACGGAGGGGAGAGCGCCGCAAAGCAGGTTGAGGATTCCGATGTCGACGTACTTGGAAAAGTTGCGGATGGTAGCCGGTTGGGTAATGGCGTACCGGTCCCTGTTGGATTTAAACAAGATGCAAGTACTTCTGCCAAGGTCAATGCCACCAAGGAGGCTCTCCTTGACCTTGAGGCAGTGAAGCCGAAACACGAGAAGGAAAGCAAGGTAAAGGTGACGTTTGCCGGTACAGACGAAATTGGGTCATCTAGCGCTTCTATGGCTCAAAACGACGCGGAGCCGCAACCTGGCAAAATTGAAGAAGGTCAAATCCTGTTGGGTGACACCGAAGCTCAAGCAGCACCTTCACCAGCCCAACCATCGTCTTCGTCGTCATCTTCGGATGATGACACTTCAGATAGTGAAGTCTTGAATGCACGAGGAGGAGCTTTGCCCATGGAATCGGATCCGGAAGTAGCTGCCTCAATTTCAGAGCCGGCTTCTAGAAGTAGAGGCAACGAGGTTGAGGAAAAAGTAACCACGCGGTCTACTAAGGCCTCCGCAACCGCAATCCCTTCAGGTGTAGAACAGGGTCAGGGTCGTGTAGGTGTAGCTAAAACTACAGCATCGAATTCAAACGAGACGCCAAGATCGAAGTTTCTCCGCATAAAGAAGGACCTCTTGAACCTTGGCGTCGAAGGTTATAGCAAAACACTGAAGTGTCATTCGCCAAAGTGTCATTCGCCACAAGGAGAAAAAACGAAAGTGGACACCGCAGTTGTGAATGGTACCGCAGGAGCTTCGTCAAGTACAAGTAGTTCATCAACAAATACCTCTCTTCATACTCACAACACCACCCTGAAGACGTCAGGAATGAGCGCTGGTGGCATGATAAACTCTGCATCGAGCGACGCTACGTCTTCTACCACAATCAAGGTGGATAATCTTCTAGAGATGAGGGAGCGCTTCACGGGATTGGCGATCAAGAACCGTGCCATCCGTGGGGAAAAGGTGGAAGTGTTGATGCGTGGGAAAACATTTGTGCCTCTGAACCGGATTCGAGAGTCGCCAGCTATCGTAGCGCAATTACGAGCCGCTGCTGCTAGGAAACGAGACAGAGAGGCGAATGCACTCAACAGCAAACCTAATGGGAGTTCAAGGTCAGGGAATCAGCAGGACGATGCCATGACAACAAATCTTGTATTGATTTGCGTGTTGCAAGATGTTTCGATGATTAAGCGATCAGCAACAGGAAACTTGTATTTAAGGCTACTTATAATTTCATTTCGCTATCCCTTGTGAAAAAATGTGAAGGAACTACTATAAATATATGCGGAGTGGGCATGGGCTCCTTGATTTAAACGGAAAACTGAAATGGAAAAAGGGGATCAGACCACACTGGAGCAGCGATAGTTGTGAACAAGAACTACCTTTAATGCATGTTCAGTGGACTTTCACGGATTGTGCGTGTCCGAAACCTGCAACGTTACGTCTTATGCTATTCGAAGAGGCATTTGAGCAGTGGAAGAGCAGTGAGGCTGGCGCAAAACGTGGCCAAATCTTTGCGATTCTGAATCCGCAAATATTGCCACCGCAAGTTACGGTTCTAAGCAGCTAATCCTGATCTACTTGTACTTTCAACACCTAAAGCCAAAACCACGAAAAAGACCGTCGAAAAAGTTACATTAGCATAAGGATGAGTACTGCCATACATAATTAATGAGTAGGTTGAAGTGCTTAGAAGTACCCACCTACTTCGCTTAGTCATACCTACTTCTACCTACAGTTCTAATTGTCGTAAATTCGGCGATGAGCCTGGTGGTGTTTTCGGTTCAGGTCCTGCCTCAGGATTCGAGTTTTTTTCCGCGTCAATAAGTCAATCAAGCCAAGTTTTAAAATTAGGCGACTTCCCCAACCTTGGCTTCTGTCGTGGAACCAAAAAAAACACGGGAGACAAGTGCCTGTTGACGATCGACCTAGAAAAATGTCCTACCGGTTTCTGTTGTCTCCATGGAGGAGGGCCTAAGAGCCAGAGAGGAAAGGGATGGAAGATGGGAGGTGGAGGGGCATCGCATGCTTCCATAGTACAAGGAAACGGAGGTGGGGAAGGGCGGATCACTACTTTATCCACATCTAGTGCCACGACCTCTGCCTTCACAGGTGGTGCTGCTACTAACGCCTCACATAGTTGTACCATTAATACTAGTACAAAAGCAGCTGTTGCTGGAGGAGCTGAACTTCGCCTTCGTGGTTTACCAGAACATTTAAAGGCACCTCTGATGAAGAGTGGTGACTCAATTCTGGGGATTGGAAGTATCTTCGAGGACAAAGGAAACAAGAATAGTGGGAATTCATCCTTGACGAGAGCAAAGACCCTACTATCTGGATCATCCGTGCAGCAGCCAGGGGGAAGCAAACAGAAAGAGCCGAATGCAGTGTCATTGCTGAAGTTCATGCCTGGGCATAGAGGAGGTACTCTTGGTAGTACTGGCGGTGTGGGAGGTGATAAAAACTCTTCCGGCACCTCTGCAGCTGCACTTGCAGCATCTTCCCACAGTTATGAGAATCGAAACCGGACGGTGAAGAAAGACCCCTTGAAAAACAACGCCCTTTTTGCGAAGGCAACAAAAGTTTTGGGTGGAGGCGCACGACCAACGACGAAGGCAACTGCTCAGTTTATTGCATCGTTCGATGAAGATGGCACTCCGAAAGATGGTGGTAAAGGCGGTAGTGTTGCCGGACATGCTAGTGGAGTAAGTTTCAATCGCTCAATGCCCTCTAGCACATCTGAAAGGAGCATAGGAAAGGCAGCATCGACAAGTAACTACACTGGCAAAAGTGCAATCTTCCCAAATTACAACACTGATATTCATAAAGGCAAAGCTGTAGTTGGGACTGCGTCAACCCATAACTCCGTCTCCCTATCTTCCACAGCTGATGTTAAGCAGGCTGGAAAAGGGCTATTGTCGTCTAAAGTTCTCAACAAGGCTGTCGGAGGTGGTGGGTCTGTCGTGGCGAAAGGCTCCGGGGCACATCAACTGCCAGCAGCGGGTAAGAAAGGAAAACAAGAAATGAAGCAAGGATTACCGCAAGCACCCGGACGGCCGTTCCTTGGAGCAGGCTCATCCTCAAAAGCGACGACGTCTTCTTCATCTTCATCCAATTTTTATCATGGGAACAACAACAGCAAGCCCGCTACTGTGGCTCCACGACCTGTTAATATAGAGAAGCGTTCACGTGCAGAGATCCTTGCTGAGGAAAACACGCGAGCTTTAGCTGCGAAATTGCAAAGAGGAGACATCAATTTGGAAACTGCAGAAGAAGATCAAAGGGCCGCAAAACGTGCCCGACTGATGGAAGAGGCGCAACATCAGCAAGCCCAACATCATACTGCGATGGAGCAAGTCTTGACGCATGGTGAAAATAGGAAGCCGATTTCGACTGGATCAGGAGGAGGAGGCTCGCGCTCGGCAGGAAGCAACCATCAACTTGTTTTGACTGATAACATTTCATGTGGGCCTACAGGCACAAGGACAAACGCAGGAGCTGGACGACCAGCAAAAGCTTCTTCCTCTTCGACCTCTTCCACTTCTCGATTAGCTCAGATGTTTGGTGCTTCCTTTGGCGCTGAAGCCAAAAAAATCGTTGCTGTGGACACGAAAGACCTAGCGATCGCCAAAACGAGGGCAAAAGACGTAGTGAACGCTGCAAAAGATGAAGCTCGTGACGCGCATTTGACAACCTTGGAGCAGCATGACGCACAGCTAGAGGAGAAGATGGAGGTGCGGTTCATCTACATAAACGCATACTGCTGTCATACGTTATGAAGGTTCAGGAACAAGAAGAGGAACTATTCTTACAGAATGCTGATCGCGTTAGTAAGTACAAGTAGAAGTAAGTTGACAATTTTTTGGAGTACCTACGTATAATTAAATCCATACGTCGTATAGATACATGCCCAGAAAGCGGGCCCATCAAGGGCCCGCTGCGCCGGGCATAGGTTAACAACTAGACAGATTGACTACTAAGAGACAGAAAGAGAAGCGAAAAAAGTCGCCAAGTCTGCTCGCCAAGGCTGGGAAGGTGGCTCCCACTGTGTCAAGGAAGGGAAGGCTGGGGAGGTGACATCCTCAGCGGCTTCGTGAGGACTTGCATGTCTGAAGGGTGGACCCTGGTGAGCGTCATCATATCCATGAGAAGGCCAAAGATATACATCTCTGTGTGTGAAAGTCGAAGCCGTTGAGGATGTCGATGTCTGTGAGAATGATAGCCGTGAGGACTTGCATGGCTGAAGGGTGGACCCTGGTGAGCATCATCATATCCATGAGAAGGCCAAAGATGTACACCGCTGCGTGTGAAAGTCGAAGCCGTTGAGGATGTCGATGTCTGTGAGAATGATAGCCTTGAGGACTTGCATGGCTGAAGGGTGGACCCTGGTGAGCTGGTTAGAAGTATACTGGTTAACCATCTCCAAGGGCTGCCGCGCGCTCCTGTGGTCGCTTGCTGTGTGCGGAAGGTAGTCGCGGAAGGGGAGCGAGCTAGCTTTTTTACAAAAACTTCAGGGAGGTCGTTCCGTTTTCTCTGTATTTGAATGACCTCCCTGAAGTTTTTGAAAAAAAGCAAAGGCGCTGGGCGATAAATAACAAGGGTAGCGGCTGGAAGTTCGTTGGGGCGATTCGCTAGGGGTGGGCGCGTAGTGTCCTGCTGCAGATGTGGCTGGGTACGTGAGTAGCCTACAAACTAACAGCCGCGAACGCGTTAACATGTTCGCGGTGCCTTTCCACTCGTAGCACTAGCAGCGCAAGGGCTTTAGAGAGCCTTGCGAGTCCTTGCGAATCCCTTAAGGAAGGGGCTAATATTAGCCAAGGGCTATTGCAACTTTTCCTTAAGGAGCTTCCTTAAGGAATTTTTTTTCTCTTAAGGAAATTTATAATAACTTTTTGTAATAGAAATTCCTTAAGGAAAAGGGTTTTCCTTAAGGAAGCCACTTAAAGGAGTCTCTTAAGGATTTCGCAAATTATTGCTAACCCTATAAATACTAATATTCATATCTATTTTTAATCAATGATAAAGATTCTGGGACTGGGTAGCTGCTAGCGCTAAAAGCGCAATTTCTCTTTGGGTACTTCTAGACTAATCACACCTATTCGGTCCTACGACGATTCAATAGGAGCTTTAATTATTCTCATTGTCATTGCGTTTGTCATTATGCATAGTTCTTTCTTGATGCTTTTTCATTTTCCTGCCGCTCTTCGGGTGGTCCGCCACTTACCGAGAAACGGCCTCAAGAGTGCTTCTTGGCTGGTCACGAAGTTGAGACTCGCAGAAACGTCAAGAAAGAGCGCGTACAGTGTCAAAAATGCAAATTTTCCTTCTACATCCTCGACGAAAGAATGGACAGACGCTGTCGACGATGCCAAGCTGAAAATCCATGGCGCAAAGTCACCTTTCACCAAGAAAAGAAGTCAGTGGAGGTCCCGGCAGACCTAGCAAGCAGTGTCGATATTGATTTCTCGTCGATTGGAGAAGGAGGAAAACACAATCTGAATTATGACGGCAGTACTACAGAGGAAAAAATTACAACGTGTAGATCATGAGTGTAGCAGTGGATTTGCCCTCATCATCATCTTTGTTATTAATTATATGACTTTGACTCTTGAACTTGATCATCTTACTGTTACTTTACGGGTCGTAGTCTTCAACCTAGAGCTAGAAGTCTTTATCATCTTCTAAACCCTATTCGGCAAAGAAGCTTTTCACGCGCGTGGTGTGGAGCATCAGAGGGCATTGGACTTCAGGGGAGACGACGATGGAGACAACTACGACGGCTTCGGGTATGCGGGACTTTGAGTGACTGGCATTGTATACTTGCACTTGCAGCATTCCCATTCGCAGTAACAGTTCTAAACAAGAAGCAGAGCTTGGCTCGGGAGGATGAAGAAAACAAGGGTCGAACATGAAGGGTGACTTCCAGGGGTCGCCGAAGGATGAAGAGGGAGATGACTTCCATGACAACTGCATGTCGCTCTCTTGACCTAGTCCTTGATGTTTGATGTTTCTGTCGTTGTCCTCGGAATGGACATCTTGTTGATCCTGTATTTCGAAACCGTTCGCAGAATTCGAATAATGTGCCAAGTACAAGTAGCTCTACCTTCGTTCTTTTCGACAAAATCATCATCCCTCGTCGCCATTGATTTAGTTCAGGGGAAAGATCAGTACTGAGGAGTTGGAACCGGTAAAGAAACATCGATCGCTCACCCGCAGCGCCGCAAAAATGGTCGTGGAAAATTTCGAAGATAGTGCGGATGCTATTGTTAACTCTATCTTTATCTATTAAGGAGACAAGTGTACAAAAAAAGTAAATTTTTCCAGCTTTTGTCGTACAACAAGAACTGTCTTTTCTCTTACGACAACGGCAGGCAGAGGCTTTGCTCGACGTGGTGCTAGGGAGTAAAGGAAAAAGCTTGAACGCGAGATTTTTTCGAACTTCCACAATTTCCTAAAGTGGTTGGGCAAGTTACAGTTTACATTTACCACGGAAGGATCATTTGATGTCGGAAGAACAGTTAGCGAAATAGGGACAGTCGTAAAAATAAGAGCAGCTACTTAGTTCTTCGTCAGACTCAGTCTTTCTCCCTAATAGACTGAAAATTTTGTGCTTCTTAGAAGAAGCACTACCACAACGTACCGCTAGAAAAAGTTTAGAACCAGACCCACCCTCGAATCATAAAAAACTAGAATCTCCCTCATAGCTCAGTCATACAAAACAAGATGGCGACTCAGAACGAGCTTGACAATTTCTTTGAGAATAATGCGGCGATGCCTGGGATGAAGCCTCCGCCACCCATCGGGGTCGATACTCGGGACTTCCATCACAACACTGCTGGCGGCTTCGGCAATACACCGATGTTATGGGAAGAAAGATGACGTCTGCATAGACAAGCAAGAAGATCAAGAAGATGGATATGAATTTCAACTTAGTGTATCACATTTCTTCAAGACTACAGTTGTCTTCATTCTGCATGATGCCGAAGTCGATGCTGAGGATGATGCCTACTCCTAAAGAAGTCGTTGTAAATTTCAGGAGCGAACTTTTAGCGCTTATTATTTATATTGTTTTTTTTAAGCTAGTAGAATCAACGAAAAAAAAAGTAGTCTGGGTCATGATAGAAAAGCCCACTTTGCAGGTCTCTAATTACCAAAAAAGGCATCATCCTCATCATCGACTTCGGCATGATGCAGAATGGGGACGATGCCTTTTTGCCTTTTATTTTGACTTACGTAACAGTATCAGTAACTTAATAGATACACCTAAAAAAAATACATATAATAGAACGTGACAGTAAGTTCTTGCCTGGCCTTTCTTTTTTCGGTTTTTGTTTTTTCTGGTTAGATATGCTCCACCAACATTATAATAGAACGCGACAGTAACTTAATGCGACTCGTCTAACGAACCCCGGCTCGGTGAAACTAGACGGAGATGCTGGAGGTGGTTTCGATTTTAAGAGCATAGACCTGAAGACTATGAACATGGAAACGGCACAGAAGCTGTTTGGTGCTCTAGCAGTACAAGCGCAACTAGCTGTTGCGCAGATAGCAGTCAGTGCACAGGGAGGCTCTTCAGCAGCGTTTTCGGCTTTGCCAGGAGGTGCAGATGGTGGACCTGCAGGAGGTGCTGTTATGAGAATGTAGTTGGTCTTGGTATCAGTTACTCTTGAACTTGATCACTCTTTTTATCCTTTAACTTTATTTACTACACGTACACTCAGTCGCGGATTCTTGCTCCTCTTAGTCGTATTGAATTCTAAGGGGAAGTCAACTAATTATACCGTGATTACCTTGAGGCCCAGAATCATCTGTTACTTGTCAGTGTCTTCTTTGTGTATGTATAGAATTTTCAAAATCCAAGTCCTACTTCCTTGGAATTATAAAGTACGAGTAGCTACTAGTACAACTAGGTTGAAATTGTATGTACTAGCTAGAAGTACTAGGTTGAAATTTTACTTGTAGCTCACATCAACTTGATCGAAATATTGAACCTAAATCATAGCGGAAAAATTGGATGAACAAGGTGAAGTCCTTCTCCTGCTTCCTTTAACTGCTCTAACTCTCGCGTCTTAGCCAGTGTCCCAAGCCTCATGCCGCAAAGTACAAAGCCCTGGAAGGCATTTTTCGTTCCTCTTAGGAAGCCGGCTGATTCGGCACAGGCTTTGGTTAAGGCTTGAGAAAATCCATCTGGTCACCCAATCCATCTTCTTGTTCCCCAAGTTTTGAAGAGTGTTTGTGAACACTAGGACTGTATATTTTCACCCTCAAGGTGATGCGGTTTTTTATATAATTCCCGGCCTGTTTCAGTTGTGCAAATTGTGAAGGTTTTGCATGATTCTCATGCGGTTGCAAAGTTGTCAAATGTGTGGACCTTCTTGTTCATAAGTGTCACGATAAGGATCCACATCATTAGCATGGTACTCCAGTGGTGTGATCTTTGTCACTATGGGACTGCAATGATTTCCATCATGTTCATGCTGTTGATGATCTTCATACTCATGAAAGTACTAGGATCATCGTGTTCATCTTCTTCATCTTCTTATTCCTATCATTTGCAGAACAGGGGAACTGGATCATATCCCCCCTTAATCTATACTCCATCTAATGAATGGCGTGTAGATTACAATAATAATAGTGGTTGCAAGTTCGACTATATTCCAGCGAATGAATATAATACAGAAAAAACATGATGCATGTTTCGATTGAAGATGAATAATTTTTGTTGCACAATATTAGAAACATAGGCTATTTCTACGTAGCCAAGTATGAGACTTAGAGTTCTTCTCCAAAGTCTTCTTCAACAACATTCTCAATGTTGTTTTGTTCTTCTCCGTTTTCCTCAGGGGCAGCGGCTGCTTCCGCCGGTGCTGCCTCTGCTGGTGCTGCTTCTCCCTTTTTTCTGGCTTTCTTCAGCGGCGGCCCTTTTGCTCCACCGTCTTCTTGTTTACCTTTCCCCTTTTTGCCTTTGCTTTTGTCTCCTTTGTGCGGCTGCTGCACCGCTTGCTTCCCCTTTCCTTTGTGGTAGCTGCTGCTGTTCTTCGTCGCCGAACTACTGCTACTACTGGAACTACTAGAGGAAGAAGGAGTTTGCTTCGCAGGTGCCATTTTGTGGGACACCCGTGTCGACGTTGGACAGGCTTGAACGAGGTTGATTGTATTCTCAATGACTCCCATCGATCCAACGGCATCCAGGTTACTCACCGTCTCCCGAGCGTAAATTAAACGTAGAATACAATTGTGGAAGAATGCACTTCCTTCTTTCCTCATTTTCCTGGCCAGGTCCCAATACTCAGTCTGCAGAGCAAGACCCATATCCGAGCACTGTCGACTGTAGTGAGAATTCATGTTCGGGCCGTGGTTGATTATCCACTCCTTCCAAACATTCTCCTCTTGGACAAGCATGCACGATAAGCATAGTTGGAATGCTTTTGCGTAGTCGCCGTCCGACCTACATCCTTTCAAAGTTGCGACGTGTCGCTCAGTGATCTCGTAGAAGATGTGGCTCTTTATTCCGAGATCAGCTGGAAAAGCAGGCGAAGGGGGTCTTGTAGCAAGTGACTCCTCGTTGCCTCGGATTGCTGACATCAAAGATTGACGCCAAGCTTCCGTCCCTTGTAGTCGTTGAGGCTCCTTCGGAACGATTACTCTCGCGAAGCCCGACACTTTGTTTTTGTTTTGGGTAGTTGTAATCTATATTGTTAGATAATTACAAAATACAACGGTAAACTATTGAAGAAATACTATACGCGCACTAAATATTTATGACTAGAACCCAGCTAGAAATAGACGAAAAAAATTCCCGAAACAGTAAACAAGAATATGCATGAAAATCCGATAACGTTTAACGAACTTAACAGATGCAAGCATCAATACACACGAGATCCGACAACGAACCTCGATGAGTAGAAAATAAATTAAGTTTACTTTTTGGGTTTTGTTCCTGCGATTTTATGGCATAGACTCACAAGCGTCGGCTTATTAAGTGCCTTTGTGAAGATGTCTGCCTTTTGCTCGTCAGTGGGACAGAAGTGTAGATCTAATTTCCCTTCTCCGACAACTTGGCGGATCCAGAGTAATTTTAGATCCATATGCTTGACCCGACGAACTTCTGGCGATTCGCCGACCGCTTTCGCGCTTCGGTTATCGATCATTAAAGGAATTGGAGCTAAAGACTTTTTCAAACGGCCATGTGGATCCGTCGATTTTGATTGTCGGCTATTGCCTAGATTTTCAAGAGATTCCTGAAGTAGTCTCCGGAGGTAAACTGCCTCCCGCGCGATTTCAGTCGCGGCTATAAGCTCCGCTTCTGTCGTTGACAGTGCTACGACAGGCTGCTTTTTACTTCGCCACGCGATAGGCGTGCACTTGGTTTGGCCTAATTCGACGAGACCTCCACTGACCGATCTACGGGTCTTTTTACATGTTCCCCAGTCAGCATCTGACCAAGCTTTTGGAGTTAAGTCACCGTCGCGTCCATCAATGTCTAAGGCGAAGCTCCGCGTCTTGCGAAGATATCCTAATAATCGATCACACACTCGCATGGCCACTGGCGTGGGCTCCTCTAGTCATGTGGATATGTATTGAACGACATATGCAATGTCATACCGTGTTGATGTACATAGGTACATGACCGCACCGACAAATTTCCGGTAGGTCGATTTTTGTACGCGTGTAGCGATTTTCGGGCGAGATTTCTCAGAAAGCTCTTTTTCGAAACGATCTATCTCCGCCCGTGTTATGGGAGTATCGCACTCTTTCAGAGTTTTATCTGGGTCAAAGTCCTGCAGAATCTTATCGACCAGATTTTCTTGACTCAAGGCCAGTCTGCGTCTCTTCTTGAGAACGTTGATGCCTAGAAACTTATACAGTAGTCCGCCGTCCTCGAGCTTTTGCGGTTCACGCGTATTGTGTTCGAACCTGTCAAGGATCGAGCCTCGAACCGCGGCTATGTCCTCTTTCCGACCTAGAAAGACTATGTCATCCACGTATGCGAGCATGCACACACGGCGCTCGCCGTGAAAAAACATGGACGGTTCGTTTAAGCTCTGTTTCCAACCGGAGCTGGTGGCGTGTCTTGCGAACGTCTTAGCCCAGAGAGCTGGAGCACTTTTCAATCCATACAGGGCTTTCTTGAGTTTCCATCGGACATTCTCCTTTCCTTTGCGCCATTCGGGGGGTGGTATGCAGTAGACGTCCTCGCCGACTATGTCTGCATATAGGAAAGCTGTCTTGACATCATATTGCTCGAGATCAAATTCTAGCGCCTTGGCTATCTTGAACATGAGCCGAATATTTGGGATCCGAGGGACGGGCGAGTAGATGCTCTCTTGGTATTCTACTCGGTTTCCGAGCACGACGGCGCGACACTTGAGTCGCCCACACTCTTGGACATTATATAGTACTCGTATCGGCACAGCCTTCGCTCCTGGAGGCAGGTCGTTGACCGATATTTCATCGAATACGTCTCGCCCCTTGATCGAGTTTAGCTCTGACGCCAGCGCGGCGGCCCAGCCTCCTGGATCCTCTGCGAGTGCCTGTTTTCGCGTCAAGGTCCTTAGCAGGAGGACATACTCATCGTGGGTCAGAGCGTCCGTAGTGTCGCCAATCTCGATTTCTGATTGATTCTCGATGATGTTGGCTATAAAGTCGACATTCTGAGGGGACAGGTCCTCGATGAATGTGACTGCCGCAGTGTGTCCACTGGGAAGCAAGGTCTCTTCTTCCTTGTGCTTACTGCGTCTCTCCAGTTCTCGCTGCAGGTTAAGGTGTACAGGCCGACTCTCTAAGCCCATTTCCTCACGGAGCGCTTCCGCGAGTGCCACTGATCTATGGCGACCTTTCGAGCACTGGAGCACGAGCTTTCCGCTCTTTTTGAGAAGTTTGGTCGCATCGCTGAGGAATTGCGAGTAGTTCTCATGTGTCTTGATACCGTCAGACACTTCAGCACAGAGGCCTGTGCTGTTTGGAATGTACCTAGCTGGATCAGCTGGAAAATATTTATTGACTCGGAGAACAGCCGCGCCGAGGCGCTTGAGCTTGGCGGGGATTTTGTCTCCACAGCTGAAGAGTTGATACCGACTCAGATTCTTTGGGACTTGGAGCTTCTCCAACATATCACGCGTGAGACGGACTACGGACCCCGACTGTGCGGCGTCAGCCTTTTCTGGTTGTCCACTGTCTCCACTTTTGTCCGGTTTCGCTTCGGGAGCGATGGACGGGCGGGATGAATCCCCCCTGTATGTTGGCTCCGCGCCAAAGTCTACTTCCCTGGTCCTGATGACCTTTTTCTTCTGCTCGTCCCAGACTAAATAGTCTGGCGATAGGTGCGAGTATCCTACAAAAATACCCGGAAGATACGCGCGCTCCATCTTCGTTTTCACGAAGTTTTTGTATCGGCAAGGCGTCCCGAAGGTCCGCATATGCTGCGCGCCGGGCTTAACCCCGTTACGCTTTTCGTAGGAGCTCACGCTCCCGAGTATCGCGCGTGGCGACCTGTTTAATGCATAGCAGAATGCCTGTGCCGCGAAACCCCAATAGGTGTCCGGGAGTCGCGCTGTATCTAGGAGACACTTCATCCCCTGCATGACGAGACGACTATGAACTTCCGCGCTACCATTTTGCGCCGGTGAGTACGGTGATGTCTTGCGCGGCCTGATGCCGTGCTTTCTCAACAGTTTGAGGAAGTCGCCGTCGAATTCTTTTCCGTTGTCCGAGCGGCAGACTTTCGGCACTCCAAACATGTCCATCCATTTCTGGAGTCCGGTGTATGCGTCGCTTTTGCGCGCAATTGGGAAGACTTCTACCCACGAGTCATATCTATCCACGATGATGGCCCAGTAGCGGTTGCCGCCTATCGATTCAGGTAGCGGCCCGCAAAGGTCCACGCTGATTGTGTGCCCAGCTTCGGTCGGGAGGAGTCGTTCGCGCGTTTCTTTGCTGAACGGTTTCCGGCGAGCCTTGTTCAGTCGGCAAGCCTCACAGGACGGCATGTAGGTTGAATGCCCCATCCTGTTGTGGATGACCTCTTGGGTCACGTTGAGCTCTCCCGAGTCCAGGTTAGGCCTGTAGCTGAGGCGGAAGAAGTATAGTCCTCCCCTCTTTGTGATTGGGATCAGCGTCCCGCTAGGTGTTCGCAGTCCGTCGAAATTTTCTGTGACGGTAAAACCTGCGTCCAAGAGCATACTGAGACTGGCGATATTTCGCGCCATTTTCGGATTATAGTACGCACGGCGAAGGGCCAACTTATGCCCGTTGTCTGCCGTTAGTGTCCGTAGTGATGCCATGTAGCCGCCATTAACATGCGATCCATCCGCTTGTTGGATTTTCCCGCCGTCTTTGGTCGGAGCACGGATCATGTTGGAGTCTTTGACACAAAATATTGTGGCTCCACTGTCTAAGATCCACTCAGTTTCGATCTCATCGCTGACAGTGTGCAGAAGGATGCTTTCGAATTCTTGAACCGTGCGCATGCACGCCTGATCCAAGGGCTGCCGAGTTCCTTCTTTCTGTCCCGTCGCGGACTGATGCTGCGACGTGTCGAGAAGTTGTTTTTGGTCGCCCTCGCTGACGACTGGCTCGCAGATGGGACACCCATCCTTTTGCGAGTCTTGCCTGCACGCACACGACGGAGGTTGCCGCGGCGCCAGACTGTCTTTGTCAATAGCATTGACGAGATCAACTCCCTTCTCACGAAGGAAATCGATCCAGTGTACACTTCGTTCCTTTGCTCCATGCATCCCATGGAGGCTTTCTGATCCAGGTGGACGCCACCCGCCACTGGATCTTCTTACCTTGGGCACGGGGACCGAGTACGATACTAATCCCGTCCCAAGGTTTTCCATCCTTCTCTTTTGAGATTCGCTGTTGAGTCACAACGGCGGCACAGCGCCGCCGAGCACTGTGATGTGCGAGGCGATGCCGTCCCTCTTCTTGCCTGACCCGGATGGATTGGTAGTCATGCCCTTAGGCTGATCCTTGTTTTGCGATCCTCCATATTTTCCTCCTTTACCTTTTCCTTTGCCCTTACCTTTACCTTTACCTTTTCCACTGACCTCTGTCTTCTTTTGAGCCTGCCTGGAGAGTATCTTCTTTGCCTGTTCGGAGATTGGTTTGGTGCATTGCCACATCGTGTGCGCCGAAGAGCCACAGTTGTAGCACGTGCCAGCTTTGTGCTGTTTGAATGTTGCAGGTGGGTCCGTGACTTGAAAGACTTCCTCAGCGCCCGGCGTGCGTGTAGCAGCGCGCCCGTCCAAGTTGACTTTGTTATGCAAGGAGTATTTTGTTTCCTTGACAACATTCTCCAACTCGAAGTCGCCTTTAAGGTCTCGCTGAATTCCCTGCATTTCTTGCGAAGGAATGTCACTCCCGATGCCTTTGAGGTAGCACATTCCTGCAACCTGCTCCATCGTCATGCCCTTGACTTTGGCATATATGATGCGGAAATCTCTCTCCGCGCTGGCAACGTTTTTTGAGGATGCTTGGAACTCGATGAGCTGCCAAAAGTCATCCCAGATTTTCTGCTGTTGACGGGGATTTATCCACCGCTCTAGTTCTTCCAGCAGTTCCTCGACGGTTGCGAAGGTTTTCGTCGCAAGGTGGTCGGCGCATTCTTGTCCGATCTTGATGGACTGTTCGACGCGATAGACGAGATCATCCAAATCGAGATGACGCTCATACGTCGCGCGAAACTTTGCGAGCTTCTTGAGCCACATATCGTGCTCCTCAATCTTTTTGAGTGGCACTATGTTTTGCTCGACCTTTATCCTGCGGCGCGACTCCACCGTTTTCCACGGTGTTTTGTCTTCATCCTCCTCCGCCGGTGGAGGGGTTTCCTCACCCGTTTGCGAGTGGTCCTCCTCTTCGTCCGATTTGACGAAGTCCGTATGGTTGTCGATTAGGCTACTGTAGATTTCACCGACTTCGTTGTCCTCTTTGAGAGTATTTATCTCCTGGAGACAAGCATCAATTTGCGATTTCAGAACTCGCTCTTCCCAGAGTGGGTCTCCCTCTTTCAGAGGTTTAGCACCCTCAGGCCAATCTTCCCTCTTGATTTTGCAGTAGACGAATCTGCCTCCGCCGTGTGCTTCCGAGGGGTAGTAGTCTACTTCGGCATCTTCGTAGTCAGGTGAGCCGTCGACGTTAATGACGCCGCACCTGTACTTGATGCTGCCTTTTCTTTCGGCGTTGTAGTATTCTGGCTCAATGTAGACAAACGCCATTCCACTGATGACATACTGCTCCAAGCGCTTCACGCGCGCAGCGTAAATTTTCATGGCTGGGGCCATTTTATCTCAGTGGGGTGGGATCCTGATCACCACCGAAGCACCCGAGATATCGCGCCTTGGCAAATTGCCGCTAGCTTTCCCACTGTGCAAGCCTCTTTATGGGGAGACTTTGCACGGGATCCGACTCACGTCAAAGGTCAAATAACAAAATCTGCCGAAAAGAGGCAAGGTGTTAGATGGACGTGCAGCCGTGTGTCGCGATATCGCCCCTTCCGGGGTTTCGGGCGCACGAACTTCTCCGCCAAACGAAGAAGGACGCGTCTTTTTGTGGGGTTGCGGTCGCCTGGGCGAGCGCAGGTTTTTACTTTTGAAGCAGTCGCGTTTCGCGAAAGCTTGTTTCTCTCTTTCTTAGGTGCCGTCGGACTCAGTGATGCAGAGCAAGATGGATTTTTGCAAGGTCTAACTTCGGAAATCTTACGTCGAACGTGATAGCCTATCGCACGAACTACCTAGTAGCATTTGCGATATGGCAGGTTGTGTGGCTGCTGTTGTTACCCGGAACGATATTGCTCTTCGTAGTGCTGGCGGCTGCATGGTATTTCTTCTTATTCTTTTCTATTGTGATAAACCTAGATGAGAGAAGGAAAAATTATCTAGCTGAGGTCACTGGTGCTGCTTTCAGTATTCGTCCATAGATCCTACCCAAGCTTCCTTTCCACCTATGTGAGAAAACTAACATCTCTTCCTATAATTTGGGTATTTGAGCTTACAACTAGATGAAATAACGAATATGAACATGCAAGAACTCGAATTCAGATTCTGTGAAACCTGCTCAGGACTCTTTTCCTGAAGAAGAACCAAGACCCGGAGTGGGCCGTGCAGGCAGGTGGAGTCACGTTTGGCCCTTCCCAGCGATATCTTGTTATGGGCTTCGTCACAGGGTTGCTCCTGCTGTTTTGGTGTGGTAGTGCAATGCTGTCCAATGCGTTCTATTTTACCATACTAGCAATCGTCCATGGCGTCCTTCATGACGTGGAAGAAGGCGCCGCTGGAGGAGCAGCAGGAGGAGAGTTGGGTCCACCAGCGGCTGTAGCGGTTGATACGGTGTAGCACTACTTACGTACATCCACTCCGAATCGACTAACATCGTCAGTACTACGCACATGGAGGTGTCGTATGTTGCTACTACGTACATGGAAGTGTCGGAAGTACTAAGTACTTACGTTACTAAAAGAAGTAGTCGAAGGTCAAGATCTTCCTGAAGTAACTGCAACGTATTCCCATGATCATGAACTACGGTGATTAAATGTACTTAAAATGTATGAGTACTCCTAGTCCAAGTAGTCCTACTCCATCTCGTAAAAATTGTCATAATTAGGTATCTTATCGCAGCAGTAGATGTTTGGAGTCCAAGATCCAACTCCAACAAGAATGAAATTGAAAAATAATTAAACAACTTCTACACACGTGCGCTGCTCATCATGAGTTAACACCCCATTATCATGCAGCCTCATACGAAACACGAGCAAGAAGAAGAACATCATCTAAAAATATGAATGCCGATATTTCGCCATCCATCTACTTGTGTTTTCTTAAATCGTGCCGAACCAACTCCGAAGTGTCATGTTTGATCTTCAGATTCCCCACCTCCTCTTTCTCAGTACTCTACCTAGTTCTAATACTAGGAAGATGATAGGCCCGCGCCCCCATCACCTCCACCTACTATTTTGTCGTCAAACGCTCACCGCATTCCCCCAACTGTGTGCTGAACCGGGCACCTCATTTCACCGCATCACACAGAATCGGGAACAGCATGCGATCGCATCGGGAGCAGGGTGAAGGAATGAACAGTGTTCAAGAAGAGTTAATATCGGGTGTTGGAGATAATACTAGTATCTACACAAGAGCAACAGCACAATATGGATCAGACTGAGTGAAAAAGGAATGGTGTTGTCGCTCCTCCTCTGGCGTGGTTCTTATAACATAGATGAACCGAGAGAGTCACGTTGTTCATGGATGTTGAAGCAGTGGCAGAAAAGAGACCCTCTTCCTCTTGTTTCATCTGAAAAATTTAGATTTTTTTGAGGTTATCAACTGTTGTCTTAGATCCTTAGTCGTGGTCGTCCTGACTTACGTACCCGGCTAGCCTGCAAAAGCTGATTGTAGTCACACGCTAAAAGATGTCAGTCGTCCCTGGAGTGCTTGCATCGCGGCGCAGTTCGTTAAGGCCTTCTTGAGTGCTAATTTTGATGATAACAGACAAGAAATGAGTTTTCACTTTTGAGCTTCTTTAGATGAAAGTCAACTCTTCCGACTTCGAAAACACTACATACATGCAAACAAAAACAAATGTTGAACTTGCAGAAATAGAAACATCCACATCCCAGGACTTTCCCTTTTCCTCCCCCCTTCCCCGCTTCCTCCCCTTTCCCGGCTTCCTCTCCTCCTCCCCCGTCTCCTCCCCTTTTCCCAGCAGCTAGTAGTCCTAAACCGAAAAAACTTTTACAACATCCTGAGTCAAAATCAATGATGTTACAGTAGAAACAAACAACAATCTTTTCAGGACACATGTTAGTAGAAACAAACTCTCCGTCACCTACAACTTGAACCTCCAACTCTTACTTGTCCCATTACCAACCCTAATCCCTAACCCTAACCACTTCTAACGCCGCGCGTCGCTGGGGTCTTTCTCTCGACGTGCTTTTTCCTGGCTCAGGGAATCACGCATCCTGAGGAAAGGAAGATTGTCACAAGCTGGGATGGAGATAACTTGGAAGATGAGGATTTGGATGTGAGTGTCGTCAATGCTACAGCTTTTACGCAAGTGAAGGAAGAGAAGACCTCGGCGATGAGCAGAGGTCAAGAGCAGCCAGATGTTTTGACTCAGGTCGCGGACTGGGTTGCTGGAGCTAAGCACGAGTTGGTCATCCATCAGTCCCCCGAAGGGCCGCAAACGTTTTACCAGGACTTCGACAATTTTGTCAGGGAGAAGATTCGTGGTGAGTATTTCATAGGCACTCGTCCTGGTGTCACAGGCACGATGATGCCACAGGATGTATTCATAAGAAAGAACGCGCAGTTTCTTCCTGAGTACGAAGCTCGATTGGCGATGCGAAAAGCGATGATGGCCGCTAGTGACAAGGAATTTGGGTTCAGCCGGAACCGGGGGGTGGTGCGGTTTCCTTATGCGTATAAATAGCTCCAATTCCAATTCTAAAGCGCAACTTCTGTTAGCGTGGTCGGCGTAGACGTAGTTGTAGTAGTTCACACTAAAGATATACCAAGTAGAAACTCCGTGTCTATGCGTGTGCGTGATCCCTTCATCATGTTCATGAGTAGCAGGAGATCATACGAAAAAGATGAAGAATAGACACACGAAGAGCGAAGTGCATGGTTGACGTATGACATTTGTTATATATATGGCAGCTTAAAATTAGCTTAATTATGGTGTAGAAATGTCTGCACCATCTAGCTCTAGGTGGTGACAAACACATAAATTTTTGTCTTGGGTCGGACGTTTTTCGCATCAAAAATCACAGCCGTTGCGCCCAAGGTTAACTACAAGACAGCATGACTTGCGGCGTGCTGATCTTCTTGCCTTGGTTGCGTCTCATTGCTAACACGATTGGGAAAGTCCAAGGCTCTGGCGGTGGTATAGTCTCTGCTGGTCTTTGTGCCATCCTTGGCGATGCGACTAAGGCGGCGAAGGAATTGATGGGCACAGCTTCCGGCGGAGAGATTGCTACCCTTCTGAGGGGGTTGATGAGTTGCCCAAACGCAACAACTTACGCGCCGCTGCTGAAGAAGCAACTAATCAGACACACACTGCGGAGAAAGACGGCAGCACCAGCGTCAAGGCCTGCGCTGGCGACACAGTGCTGGCGTTAACATTCAAAGCAGACGACGCGCGGCCAGCTAGCGCCGTGCTAGCTCTTCGCTCGAGTGCGGCGATCTTGGAGATGATGCCTCTCGCGTGGGAGCCTTCACGGCATCGGACAGAGCCGGGCGCGTGACTTATCCACCCGATGGCAGCTCCTGCGCTATCAGTCGAGCAGTTGCCAAGACACTCCGCGAGGCGTCGCCTGTTTTTCTAGTGCCGCCCACGTGGAAGAGGGGCCGCGCCGTGCTGTTTGGTTTTCTTTTCCGAGCTGATTTGGAGCAGGCCGCTCGTTCGTTCCACACTCAGGCGCAAAGTGTACGATCTTGAGCGGCTTGCGGGCATGTATTGAACTGCAGGGGGGCACCAGCTGGGACTCAACTGCGTTGCCCTTATTTGCTAGCTGCTCGCTGGATTTCAGCGCCAAAGCTGACGCGTTTACTTCTGGCGGCGGCTTGTGAGATATTAAACCTTGCGGCGCCTGTAGTGCAGAAGGCTCCTGCTGCGTCAGTCTTACGCGGCTTCGGTGTCAACGATCAGGCGCTGACACGGGTCAGGGCTGAAGCTGGTCCGACGGCGGAGCGGGTCGCTTTCGCTTTTAGCTCAGTTTTTGGCTGGGCGGCGCTAATACCTACCGGGGCGCGCGTGCTGAGACGGCAGGCAATTCGATACACAGGGGCAGCAAAATCGGGCACGGAGCTGCAGCAAGTGCCTGCCAAACCTTTAGCAGAACAGGAAAAGGAGGGCCCGACGAAAAGCTGCCGCGCGCAGGATGAGGATGGCCCACACCTTCAAAGCGGCGCCGTGCGTGACTTCTGACGCAGCTCCCCCTCATTATCTTCGTGACCATTCCAACACGAGGAACGTGCCGGCAGTCATGACGAAGAAACTGCTCAGTCACTCTACTTTCTCGCGGGTTCTGTGGCTAGAGCGGGGCCCAGAGGTAGCACGGGAGGCGGGGGCACAGGATGGCGGCAGTTGGTACGTTTGCGGCGGGTACTTTCTGACGATGAAACGAGCCCCGGGCTATGGCTGTGCCGTCTGGACGAAGGAGCCAGCCCTCTCGAGGAAAGCAGCGGCAGCCGTGGCAAGAAGACTGCCACAAGACAGAGCGCCCAGATCACAAAGGAGACGCGCTGGCTGTGGCTTGTGGTTTTTGCAGCGAACTTCTTACATGAAAGGGCGGCCATCAGCAAAGGAGTGCGGACGTCACTCGCCGCCTTCCGATGTAAGACAGCGGTCGCCGCTGCATGCCCCCCGCTGCATCTTCGCAACCTCAAGGAGGACGGGGCAAGGATGGCGCGGAGTCTCGCCGCGTCTGATGGCAACCGGCTCGGGGATGATGGGCCACGCCTTCGCGTAAAAAAGCTAGACGCTCCTCCTGCGGTGCAGATGGGAAAGCTTCTAGGGAGAAACATGGTTACCAGGATGACAGTGACGCGAGCCACAACAAGAAAGGAAAAAGCTGAAAGAGTGCGCGCGGGATGGCGTTAAATGTGGCCACTAGAGCAGGGGGGCCAGTGGTGTACAGGTGTAAACAGATGAACACCAAGCCAAAAGCGTGGAACTTTTTGCACAGAAAAAGCAGAAGGCGCAGAGCGGAAAACTGGCAACCAGTGGCCCGAAGGCTATAATACTGGCAACATGTTCAAAACGCAGAATATCCAAGAAGAACGACGGACAGCTGCCGCATTGATGCGCAGGCGTTTGCGTTTTTTGAACGCGGCGCTTCTTGATCTTGTGGCGATCGAAGTGCAAGCTCGTCCGTGCGCCTCTATTGAGAACATCCGGGCGGTCGCCGGCTCTCCGGGTGCCTCTTGTAGGTCTCAGCTCTATAAGTCGCTACCGACTGCGTGGCACTGCGTTACCGCCCCCGGTCTTTTGTCTGACTTTTTAAGCAGACGGCCGCTTTTTGCTTGGAGTTTTCCTTCAAAATTCCCCAAAGCAAAGAAGGACTTAACGGCGCCTTGAGTAGGTTTCGCGCTTCCTCGGCCGTCTTCACAGCCGCAGGAAATGCACTATCATCCCGCCGATGGCTTCGTATAGTCGTTTGGGATGTATTATGATGATGAATGCCGGGGCTCGAAATCCTACTCCTAGGCATGTTGTAGGTATCTTTACGATAACTTCAATTAAGTAGATGAGATCTTTATCACGCCAATTTTTCAAATTTTACTCCCTCTAAAAAACTACGTGGCAAAGTGATCGCGGCAACGCCGATTTTGATCTGTCCACCTTCGGCAAGACTATGCAAATGAAGCTCCATCAGGAAAGCATTTCAACTAGTTTGCCAATTTGGACGGAGGACGATTGTGTGGAGGGGGATGGTGAGGGGGCGACGAGCGAAGCCGATGCTGAGGCGGCTGCTGGAGCAGTGCGGTTACTTTTTCCATCATGTGAGATCGAACAGCAATTCAGAACCAACTTGAAAGACCTGGCTAAGGCGTTGCTTGACGATAAGACTACGCATGCTGTCAAAGGCTTGATTCGTAGCCGAGTGATTCCAGCTCTTTTGCTACGGAAATGGCTCATTGTCAACCAGCTTCCGACACTCAAAGAGGTAATTTTTCATTTTTTTCTTCTTCATGGGCCATTTTTTGTCACGCCTTTAGAGTGTAAAATGTATGAGAGTTACTACGATGACGACAAGAATATGTGTACACACTACGAGGCTGGAAGTGAAAGATCTACTTTTCCTCATCACTTACTTTATTTGTTGCAGGTAGTGCTCAAGGAGAGCGACCCACAGAAGCGACTGAATAAAGCAGTGACTGCCGCTGATCATTACGGCACGGCGGCTATGGAGGCCGCCAGAAACGCAATAGAAGCCTCAGTAAGGGCACGCGCGGCCTTACAGAACGTGCACTCAAGTGTAGCGGCCTTCTACATCACAAAGGGTGTAGCGCCGTCGTCGTCAACCGGTGATTTCAGTGTTCCGTCAGAATCACGATCACTGAGTGTCGTAGACAACCTGTCCGAAACCTCTTCGACGCAGAGTGCCGCAACCGTAGACCTTCACCAATTTCCACTTGGAAATGAATAGGAGTAAACGGAGTCTGCAACTTGCTGATACTCGCTCCGCGAATTTACATCAAAAAAGAAGGACAACAAAAAGAAAAATGAAAAAGAAATGTTGATGACGAATTAAAGCTTTTTTTTCCGGATTGCTGCAAGCATTGCAAACACTATCTGCTAGTCACATTGATCATCGACTCACGAAATAAATTATGTTCATCAGGTTTTTGATCTTTCATCGTAAATCTGTTTTTTTCCCATTGGAGTTTCATTAAGACTCTCGCTGAAAGAAGACATATTTCTCTGCTACCTCAAGACGAATGATGAAGATGGGGCTCCCCTAATCATTAGGTCGGTCGTTGAAGAGACCACATCATATTTATAGTTTTAGAGGCGCTCGAGCGTTCTATACGTAATGTCGAACGCTGGAGTCCATAATAATTCCATGGACGTCTGAGACGATGAAGAGGATTTCTAAAGGAGAAGAAACGGTGTCCCGAGTATTGATCTACGACTGAGGTGCTAAAGTCCATGATTTATGTCTTAGCGCGTGTTTCCTGACACGGTCCAGTTGTTACTTTGAGGCACTGGGACAAACAGTACGAATGACAAAACGGGTTTCATAGTGAGAGGGTGGAGACGAACGAGCGGCTAATTTAGATCATCTAGACGTCTATGAGAAGTTAAATAGTGGTCTGAAAAGGTAGCAAGCAATGATGATATGTGGCGGACCCGAGTGAGATTCGTTACAGTTGGTCCACCGTCCGTCGATCGCGGTCGTCGTCCCTTTCGACGAGTTAATCAATAGTTCGGACCGGCCTTAACAGTCATAGTCGACCTCCGCGGGAATACCTACATGAGACAGCTGGAGCTGGACGACGCAGTTCGCAAAACGATGCATGTCGCTCGTGTCCTTTACGGACTTGACTTTGACCCCGTCGGCGCTCAGATGCAGAGATGCGGCTCAACTGTCGGCGACGACGCGAGGCATGAGGAGAAGCGTCAGCTGGCTGCGGGTGGTACTTGTCATACTAGGCTAGACACTGACACGTAATGTTGATATTTTGTTTTTGTGTCTGTACAGAAATAACACACAGGGATACTATAGCACTACAATCTAGACGTAGAGATTGTTGATATGAGCACTTGAAACCTAGGGATTGTTGTTAAGTACATTTAGATTTTTTAGATAATTTGTCTCCCATTTATTTTGGCTTCCGCAATCCAACTTATTCTATCCACAGCAAATTGAACAACAGCTACAGCCTCCTCTTGCTCTTTTATTTTCGGTGGTCGAGTCTAAAGAGTCCATGGATTGGGTCTAAAAAGTCCATGGACACGATTGGCAATCGTAGTTCCGATCCGAACCGACTAACGTCCTCATCGTGGTGACGGTTGACGACTTGCTTATGCGTCCGCCACGAGTGGCGTATCACGCAAACCGCGGCTTTGTCTTCGGTCACAACGGTTCCATCAACAACAAGAAACAAGTCCAGTGTGAAAGCTGAAATTCCTCGTAAATGTGGGACACACAATCACTTCGAGGAGCAATGCGGATGAGCGGTAGGATTTTGTCTTAGATCATTGTCTTCTTGCTGCAACTATGTGGACAATCAAAATCTTTTTTTTTAATTATCTGCTACAGTCAAAATTACAACCAAAATTCTGGTTTTCTTCATGGTGATGGTAATCTGTCATTTACTATTCGCTGTAGAAAGAAAAAGATTTGTAGTTGCTATAGGGTAAAAATAAAAGACCAAACAATGTCTCACATCCACAGGAGAAACTGTGATGAGATCGAGGACCAACGAGGAGATCTCTAGCATGATGCGAAAGAGACCGCTGAGGATCTACACAGGAATCTTCGGCTTCGGCTGAAGGTCTGTACCGGCCAGAGCCGGCTTCTGTTGACCTGCAGACTATGGCCGTCAATGTGATGCAGGCACATTCCAGATGGTGGATTGCTTGAGACTGAGCTGTATCATGTGATCATGAGCGATGCGGCGCGCAGCACTTTGGAGTGCAGCAGCTGAACATGATCATGACCGATGCCAACGTGGTGGATTGGTACCGATACAGCTGGCAGTACCACAACGAACGACAGGAAGGACATGAATTTGCTTCCAGACTTCGTTGTCCGCTGGGTTCCGCAGGTAGCGCTACTTGTCGCACAGGAGCAAGCGCACGTCGTGCTCTGTTGCGCCCGTTTCGCTACATTTGAGTCCAGCCTGCACATCATGAACTCCACTGACGCGGCCAATTTGGATTGCGGCGACTGGGCATCATTGAACGCAGTTCCAGATTGCCTAGGTCTTCAACTACGTGCCAGATTGGCTTATGCAAGTTCTGTGGGAATGGTACGCTTAAAATAGAATGCCTGTTTAAGTCCAATTTTTTAGGTTCGAAGAATACAGACTTTGTCACTTGAACCATCTGCGTATCTCATCCTCAATAAAAATAATCCCCTTTCTTGCATCTTCTTCGCCACCTCTTTGCACCTATCATGATACCCGTCCGCATCCTTCACAACAGGTGTGCGACGATCCGCAATTTCCTGTGCATTGGTCTTGGTGTAGGTCCTTCCACAATTTCCTGCACGGCCTTCTCTGCATGCTTTCGCAACAGCTGCACAGGCTGTGCGTCGGTTTACGTTCTGACGCCCGATGCTCCTCGTATGGGCGTTTTCTTAGATCAAGAACGCCTTGGCCGTCTGTATGAACACCATCTTCAACGAGGATACCTACGACGTGGGGCGCTTAGGAGAGCTTACCATGCGCGGAAGATGAATGAGGAGAAGGCGCGCCAGTAGATTCCGCCGAAGGACATCCTGGATTCATGGCCGTCGGCGCGATGATGAAGATACTTGGAAATTCTACTAATTTAGATCATATATTCCGTGTTTGTCTTTTTGTTTCAATCATTTTGCCCGACCTGTTGGTTCTGAGAGAACGACTGAAGATGTTTTTCCGATTGATGGAGAGCAAAACAATTTATTTCATGATGTCCTTCCTTTTATTCCTGAGATTGCTTAGAACACGTGACCTCCTATTCCTATCTTATTCCTAATTTTCTTGCGCTTGCACAGGACTTATTTGGTTGGACAATTGGGGCACAATATTTCATGATCACCTTTACTGCAGTCCGATTTAGTATGTCACTTCCAATTGTATCATGGCCTTGAAGAATTGTATCCATCGATCATCATGAATTTGTTTATTCCTCCTTTGCGTTTGTCATTCTCTCTGTATTTTCATTCTCAACTTCTTGATATTTCCTTTGCGCACATTCCGAGGGTAAAGAGACGACACGCGTGGCTGAGCTGTACACGTTCATGTCGATCCCCACCTCTTCCTCAGCACGCTGAACATGATAATAAGTTGACAAAGGCTTACCCCATTCCGCCCAGTTGCGTCAAAACAACCCTGTAATCGTCGCCACGACTACCCAACATGAACACTTGTTTCTTGTTTTTCATGCCTTGCATTGACAATGGTCTACTACCTTTTCGTGCTGACCGCCGCAGTTTTCGTCTCCGAGCCACGAAGACGGACACTCCTTTCGCGACCTATTTCAGATGATCGTGCGCGTCGCTCCCGTGTGCGTGTTTCCGTGAGAGTCGGTCTTTGGATGACAGACTCGTTGTATGGGCGATGGCGAAATAGAACGAATAAACATAAATTTGGCGATTCTACATCACTGAGCCTCTAGTTGATGAAGTCATAGAAGTGAGATAAAAACAAAGCGACGAAGAGAGTACTCACATATATGTCATGTCGTAGAAGATCCTGACTCATCTCCAATGGAAACACGTTCGCGCTCTTAGATCTGCCTAGTTCCAAAGATCAGAACGCAGTCTGAAGATCCTCATGCATATTCTACTATTTGCGGAAACTCTTTTCTACACTTTTCTCTCTCAAGAAAACTTGGCTGCTGTCGCTACAACGTGCAAAGTGTCAGCTTAACTCAGACTCGAACCTTCAACGCTTTTCATCTTTTTGGAACCCCTTGAAGTTGAGCTTTATCTGAAAAAGTTTCTCGCTCTGTGAGCAGCATTTCCCACTCGAGCATGCTTCTCGTATCCGCTTCGCCTGTCGCGCGGCCGGCCCATTGGAGCGCCTTTTTACAGGAAAAGGCGAAGGCGATTAAGACGTGATAAGAGAGATTACTTGGATAAGACCTTCTTCGTTGAAGGTACCAAGGATGAAACAACAGGCGAGCACGATTATACTCAATTCAAGAAGAACATCGCTGCCTTGCAGCGCTTTAAAGACACTGGGGGTATCGGCTTTCCGGTCACAGGGAACAACATGCTCATGGCCTCGAAAAAGTTCCAGAAGGTGCCGAATATTAAGGCAAGACCGGGGAAAAGGTTGCTCTGCGCGTAGGCATGACCGACCGCTGTAGCGCATTACACGAAAATGCGAATGTTCAGGCAGAGGTGGATGAAGTTTTAAACATGGCAACTGCTGTGATGAAACGTCACACGAAAGGAGAAAGAGATAGAAGATTGCTGTTGCTGTCGAGCCTTGCTCTTGTGGACGAGGGCCTGGACTTGGATGAGACCGACAAAGAAGCCCTTCGCAAAATTCTTCAGCTCTTCTCTAACAAGCGCGTGCGCTCTCACGATGAGTCGACACCGTTGCTTCAGAAGAAAAGGAGAACCTGGACGGAGGCGCACGAAACCTCTTCGAGGTAAAAAATGTCGGAGTAAATCGCTCCGCTTCATCTCTTGATCATGGGACGTTATTTTTGAAGATAAGTATAATTGTCTATCTTCCAGCACAGGAGGAGCTTGACCATCAGAAAACTGCCAGTTGCTGAGTTGAGTTGGAAGTTAGTCCACCTCTCGCGGAGGAGGTACTACTTAGAACTACTGTCAATATCAACGTGGTAGCATGCTAATTAACCAAGTCCGATTCCCCAGGTGTCGACGAAATATCCATTTTATTTCGTAGCTAGACATCATAATCATTCACGGGCTACGGGGGACGAGAACGACGGTCACTGAATTCTAGAGATTTGATTCTGACACATTCTTTCAGTAGTTGCTTGCTTATTTCAATTTTGTCGAATACTCACATGGGTAAAAGAGGATAGGTTCTGTCGCTGGAGGGCGGGAAGGGGAGAGTAATAGTTACAGATGACGTTGAAGGCCCACCTGAACCAGAACCTAAATAGTGGATTCCAAAGTCTTACGATTGTGGTGGCTCCCCGATCGTACTAGTACTACGAGGATCACTACTAGTAGTTGTGCAAGAACAGCATAGTACAACAGTCAGTATATCATGATGTATCTGATTAGAGTGAGAACCAAATGGTTACGATGATGATTATGTTACAGCGGGGACTACAACAGTGCCCTGGATTTCGTACAGGAGTGATGCGCCAGGATGTGGGAACACTTCTAGTACTGATAGATAATTCTTGTGGTGCTGGAGCACGAGCAGGAGCACCTACCTGTAATTAGAAATACTTAGAAAGAACGAAAACCTGAAAAAGGAAGCAGACGTCGAGAAAATCTACTTATAATGTTTAGATATGAAGAGAACACCTAAGAAACGGTGGACCATGATGAAATATCAGAGAGGCTGTTGTTATGAAACGAAAATCTGTTATCATTATCAAGTTTCTTAAGTAGAAAAGTACGATAATGATAAGAGATTTTGGCTTCATAGTTGTATTGATGATATTCATTGCGCTCACAGAGACATGGAAGAAGAATGAACTACGTAGGAGGAGGGATGCGTACCAGACAGGATAGAAATGACAAGAAGCTAACTCGTCCTCTGATTCTGATTCGCCTCTCAGGAGCATTAAAAAAAAAATAAAATGGATTGAATGTTCTGTCGACAGGCAAGGGCCGCAGCACGAACACCGTTGTATAGTGTTTTTCGCAGGAGCAACACGAGCTCACCGTTAACCCTGTAATTTTGGTTCTATGAAGATGAATGGTGATAGCCGAACTGAGGTGGAGCGAATGAAGTCAAAAACTTTTTTCTTTTACGCAAGAAAAACATGAGTTGCCTTGAAAAGGTGAACAAGACGGACGGGGAGTGGCATCAATCCTACTAGGCTTAGCACATCATGCACCAGAGATGACATCACAAAACCTACTAGACCAGCCTCCCCTACCACGATTCGGCTTCTCGGGATGAGCTTGAGCGAAACGGCTGCTTCATATGGCTGAATCACACAGCCTCAGCCACCACGAAATGAGAATCTAAATATCAAAAATTCGCAATTAGTCAGCTAGCTCGAAGAGTAGACAGTTTGAATGTGCATCCATCTTGCAAGTAAGTTGAGCACTGCGGGTAACAGACGAGAAACAAGTCGAGCCTCCATTTTCTAAGTAAGATACTTATAACGAGAACTGAACTGCATCAACTACATCAACCATTGTTACCTAAGAAATACCTAACAAGAAGAACGTCCGCACGAGTATCAAGATGTACAGTCAATCGCCCACAGACATGTCCGCGGTCGTCCGTGGAGGCGGCCTAGAGCAAGCAGGCGGCTCAAGCAGCTCTTCCCTCCGTTCTACTGCACACCAAGAAAGGCTAAGCAGACAGAATTCTGCCACACATGAAATTATGGCTCGAAGTCGAACGAGAAACTTTTTGAATTTTTTTGTCAAGATCATCCATCGTCGTCGATCATCCTCATCATACATTCGCACGTGAATGAATCATGTACACGGTAGTTGCTTCCTGCAAATAAATAATCACCCAAATAGTGTTCGAAGTCACATCAACGATGATGACGAAAGATGAAATTGAAATTAAAATTGAAGAAAGACGCGCGTCCATAATATCCCATCCTAATTAATAAAGAGAATGACCTTGACCCTCCTTTACCTTTTCCATATGATCCTTTCCAACCCGTATGGGTACAGCCGTTTCTAGTTGTACTTCTTCTAACGAAAGTTCTCCTGTCACCTCATCCTACGCTTCCTTGAACGAAACGAATCGCACGAACCCTACGACCTACACTGCCGCAGAAGAGGTCGTGGAGGAGCAGGATAATGGCGCCTGTGAGGCGGTGGCGATCTTAGGATCCGGAAGTTTTGGTATCGTGTATATTATGGCTAGTACAACTGTTGTATATGATTATGACTATCTTCATCTTCCCATGTGGATGAATGGCTCCGGTATTTGGTAACCTGAATTTGATCGCAAGGGTTCTCTTCTTGTTTTCCCTTATGATCAAACTCAGGGTACCAAAAAATACCGGAAGCATAGATACAGTGGAGTATAAACATGCCGAGAAATGGAGTCCCCTTTGATGAAGTCAAGAGGGTTGTAGGGTGAGGAAAGGGAACTACCCACTCAGCCACGGCTAGCCGTGAAAAACTACCTCTAACTATAGCGCAGAACGAGCACCAAGAGGTAGCGGGAACATGATCGCTATAAAGAAAGTGTTTCAAGATCGAAGGTATCGAAACCGAGAAGTTCAGATCATGGAAGAGCTGGGACGCGGAAATCATCCGAACATCGTGCAGCTCGTCCAGTCGTTTTATACGAAGGTATTATTAAAAATATATGATGAATAAAGTGATGAGTGAGGCCCTTGAACTAGAACTTGCAAAAATATGTCCATCTTGGTCGGCTTCTTCTTGTATAAATTGTTCATTTCCATCCTGTCTTCCTTCTTTTGTAACCAAAGGACACTCCAACAGGGTAGCGACGAGAACCACTTGTACCTGAATCTGATGATGCAGTACGTTCCTGACACGCTGTACAACGTGGCAAACCGATTAAAAAGCGAAGACGAATACGGCCAGGTCCCGGACTACTATATCATGTTAAGGTGGGTAGAGGTTTTGCTGTAGGTTTACTGTGCAAGTGCATTGTAGGTGTATGGTTCTGGTATTTTTGGTATAGCCTGAATTTGATCCTAAGGGTTCTCTTCTTGTTTTCCCTTAGGATCAAATTCAGGCTATACCAAAAATACCGGAGCCATTCAGTAGGTTTACTGTGCATTCAAGTGCATGTTGAGAATATGATTTTTACCATTTTTGCGGGGTGCTAGCTGCAGTCAAGTGACGTCGAAGCAGGAGTTGCATTTACCCCGCCCTCTCTTTACCCCCAGCCTCCTGCCTCTCCTCCTCTAACTACGATTTACTCTTACCAACTCCTTCGCGCACTCGGTTTTCTCAAGGCGCACAGCGTGATGCATCGCGACATCAAGCCGCAAAACCTTCTGGTCGACGAAAGAGGGCATCCACCCCAAAACAGACTGAAGATATGTGATTTCGGCAGCGCGAAAACAGTAGACGACAAAAATCCCTCGGTGCAGTATATCTGCAGCAGGTACTTACTTCGTGTAGTATTTTTTCGCAACTCTAGACTTTTAATCCGTCGGTGCAGTATATCTGCATCAGGTACTACTTACTTCGTGTAGTACGTCGCAACGTTTCTGGTTCTGATACTTACTTCGTGTAGCACGGAACAGTTTTGCTTTATTTGATAGTTTTGAGGAGAACGACGGAATATTGACAACTTCTTCTGAGACTGAGTGGGACTCTCTCGCTGCATGCATCCTACAAAGTCCTTGACTTTTTTTCCATGCATTTTTTCTGCTGAGCCTTTGAACCACATTGAGACTAACATCAACCAAGTCCCCTCGCACTCATCTTTTCCTCCAGATACTACCGTGCCCCCGAGTTGATCTTTGGGTCAGAACGATATGGTTGTCCTATTGACATATGGTCCGCTGGTTGCGTGATTGGAGAATTGTTGAAAGAAGGCAAACCTTTGTTTCCTGGAAACTCTGGTGTCCTCCAGCTTGTCGAGATCATCAAAGTTCTCGGGACTTTATGGTTTATTTTTGAGGTTGAACTTGAATTTGATAGTGGTACTTAATCGAAGTCGACAAGAAGTACAAGAAGTTACAGTAGTATGTCTAGGTATTAAGAGCACTGCTACATGAAGCAGTATCACCACATCTACAGACAGCATGAAGTACGGCTGTAAGTATTATAGCACGTGGTCCTGAATCTTGTCTTAGTCTTGGTAGAGAAGTAGAACCAGAAAGCTTTCTCATTCATTTCCCCCAGAACGACAGGAACTTCGTCCGATTCTTGGAGGACCCGGTGTAAAAGCAGACTACTTCGACACTTTCGCATACAAACCGATAAAAGCACGCGGCTTGATCGAAAAAATGCCATGGAGGATACGGTAGTGGTTGAAGTCAAATTACAAGTAGCCGTAGCGTAGTGTTTCATAGACTATTCGAAAAACTGAAATAATTGCAAAACCACATCAGAAACCGTTCCACTCGAACGGTCCAACAACAACGCGCGTTGGAACTTCTCGAAAAAATTTTGCGCATAAATCCCGAAGCACGCGTGGAGCCGTTGGGTGCACTCTGCGATCCCTTCTTCGATCCAATACGCGCTAGTCGCTGTCACCAAACTCGAAAAGGCCTGGTTTATCTGCAAAAAGATTTTGCGACGTTCTCGGAATTCGAACTGCAATTGATGGACGAAGGAACGAGGAAAATATTGAGTATTAAGGCTTCTAGGTCGTTTTTACATTTACTTATGTTGATCATACTTAACCTGAGAGGGAGAGAATCAAGGAAAATGAAAATGTCGCGTCCCCAAGTAGTACGTGAAGAGCACAGGGTGTAGCTTCGAATGTTTTTTATCATTCAATTCCAATCCCGATCTTCAAGCAATAGACGCTACTACAACTGAATTTTATGGGTAAAAAAAACCTACTAGATGTTGTGCCAGTAGATCGTCCTCTAAGCCGGGAACCGCCACCAAAGACAAGGCTGAAACCGATTCGTGGCTGGGTAGCGAGAAGTTGTGTTATAGCAGAGGCGACCACGCGAGAAATACAAATACAAATGGAGGTTTTCATGCTAACAAAAACTACAACAACAACAACAATTATCCAAACACGTCCTCTAGCGATGGAGCGGCTCTAACGTCGTCGATTTTCGCAACAAGTGCATCAGGTGTAGGGCTTAGTCAGCACACAACGAGACCCTCTACAAGGCTGGCTGGCATGTAACTACTAGTTTGCGGGTATGTAGTTTCTTTTCAATGTTGAGACAGAAACACGCGGCCGCCAGTCGTGCTTCTCCAACGAACTCTGATCTCATCTCATGAAAGACGATGTCAATGACAAAGAACCACATGCAGATAGACATGATATATTTTTGGTACATCAAATTCATTGCAAACTTCGTGGCAGAGGAGCTTGTGAGGCGGAGGCCGTTGTATTCGTCGTTCACAAAAGAGATGAAGAAGTAGATCACTTGCAAAGTCAATATATCTCTCAGATAGATTTATTGACTGTGCAAGTGGGGAAAATAACGTGAAGTTCAACTGTAGGACAGAAGATAAAGATCCGTCATCTGTAAAAATTGGAGAATGAATTGAAGCTGTTGCTCTGCGTTATCAATCAACAAAGTCTTACTCGTATTACCGTAGTTAAAAACATGGTTAGTCATGATGTTGAACGAATGCCTCACCCTGCACAGGTTTTGATCACTAGAAGGAGTTGATTGTGATATACAACTAAGACTAAGTATTTGTCCATCTAAGAACGATTTAACGGCGCCTCAAGCAGGTTTAACGCTTCCTCGGCCGTCTTCACACCCGCAGGAAATATATCATCCCGCCGATGGCTTCGTATAGTCGTTTCGGATGTAGTAATAGTATGATGATTTGTCCATCTTCTAGTACAGTAACAGAATCTGTATCTTCCGATGTGGAAGTGGACCACGAGGATTCTCAACCTGATGTAAGATTACCGTCACAGCTCAGTTCCTTAACAGCACTATTTGATAGGCCATTGCCACCTCCCACGACGTCGACCATGAGTATTTTTTGTAAAAGTAAAAGCCACTAATAATTTATCCTCTTATTTTTTATTTTACTGGGTCCGTCCTCCTGCGTCCTCCTCGTTGTGTATCTTCTTAGAAGCCTCAAGATGGCAGCCGTTCCTCAGCATTTGCAAAATATCCGAGCCTATTCGCCAACAGCGAGAGCGGAACTTCGTGCTTTCAAACGATGGGGTGACAGTTTTTGTGACGGTTATGGATAGTTTTTTTATCACCTCGTGTGGAACAGGTGGACTAGTATTCATTGTGAGTGAATATGTTGGATCCCCTTTTGAGTCTTTACCGTTGCTTTCCAATGAGGAAGGGTCGGTTAACGGTTAGGTTAGTCAGGGCCTCTAGATTTAGGGCTGAGGAGCTCAGCCTTAGGGTTTTCAGATTAGCTACGCTTCTTAGACTTAGGGTTTTTAGATTTGAAGAGGTAGAAATTACTCCACTAGGACTAAGAGTTATGATGGAACACTGGCTCTAAGGCGGAGACGAATACCCCGAAATCAACCCGAATAGTGAGCGATAAGTCTCAGTGTGGGTGATAGGAACAGACCTGAATATTTTCAAAAAAGAGAAAAATGAAAATGATCAAATTTTTCAGTCAGAGTAGTAGTATCACCTCTTAGTCGGTCTGACGACCACCTGCTTTCGAGTGTGAGGAAAACATCAAAGTTTTTACATCCGTCACCTTGCACCTTGGCGGTGTGAATAGAGTAGAGATACTTGTAGTCAGTGTCAGTCCCCCATAATCATGAACCCGTTCAGATTCTTACTTCTTGTTGTCCCGTCACCCTCTATTTCGAAGGAGCGCATCCCGCAAAAATCGTGTGGAATCGAACGAAGCTTCATGTTCATTAGATAGGTTGTTTGGAATCTACTAGTCGATGTAAAAGTAGGGTACTAAATGTTTGAGTCAATCTGTTTCTGTATGTTTTTTTTTTGTACCTGGGTCGATCCACGTGAATACAACTAAGAAAGCAGAAACTTCCTGGAATCTTCCCAGAATCTTCCCGTATGTTTCCCATCTTCTCGCTAGCAACGGCCGCGGAATCTTTCCAGAAACTTACCCCAGCCACGACTGGAAAACTTTCCGGAAACTTCCCAGAACCTTCCGAAAAGTCGCAAAGTAGATGCAAAACAGACGGAGTAAGTGTTTGGGTCAATCAGTTGCGTTTGTGTAATAAATTATAAGCGAGACCAACGCGCCCAACATGGCTGCCTCAGCCGTCGCTGCAACCGGCGGGTTTCTCTCGGGCGTTTGCCTAGCGCCAGTCCGTTTCGCAGGCACAAAAACTACAGGTGTCATGTGCATTTCTGTGGTAGGTGTGGGAGCAGTCGTAGCTACTCTCTTGCGCGCAAGGCTGCGGCTTATTGTTAAGGGCGATCACACTGCAATGCGTTTTGCCAGCAGCTGAGATTCTTCCTAAAAAAGCACTGACTTGCTGGCTTTCTAGAAGTGCACTGAATACTGAAAACAAAGACAGCGCATAGGCTTCGTAATGTAGTACGACACTGCTCTTCATCTAACATCAATCCAGCGAGAAAAGGAAAGCGTTGACACCGGGGCACCGTAGACACAAAATAGCCACGACACAAAGGTCAACTCCCACAACAAATGCCCAGCCAGGCCAATGGCGATCCCTTTCCCTTCCGACTACCTCAATATCCCTGCCGAGACAAGAAGGTCAGAAGGGGAGGAAAGACAGGTCGCTAAGCTGGTTGCCCCAAAAATCAAACAGCCAGCGAGAAAAGGAAAGCGTTGACATTGGGGAAACTGGAGTACGTGAATGTCACAAGCGCACTGATTAAGGCCTCCCCTAATCCATGCTCCGATGTATGAAGCATTTTAGAGAAGGCTCACTTTTTCTGAGAAAAAAAATAGTCTACCCAGGATCGATGGTCTTCGAGATGGCGTAGGGTGAGCGCCAATTCAACTGGCGTGCGCAAACAAGAATTGGGACCACAGATGCTTTTTTTTAGCACCTTGGTGTAGCCGATGACTCAAGGGGTGCAACGGTGGTTAGTACCCTCGTCTGTTCACGAGAGGTGCAATCTCGGTGTACTTATCGAATTTATGTCGGTTTTGTCAAGGTCCTGTTCGTGTTCCCCCGTAGCTGATACATCAGATCAATGGCGCGTAGTCTAAAGAAGGTGCTCAGCTCAGTTTAGGTCGTATCTATTGGTGTACTGTTCCGAGGGTGAAGTAGGAAAATCCCTCCGTGGCCGAGTTTATACCAGGCTGACATTCTAGAAGCAAGTAGTCATTGTCATTTTTTGTTTGAGATTGAGTTGAACTTCTTCGTTCTTCCAAAAGGAAACCAACAAAATGACGTCCGGTTCCCCATCTGCGAAGAGGACGAAAGTGGATCAGCTTTCTGCCCTCAAAAAAATGACCAGTGTGGTTGCAGATACTGGCGATATCGGAAAAATCAAGGAGTATATTAAGACGAGGACGATGGATGTGGATCAAGGATTTAATACAGGATAGCGATGGCCTGAAGATGAAGTTGATATCATCTTTGACTCTCTCGAATGATCTGTTCGCGTCTTGATTTAATGCGTCATAGTCAGTGACTGCTCCATCTTGTTCGTGGCTTTTGTTCGCATTTTGATTTGATGCGTCATAGTCAGTGACTGCTCCATCTTGTTCGTGGCTTTTCCTCGTCCAATTTGTCGATGTGCGTCCCCCTCATCCCATTCTTCATAGCCCAGCCAGAAGACGCAACGACAAATCCAAGTCTGCTGCTTGCCGCCTGCTCAATGCCAGAATACGAAAAGATTGTGAAAGCAGCAGTCACGAAGGGGAAAGAGAGTGCGGTACTTGTAGTTGATGTTCTGCATCTTTGAAGAGGTGATTAGTTTTTAGTTGGCAGCTTAGGTGACTAAGTACTTGCTTATTTCAGTTTTTCGAATAGTTTTTAGTTGGCAGCTTCATCACCATCAGCTGTTTCGCTGCTATATTCATCTTGTAGAAAGGGTGCGTAGATATTGCATAAATAATCATGCAACAAATTATACTAGTACAGAGATACACACATCGATACGTTTGTCCATTGCCAGGGTTCTCACGCCAGCAAAAGCGCTTTGGTGGATGAGATATGCGACCAATTGGCGGTGCATTTCGGATGCGAGATCCTGAAAGTAGTGGACGGCTATGTATCGACCGAGGTGGACGCGAATCTCAGTTTTGACACCAACGCTAGTCTCACGAAGGCTCGCAAGATCATTCAGATGTACAAAGCTGCGGGCTTTCCGAAGGAAAGGATCTTGATTTAAGAAAAATACCCGCTCAACATCGTTTTTTAAGGAGGATTTACTAGTATGGGGATTTAAATCCGAAGATGTCTCAAGAGGTTCCCGGGGGCCGATGCCGGGTTAACAAGGTCGCACACTTACCTAGCGATTGTCATCGCGCCAGGCTTGTCAGCCTGACAACCGGGCCGCCCGCGTGCGGCTCCCGCATACGCCTGTTTTTTGTTGAGTCTTAATGAAGACCACGCTGTTGGGCCCAACTTCGACCGTGGCGTTTCTCTGCCGTCTTGCATCGTCGTTGAAAGTCCTCCTGCCACTAGACACGGCCAGTAGGCCGGTCCCTAGCTGCCCCGCGGGATATTTCCTACGGTTGCCACATATTCTTGTTAGCGGCCGGTTCGCCGGCTGCGCGGTCGTTAGCCACGAGGCCGGGCCCGTACTTGGGCCACGGCGTGGTCTTTCCCCCTATGGGGACCTGAGGTTTAGCTTGGCCTAGTGGGCCCGGGCATAAGGAAGCCTGGGGGCCAGCGCCTAGCTAAGCTTGCTGCTGAGTCCCCTGCTATGGTGGCTTCAATAGCCAGCCCGACTCCCTACCTCTGACCCCCAGCGGGACAGGGTGAGGAGACGGGCCAGCCAGGTTTCCCATCTGAGAATGGGCCGCTCTCACCCGGGTCTCGAGGCCCGAAGCTTTGGTGCCACGCGCCTCTGCAGCGAGCTAAGCTCGCTTTGCTTCGGTGCCACGCGCCTCGAATAGTATCTATTGTGTGTTCTCCTGCTCCGGGCCCTCGCGTAGGGATGAGGATTTAAATCTACCCATACATACTTTCTATCACCTATTTTAATTTTACGCAACGTGACAAAGTAAGTTATATCTTTAGGAGCTTGGAAGTGAAAGTGGGTCATAATGATCTTGGCAACAAGTACACGTCTCTAAATCCACAAACTCGGCAGTACGTGGGAGTGCATCCGGGCGTGCGAGGTCCTGCAAAAGGAGGGAATTCGGTGCAATATGACACTGCTGTTTTCGTTTATGATAATGACTTCGACTTGCAAATGCAGTAGACTTTTCAAGAACATGAAGAACATCAAAGGAAGAGTATCTTGCTATAGTACTTGTTTCACTTTGCTCCCTTTCCAATATATACGAGGTTCTTCGTATCTATCTCAGTTATCACAGAAGCCTCCCCCCACTCCTTCTCTAACGGCATTTGTCAAGCAGTCGCATGCGCAGAAGCGGGAGCAACGCTGATATCACCGTTCGTTGGGCGGATTTTGGACTGGTTTAAGAAAGCGAATCCGGGTGTGGACTACTCAGGCGAGAAGGATCCTGGCGTTATCAGCGTCAAGAAGATATATGAGTACCTTGATTCTCATTTTTGTTGATAGCGATAGGTAGACTTAGACACCGACTCGAAATAATGAGCAGGAAGAGAGCTTTGTAGCATCGAGTTTTGACAGCAGCGGATGTGGATGATCATGATGAGTAACAAAAATAGTCCACCCTTAACCCACCTCCTAACCACTTCAACTGACGCAGATACTACCGCCAACACAAGTACGACACGATCGTCATGGCAGCTTCTTTCCGAACTAAGGATGAGATCGCATGTTTAGCTGGTTGTGACAAGCTGACGATTGGACCGAAGTTTCTAGAGGAATTAGAGAAATCAGCGGATCCTCTACCGAGAAAGCTCAGTCCCGATATGGTCAAGGTGAATGGCGGAAGTTCACCAAAGAGTTTATGGCAACGTGGTGGAAGAGGCTACAAGATAATACGTACAGATCACCGTTGAATGTGAACAAAGCAATAACGATTTATTTGAGTAATCGACATCTTTCGAAAGTAGAGGTACTAGTACCGCTAACACTACTAGGTGGTAGTGTCAAGACTTCTAGATGAAGGAATGCGGCACCCTTGTTACCAGTTTCACAACTCCCTACTTTACCCCTCCCCACCTTCATTCCCATCCGCTCGACCAAAGAAAATGGATGAGAAAACATTCCGATGGCAGCTGAACGAAGATCAGATGAGCACAGAGAAGCTGTCGGAGGGTATCCGAAATTTCAACAAGGACTACGAAAAACTGCGCACTCTCATTGAGACCAAGTTCCTGTCCTAAAGAAGAAGAAGGACAACTCATGTTGAAGGAAAACTCATACTCTTGAAGCGTTCTTACTCGCGAGGAGCAGGCGTACGACTATGCGATAAGAATTCCGCCAGAAAGAAGACGCAGCTGATTGATGAAGTCTGCGGGCACTCGATCGCAGCAGTCTCTCCAGACTGTTGAAAATATCGCTAATCTTGAACCAACTTGGTCTTATACTTTTACGTTTATTTCATTTAATTTTTTAACTTTCTTCATCTTCCCATCTTATCGTGATGCACTTTGCTTCTAATCAAGCTGAGCGAAAGCTTGCTTCCGAAGCTCTTCAAGCTCATGTTGTAAATACGAATACTAGTGGTCTTGGATACATCCCGAAGAGAACCCTTCTTGTGTAAAAGTTCTAGTTTCACTGTCTTGTCAAGCTCGCCGAGCAGCCGTATGAAGGACGGGGCAGTTGTACATCCTTTCCAGGGACTCATCACTCAGTCTGCAGAGCAGCCATTTTTTTCTCTTTCATCTGTATATGGAAGAAATCTCATGGGATGAAATTCATTTCTTTAGTAATGTCGGTGCTGTATCATGTACTCAGCCAAAGCCATGCTTAGGTTATCGAAAAAGAAATTGCCTACTTCGGTGATGCTCTTGCTCTGTGTGGGTGGCTCTGTCGTGAAAATTTGTCGGTCATCATGAATCAATCTCTCATCTGTGGTCTCCGACTCTGTGTAGTTGTAGTAAATTAGACGTTAACTACTACTCGACCCTCGTCCCAACGCCCCACTGAACCCTCCAAAGACCGTGTGTAGGTCCAAGGACGCAACCTAAGAACAGTAACAGGATGACAAAGCAAGAATGTGAATGATACTACACTATTATAAAATTTTTGATAAGTCAAGGTCAACTACTGATGTATAACATAAACATTCACAACATTCTACTTTGTCACGCCTCGTGAAATCTTCTATTTCCAAGCCCACGCTCGTGGCTTAGTGGTGTTTTGAACAGTAGCAGTTGTGCCAACAATCATGAACAGATAGAGGTACTACAACACAGCCATATTGACCTTCCTTATCACTCCTGGCCTTGTACCATAGAGAAGTCTCAAAATGTCGACGTTTTTCTCGCGGAGCACGGGGTCGGGACTTGGTTACCAAACCAAGTCCCACCTTGGCCACATGCAGAGCCATAGTCAGCTGTACTGCGGACCAAGGTCACCAGAACCGATGGAAACAACTGTTCCGATCACGGTTGGAGGGTATTCATCTATTACGCGATTAGAGGGTGCTATCTTTCCAGCACACTGTCACTGCTGTGCTATATTTCTTATTCTTTCTTATGTCCCTTATCATGAGAATGAAGAGATTTCAGATTCAACATTTAGTTTTGAAATTGAACTACCACATGAAGTTCAAAAAACACCCACCCTTACTCACACCGTCGCATCAATACCAGGTACGAAGACCAGAATTCTCTTGGCAACACCAACCTGGTAAATTCCTATTTCGTCGGCGAGCGAGGTAGAAGTCCAGAAAAAGCAAGGACCAAAATCATGAATGTCAGACATCAAGACTCGACCATAACCACCAAAGACCGCGCACTATCACGGGAACTCAAAGCTACCAAGCAGAGGTTTGGTTTTGTGGCGAATGCTAGTAACACCCACAATACGAACACCGGGTTGAGGAAAGTAGCCAGGCAAGAAGCGGGAACTCTGAAGGATGCGAGGATGCCATTGGGAGGTGTGGAGAGCAGAGGTGGAAGTGGTATGAACTTCTTGTCACCGATGTGATCGTGAGCAAGATCGTATCGACTTTGTTGACAAGTTTCAAAGGGAAATTACCTCATTGCAGCTACATCATAGTTTGAAGAATATCGCTGTGTTATTATTTCATTGTTGAACAAAAAGCGACCTCCTCATATCTATCTACCTCTCTTCTCTCTACCACATCACAGTTGGGTCCCACGATCATTACCAAGAAGACAGTGGTCCTGTGACGGTGATGGTGACAGTACCACCGCATGGCGAAGTCGCAAAAATTGCGGTAGAGAGGCCTACAGTCGGAGACGTCAAAGAATTTTTTTCGCAGTATGGCGACAATTTTTTTGCCAATATCCGACGACGAGAAACCTTCACTGCACAAGCGAATTACTTGGGGCATTCGAGTATTTAAGTTCTTTGATTATACTGGAGGGTATCTATTAAAGACGACTACTGGAAGAGGAAAAACAGTAACAGTCTGACTGCTGAGACTTCGTCAGGAGGTAGGACCTCAAGTAAAAGAGCCTCATTTAGGTAGAAGCACTAGAAAGATCATCACCATTTCGCATCATCGTCCACATTTCTCTCCACCAGATGTGACCCTGAATCAAGTGAAGATCCCGGTAGCATGTATCCGAGTGGCTCCTGCGGACAGCCCTGACCTAGAGCTAGGAGACGACAGGCACCTTGCAGAGTGCGATTTTCGAGTGGCGGTGTCACGGAGGACGATAGATTTCGGGTCCCACGATCTCTTCACGCTAGACGACATCGATGATTGCAGAGTACTAGCAAAGTTTTACTTTGGTTGAGGTTGGGGCATTACCGTAATGGAGGTAATCTGTCAGTTTACAACTAGAATTTTTCTCCTCGAGGAAGACATCTAATATTCAATACGTCACCCACTAGCTATTACTTCAACTTGTTTCGTGATCACGTTGGCGTCCCATTGAGTTCCAGTTCCCCAATCCATCAAAAAAAAACAAGGTCTTCCTCTACCAAAACGTTGGCGAACAAGAATTGAACCGACTAACGGTCGATACTGACGGCCAGAAGTGCTCCACTCTGCACAAGCTGATTAAGAGGAAGCGAGCTAATGCGTGTCTAGCAATGCTCGAAGACACTGTGAGGCTCAGGAAGGAAACCCTCAACCACTCACCAGACATGGAGACGGCCCTTATGGTATACTTATTCTGGTTACCTGCATTCATAGCTAGTATGCAGATTTCGTTCTTATTCTTTAAGAACCAACTTACTAGCAAACTAGACAAGCACGCCCGTATTGAAGCAAAAATGAGAAATTTCAAAGATCTTTTTCAACATCCACAAATTTCCCCAGGCCGCCTGTCGTAACGGTCTCTCGCAGATTTGTCTGGCGATCTTAGAACGTGCAGATTTCGGAGGCTTGAACAATGGCGAAATGCACTTCAAGATTATGAAGAGAGAAAATCCTAGACAAGACTGGAACTCAATATTTTCATAATTTTACATCTCGTCCTCCAACTACAACACTTCTGGCACTTCTTTAATGAATCAATAGGTTTTACATGACAATCACCTTCTAATCTCCAAGACCCAAACTTCGTGCCACGAACTGACGTCTCCGAACTGAAGTCTCTGGAAGGCTCCGTGCAGCCAGACGGCGGCTTTTCAGCATTGGATTTGGCCTGTATGCATGGATTGGAGGAGGTGGCCTGCTATATATGCACGAGAGAGGATTTTTTGGAGGTCAACAACATCTCACCAGGGAACTACACCTCTCTGATGCACGCAGTTAGGAATGATCTGCCAAAGGCAGCAGTTGCGATATTGAAGAGACCGGACTTTCGAGTTCTGAAGGCAAGGAATACGCAGGTAGCCTTCCCCTTCTAGTAGGTTGGTTCTTAGAATTAGATGTTCATGATCTATCTGCATGGATGCTGTATCAATAAAAGTTTCCTTTCCAGAAATCACTTTCTTATCGAACAACACCAAATTTCCGAACGACCCTGTGCTAGATGTAATCCCTCTCAATGAAGTCAATGTCTCCAAACCAACAAACTGCAGGCAATCGAATGCACAGCCTATCAGATGGCGAAGAAACGGGCACAGAGGCCGTACAAGCTACCGCAGCACGACCCAGATAGGAAGGAGGAGATTTTGAGCAAGTGTGAGGTTTTCGCGAGTGTCTGTCGCTTGATGGAGAAGCACCCATCATTCTCGCCAGACATGAGCAATGCGTTCACAAGGGACAAGTAAATGGAGGATGGTCTGTGCCTGTTCTTAGCAGGGATCTTCTATTAGAAGGTGTAGGTTTCAAGATGCGAGGACTTTTAGAATTAGATACGAAATTAATCTGCATAAAGTTTGGTGGAACTGGAAGTTCATCGATTATGGATGCATATGCATAGCACTAATAATATGGCCATGCGACATGATGTCGAGCTCTCTTTTCATCCCATAATAATAATTATCGCATACCGCGTTAAACATCAGGAATCTCTTTGAACTTGAAGAAATGTAACGCAAATAATCGCCACAAGAAAAACAAAAAACTTACTAGGCTAAAGAACAGAAAAACAAACTACATTCACACTCAACACTATCTGATAGAAGAATCAACATCTTCAACGACTACAGTTTACTCTTTTTAACTAGATGGTCTAAAAAGTAAGCATCGCCTTACTCATCTGTAACTGTATATATGTTTACAATCAGTTGTGCAGATGAATCAACACAAGCACGGCCGAACTGTATAGAAGATTGCCTTATTCTTGCTCCAGCCATGTAGCACAGGCAAGGGGATTGGAAAATCAGGAACAAATTCTCAGTCAATGTATAGAAAATGAACAGCGAGCAGGGAAGAGTCAACATCCATATTCGGCACACCGTGAACATAAATTGGCGCCGCGGTACGCAAACCTACACTTGTCACAAACTAGCCAACTTAACAAAATTCTGGCAACGATGAAATTCATTTTTTCGCCTATTTTTGATTTTGAACATTCAATGACGCAAATCATGCTGCGCATGAGGAGTGTGGAAAACAAAATAATGTATTGGTTTATGTTGAACTTGTACTTGAACCGGTGAGCACGACTACGAGGACAACGGCGGGGGAAAGTAATCTTCACATGAGGCAAGAAGGGCAACAAGTTCGCGTCAAGGCAATTGATTCCGTTGCCGCGACAGGGGCGCACTAGAAGCAGCTTGGATGGAAAGTTTCCTTGCGAAAGAACGAGCAAGATCTTCCAGTGAACAAGAACAACGAAAAGGAAAGCGAAATCGCAAAGCACGTCAGAGTGAGATGACACGCGTTGACGTGCGCAAAAGAACAAGCTCAGCCTGCCCAGGTAGATTTAGATAATACGACCAGTTTGGTAAATACTCAACATCAGGCTTGCCTTGCAGTTACCGTAGATGAGCACGAGCGAACAAATCTTCTAATTTTGGCATGCCTGCTACAGATGTGTGAGCATTTTTTCCTTCATATTTAGCGTAGCAACCAGTAAGGAAAGCGATGAAAAGACACGACAAGGAGCTTCATGCAATTTGAAACTCCACGCTGCCAGCTTACCGTAGGCCAGAGACCACAGTTCTGGAGCACACAGCTTGCTCACACAGGCGGACAAGAAGCGCACGAGGTCCAAAGCGCGCGCACAGGAAGTAGGGAAGTGAAAGTCCGAAAGGATAAAACGAGCAAGAATCAAAAGGAAGAACGGAAATGAGAGAACCACGAAAAAACAAGGAACATCAGACCAGGCTCAGTGAAGTACGGCCTTCCAAAAAGGCCCTACCCTAAACAGGGAGTCAAACAAGAAGGAGAGCTTCTAGTGGGTCACTGCACTCTCGGCCCAAAAACAGTAGGACTAGGTTTAACGCTCGATGCTTTCGCGTATGTACTCTGAACAGTATCATTCAAGACTCCTTTGTCCCATCCATCCGATACTTGTCATCAACCGAAGCAGAGCCATGCTGCTCCTCAGACACCAGTAACTCAGAAATCTCAAAGCACAGATCCATGCTTTTGCTTTATTTCAAATGAGATTTTTCGCGTTGCGTGCACCAGCTGAGCACGAATAGGACAGGAGGTTCTTCTTCAACGCCCTTGCCACGATGAAGTTGACGCGATTCTCGTTGATGTTCTTTTTGCGATAAGTTAGTGTGATTCTTGATCTGTTCGTCGTGTGATTCTTGTTGTGCATATATTTGCGATATTAAGTTAGTGATCATTAGTACGAATGCGTATGCGTGCGATTGAACATGTTGGTTTGTCGTCAACTCCGTGGAATGAATCAATATTCATATACTAACTCATTGTCCACCAAAGGTAACAAGAAAAGTAAAAAATTTATTAGATTCTCGTGCTGTGGTCATAACATGTCCACCTCTTGCATACTCAGCACAACTCCATATCCATTGTCTAAGGGCAATGATTATCAATAAGAAGATAGATGGAAAGTCCTGCTGATCTTGCTCTTCTTGAAAGAATGTATGTAGAAGTAATAAGAAGTACATCAATAAAGTAATCAGCTGTATGTGTATCAGTGCCCCTAGTCCACGAGGGAACTACCCCAACTAACGAGTTGGGAGTCTTCACGGTACCAGAGGCAGAGTCGCCCTATCCAAATATTTTCTATACATGTGGTTTTGCTTGTGTTTCTACCTAGTACCTAGTACTATAATAGGTGATGTAGAACTAGAAGTAGTACATGAAGTAATTATTGTTAAAGTGTCATAGTTCTAATGAAAATGCGTCATGGTCATCATGAAGTGTGCGTCCTCACTAGAGCCATGTTGTGTGCGTCCAAATCTTTTTGTTTACTACAGTTTAATCTGTCACTGTCGTCTTCCAGCATTTTTCTTGCCTCCTACAGTTTAATCTGTCTTCCACCTCTTTCTTGTTCCCTTTTACCTTGCGACTCGTGGTCTCTGTTGAAGAGGCCGATTGCCGCATAACCTCCATGCTTGAGGAAGCTGTCGAGTTCGTTTACGATTTGTGCGATCGGAATCCGACCTTGTTGCACTAATTCCGCGAAGTACAGGACCCATTCGTCGTAACTGATTAAACCATCCCCGTTATCATCTATTTCAGCGAAGATATTTTCAACGACTTCGAGATAGGGGGAACTATTGTCGCTGGGCTTTACAACATCATCGGCTCTGTCGTTCCACATTCGCCCAGCGCGTCGGCCACCTGGTGATTCAATAGAAATATTGATTTTGATAGATGAAGATTAAAGCGAACAAGATAATTAACGAGGGTGAGGGGACAAACTACATCTTCAATCTGAGTGAACATAAAACTCTTGAGCTGTGGCGACCAGACATACCATAGTCGATCGCAATGACGACCATAGCACTACACACACAGAGCACAAAGAAATCCGGCGGGATCGTACGCGTCGCCCGGAGCGCATCAAAACAAACAAACAAGGAAGTTATAACTTTTAACATTTCATTAATTTTTATACCTCTCCTCGCCGCCAATGGCGAAGAACTTCTCCCCTGATTCGATCGCATGAACCATTCTTGCATTTCGGCTCTTACAACGTAGCCGCTGTTATCTGCGTCTAAAGCTTTGAAGACTTGATCGACCTTGACCTTCCATTCTTTGTCCATGATATCTTCCAACAAACCGCGTTTCTTGAGCTGCATCTCTAAGGAGAGATTCTCCAACGCAGTGACGGTGCCGGGTTCCAGGTATTGGGCCCTGTTTGGGAGGATATGTTGGAGTGTCTTTGTGAATGAAGTTCTTGAAGAGTTTCATCAACGACCAGAAGGAGAGAACATCAGCTTCGCCCTTTTTGTTTTGTTGAAACTACTAACTGCGCTTGGGGAATTTGTTTTCTGGTGAAGAGTCTACAAATGAAAACTGAAGGTGAAGAAGCCAGTGCGAGTGCTTATAACGTTAACGTGCTTATTAACAACTAAGTACACTTACTCATACTCTTAGAACTTACTTACTTTAATATTTTTACCCTGGATTCTCCGCCATTCCCGGACTATGTTTTAGCTTTTTCGTTTCTTGCGCCAGTTCTGTAAACAGCGATATCATGTACGGCGTCACGCGAACTCCCGTGGGATTATCCTCTAAGAATTCCCGAGAATCTCTGGACCTAAAGTTCATTCGCTTCGTTTTAAGAGCGCTAACGAAACACTCCAGACCCATTTTTCGGACTAGATTGGAAATCGGATGATAGAGAGGCGTTTCTTCTGGAGGCTTGCTTTCAATTTTTGCGCCTTCTTCTAGCTGCGTTTTGCTCAGATTGGGCTGCGAACTCGATCTGCTCATTGATTTCAAGAGCATTGGGCCAGCTTCCATGGTCGAAACAAGTGTGCCTCCACTTCTCTGGGGACCGCCGGAAGGGGTGGGGACGAAGACCATGCGTTCTGAAGTCGAAAATTTTTGGACGAGGTTGCCACCTACACCTAGTGCTGTCGTCCTTCTAGATGGCGACAACAGCATGTTTCCGTTGACGGAAGCGCCCATCGTTGAGACTGGAGGGGTGGAGCCGTAGTTGTAAGAACCAACATCTCCTTGAGAGGATGCCATCAATGTGCCATCTCCTGGAGGTCCTGTACTACTAGTTGGTCCGTAATAATCGTCGTCACGACTTCTCTCCTCCGCTGGTGTCGCTCCTGTGCCTTCATCTGTCTCGATTTGTAGACTCAGACGCCCACGTCTGGAGGATGTTGGCCTAGAAGATGAAGATGCATGATGGTCCACCCTACGGATTCTAGGTCGTTTATTCGCTGACGTTTGCGTCTCACCTAGCAAGGATAAGTCTACTCCTGCGGGAAATCTTCGCACCTCTCCCCCAGGACATATTGACAGTTTCAATTCTTGCAGTCTCGCTTTCAGTGTCGCTTCGTCCTGGGCTATCTTGTGTGGGTCAGAATTCAGGTCGAGATGGGTCAAGTCGAGATGATCATGATCATCTGTAGCCTCCGTTACTCCTCCACTGGTATGGATAAGCAGTTCCTCAGCATAGCTCGTCATCGACATACGATCAGCGTCGGGCGTAGAGCGTCTTGCAGTGGCGCGACTTCCTATTTGCTGTCTAGTACTCGCAAAGTCTTCGTCTTCCTGCTCTTGTTCCTGAGCAGCTTCCTGAGCTTCTGCTTCTTCAGGCTCTTCCTTGATCGACAGCGTTGAGGACGATCTAGCGGCTCGGGCTCTGGCAGACGAACTACTAAACGTGCTGACTCCTGGTCCTCTACTGGGAGATGTTGTCATAGTAGAAAGATCCACATGCTCGTCTCCCATACCCAAATAACCGTCAGCACCCAGACCCCTCCCGTTCAAAGAACCTCGAAATGCTCCACCCTGTGCAATTTCTTCTTTCGTCAAGAACGTAATGCTGTGACGCTGACCTAAAGCATCCATTGCCAGGAGTTCCATCTTTCGCTCACTAGCAGCTGGGCCAGGAGATCCGCTTCCAGCATTACCATTCACACCACCTGATTGCGAAGGATCCTCTCCCAACGACATCGATGAGTAGGATGCTCGAAATTTTTTCAAAGGATGCTGAAGCTGCTGTCCTTGTCCTTGTCCTTGTTGTCCTGGTTGTTGAAGAAGGGTGTCTCCGGAAGAACCTCCTAAACCCAACGCTGATGAAGAACGCTGAAAAGAAGTTCTTCGTGTCCTGCTCCGGCCAGTAGTTGTGTCCACAACAACGTGCTCTACAGTTTTGACACGAGGACTCGAGGAATCTTTGTTGGACGATGTTTCTCCTCCACCTACAGGTGAGGGCGACGACGACAAAGCGAGTGAAGTGCTCGACCCTGTTTGCTTTTGCTGCAGCATCCCCCTCTTGTTCGAAGCAGCAGCGGCCCTGTTCATTCTGCGCATTGTGCGCGCACTCGCTTCCGTGTGTCCCTGCTCTACTAGGGTCGCTGTCGAGGGGCGGTGCAAGCTCATAATCCCCGCCAAAGCTTGATGTTTAGCGAAGGTGTTGGCCGTAGACGACCCCCGCTCAAAAAGCGTTCCCTTAGTCAAGAAATCAAAATGCAACAGTAGTCGTGTACAACTCATCTTGAGCATCAAAGCTAAGATACGAAGATCAACAATCCGTTCCTTCTTCGCCCTCAGACGCGTTGACTCAGCGAAATCATGCAGTTTCTCCAAGAATCTCACCTTCTGCGCAACTTCCCCCTCTGGCAAGGACAGCGTAATCGGCCCTAAAGCTTCCACTTCATCATCCGCACATAGAGCGGCGATCAGAGTAGCGATAGTTTGGCCAAGGTCAGCGCAGTCTGCGCGAGACTTGAACAGGTCAATCGTGTTTTTGTCCTGCTCTGGCTCTTCTTGCTGCTCACTCGTCGTGGTCCCAAATCGCTCGTCATCTTCAAGCATTTTCTTCGCCTGTTTCTTACCCCGAGGACTATGGGGACTGTACGTGTGGGAAGATTTGTCTAGACCATCTAAAGCAAAGAGATCGCGAATCGCGTACATGATTGGGTTAAAGCGTTCCGCAAAAATGCTCCGCATCGGAAATCGCCACCAGGGGTTATTCTCTTCTTGTTCTAGTTTACCTTGTCCAGCATCTCCATCTTCCATACTTCCAGTTTGTTCTAGCTCTTTCCCGAAACTAGATCCCGTCAAAGCCATACTTGGGTCTTGATCCCCCGGGGCTACACCTCCTCCGAAATAGACAGCACTGAAATCGATTTTTTTGTAATTTTTCAGTTCTGGATCTCCTAGCATTGCGAATTGCATCCAGTGAACCATGTTTTTCAGCCTGGCTCGAGGCTTTTTCTGAAAAATACCGCGCGTCGTGTCGACTCCTAAAGAGTCTAGCATGTCGCTGCCCCATTTGCTACGTAGAGGTGAGTCATCTAGCACGAGGTTTCTGGTATTTCGTGCGGCTTGCATGCCTTGCTTGCCATAGTAGCCCATGGCCATCAGCATTGCTTTGCGTCTTGCTAAAGCCAGCATCTCCAAATACTGTTGCTGCTTTGCAAACCGATTTGCCGCTAAAACCCCTCTCGCAGCGGCCCTCAGCTTGCGCTCTAAAAGGTAAGCTTGAACCGAATGACGTCTATCATCGTACAAATCCGGATAGTCTGGAGGCATGATTTCTGGGCTTCCTTGAGTCACTAAAGAGTCAAACATCGCATCACGCGCTCGTTTCCACGGTTCTGGATCTTCCCAAACCGGAGTGAAACCACGTTGACCGCAAACCACTGCAGCGTATTGGTTTCCTGCTGTAGCTAAAACGTCTGAGGAAGTTGCACCAGTCGGACAAGGACCAAGAGCTCCAACAACTCGAGTCCCGATCACCGGACCTTGCCCTAGACCGCTAGGGGATGTCAAGTGCAAAGCATCCATGTCGCGACCTTCGCTGTTGAAAAGCCGCTTCCTACGTGGTGAGCGTAAGGAAGGGACTACAACTTCTGCACCAGGTGGAGGTGCATTGGCAACATTGGTTGTACTAGTTTTTCGAGAAGCTGTAGATTCTTCAACAGGAGCATGCTCTACTGTAGCAGGTCCCTCTATTTGGTCTAGTTCAACATGTTGTTGACCTCCCTGCGTTCCTTCCGTTGTCAGAGGACGATCTTCCTCATCGCCATCCTCATCAACATCTCGTGGCAATCGCGTGCGAGTCAATTCCTCATCGTCATCAGGTACCTCGCCTTCCATAAGAGAAATATTTACACCTTTCTGAAGTTGGTCGACCACATTCTGACGACCACGACGCGGCTTATTGTTCTCAAAGGAGGTCGCCCCATTCTCACTAGAGACGGGAGGTGAAGAAGTTCTAGTAGCTGCGCTTCCTCCAGCTTTGATCTGCCTTACTGAGATCTTGTTTGTACTATCAGATGCATTTCTTCCTCGTCCTCGGCGATGGTGCAGATGAGCAGCACCCCTTCTACTATCTTCTGCTCTACTAGGAGAACCAACTCCCCTAGCACTCGCTGAGGCTGCAGCAGCCATCATTACTGCTTGTTCGGGTTCAGGGAATTCTTCGTTCATCGCCAACAATGAGTCAAATTCGCCACGCTTCCTCATCATCTCCTTGCTCAGAGCTGGAAAATGCCACTTCTCTGGTCTAGCTAACAAGCGCTTTGCTTGACGAGAACTAAAAGTCCCGCTGTAAAGATCTTCCTGCATGGATCTGGACGCAGCAAAAGTCTCTGCTCCCGAGCCGAAAAACGAGCTGGCTGTCGTTGACCACGTAGTAGACGACTGGAGGGCCGTGTTCCTGACAGGAGCACCAGAACCAGAAGAGCCAGTGCTACCTTTAATCAGTAGAGGATCTGCGTGTGCACCTCCACGACGAGGAGAACCTACTTGCATTTGGTTCATTTGTTTCATTTTCGCCCTGATAAACATGTCCTCCGTTGTTGATTCAGGCATTTCCACGTTGTTCCACCTCGCTGCCCGGTTAAACGTTCGGTCATTCTCTTCATCGACTAGATTCCATCGGATCTTTCCGTTGCTTCTGCTTGTATCATACAGGTTTCTCCCTGGTGGCACCGCGCGACGATCGGTGCGAGTGCGCGGACCCTCGGCTGGACTATAGAGGTCGTCCAAAACTGCATTATCCAATACAGGGTCGAGCATCAAGGCTGCCGCGTCTTGACGATGTAATACTTGCACTTTGCGCACACCAGGACGGCGGCAATCGGGTGCCAGACCTGTGTTCTCATAGACCGCCTTAGGTTTCAAGTTGAGAAAGCTCTTGCCTGGCAGGTTCTTAGTCTGTGCATGCGGATGCCATAAAGAGCCTTGGACGAAATCACCGCCATAAGGGTGAAAGCTATCCTCGATGTTTTTAGTGCTTTGAAGAGGACTTTTGCTCGTCTTGTAGGTCGTTTCCCCGTGCACATGTTGATGCGACGAGGACTGTTCGGACGTCGTGGTCGTGCGTAATTGTGAAGATGACATTGCTGTAGAAGAAAACCTCGTAGTATTTGCAGCCTTGTTCATCATCATGTTCATGTTGGCATCTCGCTGTTGTTCCTCTTTCTTAGCTGCTGTTGTACTAACCATGTCCATGTACAGTTCCCTCTCCACAGCCTTGGTCCTAAACTGCGCACTCTGCCTCACTCTTAATGGCATGTAATCGTTAAACGTCAACCTCATGTCAGCTTTCTGAAGTGGATCTGAGGGTTCGACCAGCTTCACACGAGGGTGAGGGACCACCTCCACCGCTTTCGCCGCGTAACGTTCGAGACGAGTGAATTCAGGCATTGTAGAAGCAAAAGAGACCTGCTTAGACCAAGGTCTGGACGAGATGTAATCCTGTTGCTGCTGCGGCCCTAGAGCTAGATCTTGTTGCACGGACGAGACTTCTAGTAAACCTCGATCAGCAGAGCCTGGCGTAGCTGCCGCGAGCGGAGCTTGCTCTAGCTTTTGCTCCTGCGCTTCTTCCTCTTCCTCGTTGTAGAAAATCATAGTAACCTTTCCAATTCCTGTAATATAACTCCTGCTTCTTGTGCTGCTGCTGGTCGAAGTCAAAGTTCGTATGATACCACAGCTGTCGATATCTTGTTCGACTTGCTCATGTTCATCAAAACCTCCTTCAAGAACAAAGTCATAGTCAGATTCATCGAACATAAAGTCATCACGTGGAGAAGTGAAAGACCCTTCTTCGTCTGAGTCGATGCAGGAATAGAAGCCTCCTTCTTGCGATTCGGCTTCCAAAATGTCTTCCAACATGTCAATGTTCCCATGGACAATGCCATGGTCTTCATCCACTACTTGCTCTTCTTCTTCCTGATAGTACAACATCAAATTAGAAGTCGTGTTGTTCGAAGTAGAAATGGAGCTAGATCCGCCAGTCGTCCTACTGGGCGCCACAAAGTGGAACAACACACCAGCATCAGTAGTGTGAAAGTCGGAATGCAGAGTGTCCTGGTTTAAGCAGGCGATCGCGAACTGACCGGAGACTTCATCTGCTGAAAGTAGTGTGCTAGATGCGGGAGCAGTTGGCCGGGAAGTAGAGGCGGTGGCCGTTGTCTTGCTGGTTCTCATTAGTTGCTTTTGATCACCACGTACTTGGGAAACAAGAGAGTCTGTATCCACGTTATCTTCGTAGTTGAAGGTCTTTTTCGTGGTGGATTTGTCTCTTTTACTCTCACTGCCAGCTCCTGCCACGAGGACATCACCCCCGCTCTTCATCCATGCTACATCTCCTCGGCCATCTAGTACCGAGGAACTTTGTTGAGAAACTACTTGTGTGAAAGCCCCCTCAAGGAAAGACGACTTCAAGTTTTGAATGAAGGCACCCGGTGGCGGCAACTGCTCGTCGTGTCCTCGGAAAAATTTAATAGTTCTACTCGAGGTAGCTTGTTCTTCCAGTTCTAGCAGACTGGTAGATGTCAGACGTGATGGACCGGGTATACTTCCTTGTTTCTGAAGGTCAAGTTCTAGCTGCTGGGCTGATGCGAAAGGTCCCCCCACTAATTGCAGATCATCCGACGCACACGACGAAGCAATCGCTGAACCACAGTCACTACTTGCCGCAGTATTGCTCAACAATGAAGTCAAGCTAGCTGTTCCATCGTTCACTTCGTGGTAAAACTCGTACCTCTGTGGTTCAAGAATGGGCGACAAAGAAACGTTACTGAAATCACCCGCACTCCAAGAAGCGGAGAGTAAGTCTTCTGGTTCTTGAGTAGTTCTTTTACCAAGGTCGTTTTGGTGTTCTTGTGTAGTACTACGATCCTGGCGTGATGTCCCATGTGCAAAAGCTTCATGCGTGTGTGCTTTTACCCCGTCGAATCCAACTCTGAAAGGCGACTTGCTGCCGCTTCTTGCTTTTTCTAATTCGGTTGTGGGAACCGATACGATGGATGCCTGTCTCACTCGGTACTGGTCGAATTCCGTGAATCCTGTGGCACGTCGCTCCATTTCGCGTTTCCAGAGAATAGGAATCTTCCTCGTCAAATACCCAATGTGCTGCACAGTCGGAAACTCTGGCATGATCGTGCCATAACGCGTGTACAACAACACTGAACGAGGGCCACCTCCAGTAGAACCGTTTCCCAATGGCGCCGCTCGTGGATGAAGCAAAGCGAAACTGCTATTGCCGTTCGACAAGACTAAGTCATTGACCGCAGGTTGTCGGGTATCCATTCGTGCCACTGCACTGTCCGGTTTGCTGCCGCATGGAGCGTGACTGTGGCCCAAGTACGGCATTTCGTCTCGAGAACACGGATGAAGCAAAACCGGATCCCGGCCAAACACCAAAGGCAAAGCGGGTCCCCTCTGGTTGCGCAAGTTCAAAGTAGGCCATTTGAGCACAACATAAGCTTGTGGACGATGTGTGCGGCCGACCTTCGCAGGCGCTTTGTGCAAGCGGCCATGCATGTTGCGCACAGTATTTGGGGAGTCAGATAGAGGCCCGTTAAGTGTCGTTTTTGGGAAAGCAGATGATGACTCCTGTTGAGCTCGCGGAGAACAAGAAGGCCCACCTCTACCCTGTGCCTGCGTGAGTTCCAATTGTTGCAATTGACCAGCGCCATAGACTGCAACGGCATGTTCTGCGTCAGGTACATACAGGTCGGGATGACGACTGGCACCTTCAGAGTATAAGCTATTTTCCGCCGGCGCGTAAATATCACGTGTCCTGTCTGGAACCAGACCGCTCTTGCTGGTGACGTATTGGTTGATATTATTTGAGGAAGTAGAAGAAGTAGTTGTAGTAGATCCAAAAATTTTGTTCTTGGTACTAGTACTTCTAGTGTCAACCTGAAGATCTTCGCGTGACCTGGGTGAAGATGCCTGTCTGACCGAAGGTTGTTGAAAAACAACATAGTTCTCCTTGGCTTGCATGGCTTGCCCTTCTCGCATCAAACCATCCATCTTGGCCATTTGGTGAGCTGTCGGACGACGAGGACTGTTCGGACCTTCTGCTCCTTCTCCTGTTGCGGCAGATGACGAGTCTTGTCCTTTGACGATTTGTAGTAAGCGCTTCTGTTCGTCAGCATACGTTTCTCGCAACGTTTCCAGGTTGGTCATATCTTCAACCGGTAGTTTGCCAACGAAGTTGCCGTAGGAGCTGCTGCCACCGCCTGGGGCAATAGTAGGCGTCGCTGTTTTTTGCGACGACCTCGAGGACCCTTGTACGCTAGAAGCAGAAGGGGTATTCATCTTGTGTGCAGCAACTGGAACAGTACCAAAGCTAATACCAGACGAGGAAGATCCTGGAGGGCTTGCACCTGGAAATGGGAAATAGCCACCCTGAGGAGAGCCAAAGCCTGGAGGATCGAAACCATGGTCCTCCACAGTAGATCCTGCTTGTGGAATTTCAGAAGATCCAAACATGTCAGAGAAAGCACCTCCTAGTGTCGTGGTAGCGGACATCCTAGAATCATGATTATCGTCATCTTCTTCACTATTGCCAAAGGTCGGCGAAACTGGTCTATGAGGATCCTCAACCGTCTGCCAACCGCCTCCGAAAAACGCTTCAGCTGTCTCATAATTGGCATCTTCGAGAGGTTGTTCATTTAGTGCTTTGTTTTGTGGAATAGCACGCATAGAATCTTCCTCAGAAGAGCGAGACTGCTCGTCAATTTCCACAACGTCCTCATTGAAGGTAACGCTAGTAGAATGAACAAAACTTTTCTTGCTCTTGACAGTGCCGGAAGGTTTGTTTTCCAGTTGCTCTCTGGCGGGTCGTTGCGTCGGAGTGTGGGGTCTTTGAAGAGCACCAGTTCTAGAAGTCGTGGCAGAGGTGACCACGCTAGCAGGACTAGTCGGGGTAGCACCTGCTTCATGTTGTTGACATGGAGATGAAACACCAGTAGCACCATTTTTTACAACAGAAGCTGGAGGAGTATTCGAGACAGGTGTGACCTTCGCAGCCTCCTTGTCGTGTTTCGCCCCAGCTTCACCTCCACCACCGCTTCCGCGGCAAATTTTCTTGTGTTCCGTATCTAGGAAGTCGACTGCTGCATCCAAGGTTTTAGCCAATTCTTCCAGAGGCACTACATCGATCCCCAACGACTTGGAGAAACTTTGCAAATGCTGTTCATGAGGCGGAACCGGAGGTAATTTCACATCGATATGCTGCATCCTTGGATTTCTGCTGCGTCGTCTGGAATTGGATTTTTCAGGATGCAGAATCGCATCCATAGCCGCTTTTACGGAAGCGGCAGTGTCCTGTTCTGGACTCATGTCATCTGCTCTACTGGGGGATGGACCACCTCCAAGTTTATTCATTTCCCTTTGCTCCTCCAATCTTTCTCTCTGCGAAGCACTTAAACCGCTCATGCTGCTGTCTTTGCGCAAATGCTGTCTCGAGGTTTTCTTGTCGACTTCGCTCTTCAACGATTTGCCTTGGAACTGATCCTTGACCGGAGCAGCGACATCGCCCATAATGAAATCCAAATGATGCATCAAGTCCGACGGCGCACCGCCTGGACCACCGCGGTCGATCTGCAGGTGCTTCTTGTCCTCGTCGTCAGCACCGGTTTGATGCGAAGGCAAAGCGTACCCATCTTTGTGAAAGGCCTTGTGACGACGTTTGAGTTTGCGTTCCGGTTTTCTCACGACGTAGTAATTCCGTTCCAAATTCAGCTCCTCGAGCTCTTTGTCAGCTGCAGATCGAGTCAAACTGTTGTCACGGTCACTGCCTGAAGAGGAATACATCATCTGCTGACCCCCTCCACTGTAATTCCCGTCTTCGGTTGAGGAGTAGTCGTAATCACTATCGAAATCAGAGGTCATATTCGCTTCCTCTTCCTCACGCATTTTGTCGATCGTGTACAGTCCAGAAACCTCTGGACTTCTGGCGCGTCGACGTCTGTTGGCGGAGGATGCGGAACTACTCGAGCTAGCTGGAGGCTTCGGCATTTGTCCCCCCGCTGACATATCTAGCCTCCCCTTCCTCTTCGCAGATCCACCGCGCTTGTTTTTGCTGCTCTTACGTTGTTTTCTGCGGCGTCGTTTCTCCTTCAAGGCTCGGCGTTTCTCCTTGGCTAAAAGGATTTCCTTGCTCCGCAAGTCGTCCTCCGGAGACATCTGATTGCCATAAGGGAGTTTATCTCCCATCCCTGGTAGTTCATCCCGTGGACCGTAGAGAAGAGCAACCTTTTCGCCGTTGCGCAAGACGCACATATCTTTAGATGGCAAGTGCGAGTCCATGTTGCTCCATTTGAGAACTGTCAAGCGCTCTTCCCTGTACACAGCACGTTCCACGCGTCGTCCCCTTTGCCGTCTTTCCAAATCCTCTTGTTCGCGCTGATGCCGGACAATGCGGTCGACTCTCAATCGTTGCTTGGCTGCTTCGTAGTCCCAGGTTTGTTTCGCCAGCATCGCCTCATTGGCTCTGTAATGAGCCAAAGCCTCGTCCTCCACCGCCATCGCAGCCTCGAACCTGGCTTCGATTTCGCGAGGCTCCAAAGCCTGGCGCCAAGGCAGAGTCCGCCAATTGTAACTCGAAATCGACTGAGCAGGCATGGCCTGCAACGCCCGATCCGATAGAGGCAAAGGTGGCAAAGGCTGCAAATGTTCATGGACATTGCCAAAGCCGTTCTTAGATCCGAATCCGAAAGAGGGAAGGGTCATCATGTTGTTCTTGTTGTTGAGGTTGGACAAACTCATACTTGTTGTAGCTGCAGCGGGATGTAGCGGTGCTTGTTTGTTGTAATGGATGAAATTTTTACTGCTCGACGGACCCTGTAGCATTGTCATCCCAGATTTAGTGCCTTGATAAACGGCCGTTGGATGTTGTTCTTGTCCATTGTTCTTCAACTTATTGTTAGTAGGGGTCTCCGCCTTCGCCATCTGCCATGGTGCTTTTCCACCAGGAAAGTTCAAGGTTGTGTTGAAAACAGAGGCATTCAATCGAACGAAATCCACCTCAAAATCACCACTTTGACCAGTGTGCTGTGCTCCAGAAGAAACCGTTCTTTGAGTATGTTGATCGGCCGGAACCGGATGAATAGCAGCTTCTCTCCCGATCGTCCCGCCATTCATCGCATTCCCTCCTGTAGTACGCACAGAAGAACGTGCAGACGTGCAAATTGAGATCTGGTCATTGTCGAAGTAAGCCTCGGCAGAAGTAGTCTTGTTTTTCTTCAAGTAAGAAGGCGTAGGAGAGGGATCACGGGAAATGCCGCTCAACGCCTGCAGAGTGAGCGCTTGCTGCATTGAAGAGACTTCTGGCGGAATCAACGTGGCGTCTCTGTTTCTTGGCGATCTGCTCCTCGATTGGCGTCCTCTTGCTTGTTCTTCACCTTCAGTTGCATCAGCTCTAAGAACATAAGGATAGATGACTTTGCCGATTTGCGGTTGTTCTACCCCAGAATCGAATACAAGCGTGCCTGCAGGAACAATCAAAGGCACCATGTTGTTCCCAGCACGGACAGCAGGTCCACTGCCCGCGAGACTCGTGTAGTTGCCTGAATCGATGCCATCCTCAAACTTCCTAGGATCTTGAGCCACAACCATTCTCTCTGCCGCAGCACGCTTACTAGAAGCTCCACCGCGAGGAAGAGAAGAAATGTCTTCCTGTCGGTAGCTTGTGCCGATTGCGAAACGGTAATATTCTTCAATGCGAGTCAAGAGAGGACTCAAGGAACGCTTCCTTGGATCCGCACTGAAAGCTCTGGTAGATCGGCCCCGACTTCGTCCTCGACTGTCTCCACGTGACAACTGATATTGCAGTCCTTGTGGACTCAATGATCGCGTCACAGACGTGTTGTTTCTAAAAATCGTGCTAGTAGCGGTGCTGTGTTGATGGAGTACGTCCCCTCCACTGTGTTCATCTACCGACTTTTGTTGGTGCATCAAGCATTCATACAATGACTGATTTCTAGACAGCATCTCTGGACTTCCTTCCGCAGTTGGGGGAATTGGATCTTTTGGAATCAGTGCTGAGCTCCCTTTCCCTTCCTCATACTTCGGAATTCCGTGGTCCCGCAAATGCAACATGGGTGCAGCAATGTAAGTTCCCGGTCGAGGTCGCGATTGTGCGCCACCAGTGCGGTGATCTGAATGGTCGCCTGAGAGAAAGATCTCGAAGACTGAGTTGGAAGTAGCTAGATGCCGTTGTCCTTGTAGTTCACCAGGAGGTGTGCTAGCTGCAACTACATTTGCACTTGCAGCAGTCGAAGCACTACTGCTTGCGCTGTCGGTCCTCTGAATCTTTGGCGCTGGAACCAAGGTACCCGCAGATGCGTTCGTTCCTGGCATATTTTTCGCCAGCGTCGATGCTCTAGAGTTATGTCCACGGTCGCGACTGGCCAATTCCTCATGGATGGCCATGAATTGTTCATCTATCAGAGGTGAGGGCATGTTGCTGAGAGGTTCAAACTTGTTGTTGTCCGAGGTTGGTGCGGTTGCCTCTGTAGTGGATGCTCCACGACCAGCTTCCCGCGCAAGCGAGATCTTTACAGGCCTTCCTTCTAAGATATGCGTCAAGCCTGTCTTCGGACTCTGTGCGTCGACGTAAGCTTGTGCTTTGCGTGGCGTGTCTTGGCTAATCGGCTTCCAGATTTTCCAGGGTAAGGCATTAGGTCGCGCAGGTAGCGTGGACGAACATAACTCATCCATGAGCCGGGATTTAATTGATGTAGGAGAAGCTCCTCCAGTCGTTGCGCTGTTTTTGGTATTGTTAGAAGTTGGCGAACTACCACCATTGACGACTTTCGCCTTGCTGATGATACCGAAACTCATGTCGTCTTGACAGTACTGTCCAAACCCTGTGCCGAACGTTCGCCTGCCCACACTGTTTTGCATCTCCCACTTCAGCATTGGGTTCTTAGTGTCCCCGCGAACTGCACGCACTGTTGGCGCAGGCCCTCCCATCGTGTTCTGCTGACTCCCATCTGCTTCCTTCTGATTCACGTGCCAAATAGGTGCGAATAATTTCTCAGCACCTCTCGGTTGCATTTGACCTCGTGGGTGACTAGAGGTGGCAAGCACTTGTTGCATATTGATGCCACTATGCAATTGATAAACCGCCTCGTGACCCTTGCGGGGACTTGTCTGTGGTTCCTCCTCATCTGTGGCACGAAATTTCGCTTGCGTCGTGCAGTTCTGCCTGGACGGGATCATCATCGGCGATTTTTTGATGGGGATCTTTTGAATCCCCTTCACGACATGTTGAGTGCCATTTGACTTTGAAATCGGAGATAATGAGGATGTTGAGTCTTTTTTGATGCCCATAGGAGCACTTCCGCCAAGTCCCAAACCCGTAGCCTGTGGTCCAATGGAGGCCAAGGCACTGGCTGTCATTGGCTGGACAACATTAGCACCTGCCTTCGACAAGGCTGCCCCAGAAACAACCTTGTTGTTCTTGGGGATGGGGCTATTCTTGGCTTTAGTGTCACCGTATAACGTCATCTTTTCGCAATGTCAAATATTTCTGGTGGAAATCAATCTTGTAGTAGAGCAAGTCAATTACGTATGCTTGTCAGTTTCGTTCTTCTGAGTGGTCCAAGGGCGGTAGGTGCTTAAAGAAACAGAAATTTGAGGATATGTTGTCATCTCAAAGGAGAAAAGAAATTGGGCGAACGAAAATTTTGAAAGGAGGAGGAAGGAAATGTTGGAGAGTAAATTTTTTGGGATTACGATTACGTTACTTAGGGTTATTAAGGAGCCTGTGCCTGGATAAGTTTTGAATTGTTCATCAATCAAGGAATAGTCACAACGTCGAACTCATGATCGAGATAATCTTCTTTTTCGCTCTCACGCACAGAAGTAAGAGTAGCCCTCAGGAGCACAGAAATTTTCGCAGAGTCGATCTCTTCGCTCATCTTGTTCTGCCATTTGAATATCCTTTTTTTAAGGGCATTACTAAGTGACAGACTTCCTTTTGAACTCCACAGACGATGAAAAACTGCTAGAAGGATCCATGATGATCTTTTCTGTCGCTCATCTTGTTCTTGCTCTTTCTTTGGTAGCAACAGATTCCTTGTGATAAAACAGATGATTCTCTCTTTCGCCCCTTTTGTATTCGTGGCATCAAGATCAAGTAGATCATTCAACAGAATGAAGACTATCTTAATTTCTCAAGGGGCCACACCACTCAGCATACTTCACGCTTGACAGCACCACGAGATGATGATACAAATACCAAACTTAGTTCAACAGTAGAATTAGGGCCACTCCGAGCTATCGTGGTTTGATAAAACAGATAGTTCTTGAAGCCTATGGTGTACAGATTGGCTGATTGGCGTATTGATTGGCATGTCGGGTATCAGTTTCGCTGTTTTTTCGTGACAGGAGGAGAATTGTAGTTCTGCTAAAAAGGTAGACGGGTGTACATCATTTCTAGTGGAGAAAAAATTAGTGGCGGTTAGGCATATGATGCTGATTCTTGGTTGTTCGGATTAGGTAGTGGTCGTTTAGTGTGGTCGTGCAAGTAAGGAATTGTTACCTTACCAATACTTAAGTAGTACCTTCATCAATTATTTTTGAAAAAGAAAATGATTCATATCCTGATCATGATAAATGATCAACGGTGATGAATTATTGTTGTTAGCTGTAAATCTGAATGTTAATTGAGTATGGAAGAACAAAAAAATATCGAACGCTTTGGCTTGGGCCTTTTTGACACTTTTCTTCTAACAGGGACATCTCTTTGGATGCCTCCGACGTCGACGTTGCATCGCTTAAAATTTCAAAATCAAATACAAATGCTAGGCCTAGTAGAGGTATTACTAGCCTACTCATTTCTACGACAACCCGTTTGCACCTCCTTCGGAGGTTCTACTCCCTAAGCTGTAGAGACTTCCTAGCAGGCCTTTCGGCGACACAGGCGAGCCTGGCGGTAGTTGCGTTCCACTTTCTTTGCTCCGCAATTTCCTTGATGCGACCCCTGCTGAGGAGGATGAGCCAGCGTGTTTGATTAGAGAAAGACATCAGATAGGATCATAGTCTTAACGTGAGAGAGTGATTAGAGAAAAATAAGGCTAATGTGAGTTCTTAACGTATCACTGCAGAAGAAGAAGCTTCTCGGGGTTCCGGTTTCGACTACTACCTCATCCGGAGACTGTGGCGCAGTGGCTTTTTCTACGCAGTTGTTTCGATCCTGCAATTCCGCTGTGGATGCCGCAGTCGTGTTCGTGCTCTTGCTTTGTGTAATGGACCACGGTAATGCCGGATCTGAAGAACCTGCTTGTCCTGAAGATAGTCCTCCACCTCCTGTCTTCAATAGCGTTTTCAGTAACAGATCCGGCAAAGCAGTCATCGTTCTCTGGAGTTCCACCTGTTGGTGCTCCATCTGCTGTAAGCGGGACTCTAGGAGGGTCGTGGTTGCGCCTATAAAATAAGGTGGCACCGCACCAGCTTCGCCCTGTTGCTGAGCAGGACGAAAGGAAGGCTCTTCAGACGGAGCCGGTGACCACTGCTGCCGGAGGTTTGCGACTAAGCTGCTGGTTGCGCCGGTGCTTACAACTGGTCCTCGTGCAGTACTATGATTGGGACTACAACTAGTAGACGAGCACAGCAACATGTGATGAAGGGTATTCTTGATACCATCACAGGTTTCCTCGAGCTTCGACATACGGTTGGAGAGTTCTTTGGTTTCGTTTTCTATCGTTTCATTCAAAGCTTCGAATCCACAGGAGAGTGGAGGATCTTTGTGGAGCTCGCCTTCGTCTGTCAGGTCAGCGAGCGCATTTCGGACGACACGAGCTGCTTGCCCTTCTTTCAACCCAGGAACGAAGCCTAACAACGCTTCTGCGGTCAAAAAGTTACTGTCGTCAACGTGTTCACGGCAGATGTCTTCGGTGAGTGAATGTGCTGGGTGGGGCGTGTTGGAAGAAGATCCTGTGCTGCGTGACCAGCATGATTTGGTATTCTTCGAGGACGAAGATGATGATGTTGTCGCAGAGGCAGTACCCGTACTACCAGACGACGGATTGTTGTTTTCGTTACCGAGGATCGCTTTCGCAACCACGCCCGTCTGCGATCGCTTAGCAGACATTGATGGAATGTCGTGACTCAGCACAACCGTCGTTGCAGCAGCCGCACTAGCACCTCCGCGAGGTGCAGGTGCTCGGGAATGCGTGCCTTCCTTTAGATCATGGACTTCTAGTATGTGAGCATCGAGTACGTCTGCATTGATTGACTGGGCATCTACGTCTGCAACAACTTGTTCTAGTGCTGTAGATCCACTATGCATCTGTTGCACTCCATCACGATCTGCTACGACGAGTGTTTTTCCTGCTTCATCATGGTGCGACGCTGTTGCTGTGCTGCGCGTCGTTGTCGGTGAAGCTTTTGCTGCTTTTGCTAAGGCTGACGTGTCCTTGTTCATGCCTCTGCTTTCGTCCTGTGGTGGTTTTTCTTCATCTACGATTTTCATCTTGTTCGTTGTAGTTACCGAAGAAGTAGAGGCGACTTTATTTGTCCTCGCCTGTTCCTCAGCTCCACCTTCCGCTCCTCCCGAAAAATCAACCCGTTTCGCAGCTAAAGAAAGCAGCTCGGATCGAATAGCATCTAAACTAACTCTCTGTCGTCTGTGCAAGCGCACATAACGGGAGAAGGTCTCCAAGCCTTGAGAGTAGAGAGTTTCGGCTCTGGTGGATTGTGACTTGACATCCATGTAGGTGTCTAGGACAATTGCGAGGAGCATGTTTAGCATGATCAGGACCACTAAAAGGGTAAACGAGAAGTAGAAAAGCGTAGCTTCCCAAGGAGCAACGTGCTCGGCCTGTTTGGATTTGAGTGCTGTGACGAGCTTTGCCTTTGGAGGTGTTGAGGGTTTTTCTTAAGGAGTTAACTGTAAAGTACTAGTAGTACTGCTGGAGGACATAAGAACCGTACGAGATCTTGATCATGTCAAGTGTTAATAGATTCAAATGGTAAATCTACTTAAATGCATCGAAGAACAATCTCAATCATACCGCTGTCCAATCAAAGTCGCCAAGCACAAGCCTCCAACAGGTGACAATCGACATCCCCAGATCTGAAAATTCCCGGAGATGTCTGCCGAAGACGATTACTCCAGCAACAGCATAGGCGAAGAAGACGGAAGCGGAGTTAGAGGAAGCAGGTGGTGATGAAGAAGAATAAGTGCATAGGGACACGTGTAGGTATTCTTTTGAGGAAGAATGTCGTAACTCGTAAGTAGTCCGTCTTGTGCTAGATGCAGAAAAGTTCTAAAACAAGACCAGCGCTTGCTTGTTATTCAACATCAACATGAACATGATATCTGAGACTGAGTCTGTTGTTGTCATAAAAAACACGACCAGAAAGTGCATGATATCGGTGGCGGCGTTTACGATGGTAGACGTGACGACGCCTAGTCGCGGTTGCGCAGCAAATCCCTTGAACAGTCGGAACAGCGACACCAGGACATAGACGTAGGAACAGAAAACGAGTTCGCCACTGTGCCGCATGATATCCAGGGTCAATGAGTAGAGCTCGTCGTCATCCAGGGTGTGCACTCTCGCGTTCAAATCGCCCACAAATGTCCATAGCTGAAAGTAGAAGCCTAAGAGTGTTCCTGCTGTTATTACGGTAAGCCAATCCACCACATTCCACAGACTCGTGAAGTACCGTCCCGCGAATTTTCGAAAGGACTGCACTTGGTGCACGATTCTGTGGATCTCCGCAAGTTCTTGCAACAAAATGTAGCAGTTCATCGTGAGCCAAATATTAGAGCCAGATACTCGAATCCATCTTCCTGGGAGTCATGATCCTAGACGCCTTTTCCCCTTGAAAAGCCTCTCGGCGGGTATGTTGCCATTGAAGATGCTGGATTATGGCAAAGGCCTTAAAGACAACGTGCAAGGCGATCAAACTGTTTTCGTTCGCTCGACTATGCCCATACCAATTGAGCCATTGACTCTGTTGGTAGATGTCTTTCAGGACCAAACCTCCTCGTCGGAAAGTGAAAGACACTGTCGTCATAGTCCACAAGGCGTATTCACGATTCAAAGTGAGAAAACTCACCTGGACCGTTCGCGCGTTGGGTTGAATCCAAGAGTTCTTCTCTAAATCTGCCACGAGTGTCTGCAGGGATGCAGTTGAGCTAGTCCCACCCGTTGGAAGGAACACTGACTTGTCTGGACTCTTTGCCGGTCTTGAAACGGCGAGGTCTGTTTGCACAGCCACATTGCCGATGCGAGCCCAAGAAGAAGCGACATCACTCGAACCACCTTCGGCAGCACAAGAAGATGCAGTTCCTCCACTCGCTGCCGGATTCGGGTTTGTTGTCAGAAACTGCTCGAAATTCCCAGGAATCTTTGCGCATTCGTTTTCGTTACCTGCTTCAAAAAGTGACTGAGAGAGGCGGACTGGGCCAACGATGTGGTTCCAGTTCAGAAACTCAGCATGTAATGGACCACTCTTGCTTGGAATCGCTGAAGATTGAGGATGATGCTCGGAATGTCCATGCTGATCAGCGAGAACGACCGGAACGAAGCCGAGACGGAGCCAGGAGAAGCTTAGAATCAAGCCCTCATAGGGCTAAGAGGAGTTGTTACCTCCACAAGCGTCTAGTAGTTCACGACCTATGTTGATCGAATTACCCATGGCCATGAAGACGATCAATCAGATTGATTCTATCTCTACCTCATTCAATCATAAGTAAACATCCGAGACGCTATGAACGTCACGCAAGGCCTTCTGTCCCAATTCGTCTCCTGGATCAAAGCCAAAGTTCGCGTTCTCGCGTATATAGCTGTCAATCGATGTCTGCACATCCTGCACGTAAGCGTTCCCCAGCGTTTGTACGGAGAGGAAGGCGAGGAGAATGAAAGACGGGATTTTGGGGAGAAGGGTGCTTTGCTAAAAGTTGTATAGAGAAACAAGAGTTCTTGTTCTGTTGTTGTTCCGTCTCAGTCTCTGGGGGAAGCTGGTAGTAGTAAAAAAATGAAACTCAAGATCGTCGAAATTCACTGTAAATCTAAACGATCTGTAAACGCTGTTCATACACACAAGAACCAGCATGAGCGCAAACGGCAACTGCAAACAAGCTTGCTCGTCGTTCAATTCTTTGTCTAGCCATTGCAAGAACATACTCTCCGAAATGCCCCTTTTCGTTGCTATGCTGTCTATAGCACGTTGCTCATGATGTTCCTCCTCCAGCTCGCGCATTCGCTTGAGGATGCGACTTGTCTCTTCGCCTGCTAAGTTCGTCGTGGCATGCTTGTCTTTGATGCTGGCGAGCAGAAGACTTCTGTTGTGGACTGGCGTCGCGTCGCCTAGAATTATGTCGTCAACATCTTCTTGGTTGTTGGACTGATGGGAATCTACAAGAACTTGTTGTTGCAGCTTTTTAGGTCGTTCCAGAGATTTCTCAATTTTTTCCGGCTCCAAAATCTTAGCCCTACTATTCATCCTGGCTAGTCCTCCATCACCAGGAGAGTCCCTAGCAGAGCCGCGCCCTCTCCCACTAGTATTCTCAAGGGCACGACGCGCGGATGAGTTGCGTCGAAGAGGAGTAATCGAAGAGGAGTAACCCTTGCGGGACCCATCGGGAGTGTAAGCTGCGACACCAGCAGGCATCCTTGGTTTCAGTCGTGGAGGGAAATGTAAATGAAACCTAGCACAACTAGAAACTAAATTATTCAAGTTGAAAATTTTTAAAATAATATGGCCCTTGAACCTCACGACATGGTCATGGTTTCGTTTTTGTCGCCGCGAGTGGTGCTTTCCTACAACAATGAAAGTGCTCATGCACCATCCTGTCAATGTCTGGACTTTCAACATAACCCACACTGCTCCTCCTGCTCTCAGTCACTCAATGACAACGCATCCGCAGGTCGTGCTAGCTCAACTACTTGTTTCGACTAAGTACAAGAATGCACCGTATCATCATTGACATTGAGGAAGTTTTATTGTCCAGTCTCTTTCTACTTTGAATCTATCAACACATCACAAGATGTTGGTTCTTGTATCATACAGCTCGCTGCCAAGATTCAGGATCAAGAATGATCATCCCCCAACTTCTTCAGCTTCATGAAAGACCTCTACTTTTTGCAGATTGCACATGCCACCAAGCTCCGCCAACTGCCAATCCAACGAATATTGCGCCAAAAGCCTGGGCTTCTTGGCCCTCAAACCTGCGTAGAGCCGTTCTGTACTTGTTCGGCCGAAAGATACGGAGTAGACGGGAAGAGACAACTTTAAATCGTCGATTTCCTCCGAGAAATCGAGTAGCACACTAGCGTCACTTTCTTTGCGGTTGATGCACAAGAATCGAAACAGGAAGAAGGGAAAAGATCCACCGAGCGACGGTGCTGGTGGAGTTGTGGCTCGTGCAACTTGTGGACGAGTGGTAGTTGGTCCACCCATGCACATGTTAGGCTTCGATATAGAACTTCCTCCCGTAGAAGTCGTACTAGTGCCGTCGATTTGAGACGTGGATGTACTTCTAGTCAAAGTCGAAGTACTAGTAGATAGCTTTCGTGGTGTTCCTCCGCTTATGCCTCTTCGTCCTCCGCTGCCACTTCTTTGCCTCATCTTCCTCATGTTTCCACTGGCTGACGTACTCTTCTTCAGAGTAGAAGCCGACGAAAGCACACCAGGATCGACTACAGGTGGAATCGGCAGCACATGGGACAAATTCGCATCCTGCTCCTCTTCATCGACGTCTTGGTCAACTACAATGGTGGTCTCGTGCTCTTCAGGAGTCAATCTGGTGTGGTCGCGGTAATCCCCTTGTTCCTCGTGTAGTTGGTCACTCTCTGCTTCAGACGGACTTCCTTCGATTCCGCTGTTCATGTGGTGGAAAAGCTTGAAGTTCGTGGCTGATTTGTTACCAGAGGATAAGTTGCTCATCTTCCCAAAGCTACTACCGCCTAAACCTCCTGCAGCACTACCAGCACTCGCTCTAAGTTTCAGTTCCTTGCAGCATCCTGCTATGATCGTCGGCAGATTTCGCAGAACTGCGTTTCGCGCAGCTGGCCTCGTCTCCAAAGTTGTTTCGTTGCCTGCTGCAGAATACCAAAAACGGAGAGAAGCTGGTACAGAGCTGAAATAAGCCTCGAGAACTTCGGGGGGTGCTGACGCTACGAGTTTTCTTTGGAAACTGCGTACTTCTTGCTCCTGTACAGGTTTATCGGTGGATTCTGTTAACTCGTTCTCCCTCTGATCCCAGAGCGCGAGATCACTAAAAACGGTCTTCAGACGGGATCTCTCCAACGGTTCTGGCAAAAGGCAATTTCTACCAGGAAAAACGGCTTCATGTTTGATACTCATACTGGAGCTACAAGCTCTTTTACCTCCTCCTACAGCACTAGAGGAGGCGTTCTTCGAAGAGAATCCACCATGTCCTTTCCACATCAATACTTGCGCCGGCGTTTTGAACAAGACTTTGCCGGTAAAAACGTAGTGTAAAACTGCGCCAAGCGACCACATGTCTGCAGCTGCTGCATAACGCTCACCGCGGAGGACTTCTGGGGCCGGGAATTAGAGCAGAAGGTGGAGATCTGCGTCATCTTGTCATAAGCACTCGTCGATCTCGATCATTCCTCCTTTGAGAGTAAAAAGAGGTCGTGAAGTAATCGATTCTTAAATTCTACAAGTAGAATGCTAATATAAAAAATCGAGGAAGTCCAGAGCCTCCAGAAGTCTAAAAATGCCAAGCCGTAGATGTAAATATGCGTCCCACAAACTGTATGCGTTTCCGCATAGTCAGGGTTCGCCACTTCCTTGCCGATCCCAAAATCAGCCAGTTTCCACACGAAAGCTGCATTTCCTTGGAGTCCAGAGCCAGCGCCAGGAAAGAATAGGATGTTTTCTGGTTTCAGGTCTCTAGAGATTAGAGAACAAGGCTAGTTTTTTCAAAGAAATGGTTCAGTCGTGTTTCATTTTCTACGGTGGACCAAAGTAGCAAAGCATTCCTAAAGAACCTCAGGAACCACATGATAGAGTTTCATAAAGGAAAAGTCGCTTCTTGTGTGCATTCGCTAGCTGTGAAGTATAAATCACGACCTTCGACGAGGACGAATGCCTTAAATGCAGAATGTTCTTACCGTGTAAGAATTCAAGACCCAGACAGATCTGCAAAGCACAATTCCACTGATCATACTCAGTGAAAAAATTATCTGCTGCCGTCGTGGTCGTATCATCAACCTGTTTATCAATATCTTCGGCTTGTCCCGTGATGAAGAGGCTCCTCGTACTAGCGGCACCACTCCTCGTTGCTATGGATGGGCCTTTGGAGCTGTTCTGATCTTGAGAAGAATCTCCAGATGCCGACGCGGCTAGAGCCGCCTTCTTCTCCTCTTCGTCCGCCAATTTTTCTTTTATCCAAGAAAATGCTCCACCTGGTGTGTCAGCCTCCATAACTGTCGTCCTCTTCGACGTTCCTCTTCGCTTATGATCATTGCTCTTTATTTCTCGCTGGACTGTAGTTTTGGACTTTGAAGTAGCAGTTGGCTGTCTTGCATCAACTTGTTCATCTTGATGTTCTTGAGGCTTGTTCCTATGTAGTTGTCCTACTACCAGTGCTTCGATTTTCCTCACCATCATCGGCAGATCGCCCATTGCACGGTGCATCACGAGATGTAATCTGCCATGATCTGCCACAAAATGATCAACGAGTTCCACGATGTTTGGATGTTTGATACTTTGCAATATATGCAATTCGTTGTTATCTGTTGATGCTTTCATCTTGCGACCTCGCTTGCCAACCTTGACTTGAAGGTTCGAACATTTGTTCACTTTTTAGCAGCAATTATCTCAAGTAAAGATGTATGGCTCTGGTATTTGGTAACCTGAGTTCGATCCTAAGGGTTCCCTTCTTGTTTTCCCTTAGGATCAAATTCAGGTTACCAAATACCAGAGCCATTCAAAAGAAGACTTGTAAAACTAAAAGTGAACAAATGTAAATATTCAACCCTTAATTGATAGCAAATTCCTCGGTCTCGATGCCATCACGTCTGGAGGCTGCATGGACCTCACCAAAGCCGCCACTACCGAGGCGGACATCGGTGTGGAGCATGTAGCGACCGACGGCGAGAGATGGCATTGCGTTTTAATCGGTGTGGAGCATGTAGCGACCGACCACGGCGTCGGCGTCGAGAAATGGCACAATATATTGCGTTTTATGATCTATTTAAGCTGGAGCTGAGGTGGAGCTTACTACTTTGCTTGCACTTGTTACAGTCAAAATGTGGCATGGAGACTGATTTTTCGGCTCGTGTCTGATACTAGTTGCTACAATTTTCTTGAAGTTGAAAATAACGCGCTGATGAAATAAATTATCTTTTTCCCGTCAACGTCAAGTAATTGGCTTTACCTCAGCCGTTAGACGGACTCTCTCTGCTCTCTCGTTCTCTTCTATCTGTCATCAATGTTGATTCTGATTGCCCTTCTGGTTGTTGTAGTACGACATGTGACAGTGACTTAATATTGTGAGTACTTAAAAATAAAATGACATTGAGTCTGAGTGTTTTTGATGGGTCCGAATTTTCATCATGGTCGTGTGCCTCTTGAGCTATGTTCAGTGAGTATCTAATATGCTGAAGAAAGTAATTGTGTGAGTGTGTGTGAGTGTGCATGCCTTTCAAAATGATTGTTTGATCTACGAAAAAAAAATGGATTTGGAATTACAACTTTGCTAGGTAGTATCTATAAGAAGCGTTTCAGCACATGCACAGAAAGAAGGTGGTTGAAAGCAGGCACAAAGAAAGGGTATCATGAGTCATAACAAATTCAAGGTGGGCAAATTCAATTTCAAGTTGGAAGGGAATGAGATGAGTGTGTTAAATAAGTACTGTAAATATGATACACAGGTCAGTCTTTGGATGGAACGAACAAGTTCTCTATAAGACAAATCCTCGCCTTTTGATGAGTGACTTAGGTTCAAGAGCTTGTTAGAAGTGGCTGCTGATGTGTGGAAGATCATAAAACTGTGAGTTCAAAGAATGCCAGGTGCATGAACTAGCGTCAATGTCGTGCGAGGTGTTTAAATGAATCTATCGAGGATGAAGAAGGCTGACACAAAAGTGATGTTCGCATTCGCACTCGTCCTGCGGTCCATTTAATAGAAATACGCACTATGAATAACATCATGATCTTTATCACTGCTGTTGATGTGATATGCTGTCTCCCTTGGCGCCGATGTGTCGGTCTTGTCGAAATAGATGGTTGGAGTTCGCTTTTTTATGACGAAGGACTGCGCCTCAACATGATAAAACCAAAGCGGTTGTAGATAACGCGAAGCGCTGTATTCCATCTGCTTTCTTAATTTTTGAACATCTAGCTAAGCTTTGAATGCATCTAATGCGACAACGAGGATGAAATAATTGAGTTTTCTCTGTTCTGGGTCTATACAAATCTTGTAAATTGAAAATTGGAATTAAATGGTATATTATTATTACTTGATGCGAAATAACAAGTAGGACGAAAAATGTGTGCAGAATATATTTTTAAAGAAAGGAATGTAAGTAAAGGGAAAGATTTTCTACTGGCTTTGCCATAATGCGGAAGCTCCGCGCGTCCTCCGAAGGCTTCATCTGCATCGAATACTTTGCTTTTGCTTTTCAAATTATAGTTAAGTACAGTTGGTAGTACAAACTCTAATAAATTCATTGTTCACAAAATAAGTACATCTTTGGCGGCCTCAGGATCATGAGCCCAATTAATAGAGCTCTTCAAGCTACGTGCTGGAAAACGTGCAAGTTTGCATCTTTCTCTAAAAATTTACCCAATTCCAAGATTCCAACGATAGTTCAAAAATATGCATACGCAAATCCAAATTTTTTTTAGGTCATACACACACAAGGGCACACAACGATCGATCTGATTCAAACGGGTCATTGAGCCTGGCTGCATCTACAACTATGCAAGTAAGTACTAGCACATATTCATGTATGCTATTTGTACTACTTGTTCTTCAGGGAGTCGGGCTTATTTTGAGATCTAGTACTTGTACTAGCACTTATTGATATTCATGTATGTCATTTGTGCTACTTGTTCTTCAGGGAGTCGGGCTTATTTTGAGATCTAGTACTAGCACTTATTGATATTCATGTATGTTATTTGTGCTACTTGTTCTTCAGGGAGTCGGGCTTATTTTGAGATTGGGTAACGTAAACATTAACCTTGTTGTTTTAATTTTTTTATCTCCATCATCCTTATGGTGAGAGAGCACACCAAGCAACGAGTTTCGTTGATCAGCGCGAGCGCCGGCTCTAGATCTAAGTCTGACTATCTTCTGTTTAATTTTTCTTATTGGCTACGTATGATTTCTCTATCTGCTTCTTGATGTTGATTTTCTACTGTCCGTAACCGTATACAATTTCACTTGCCATCTTCTAAAATTCCCCTCAGTCATATTGATCCCCTCTGCAAAAATATTTTGACTCCTCTCCATCGTACTAGTACCTCGATCTTATTTCCTTATTCTTGTGGTCACCATATCGTTCGTGTCACACATCCCCCGGCGGATCGGGTCCGAAGTGCAGTGGTACTGAAAAGGTCTGATTCGCAACGTCATTCACAGCAAGCGCAGGCATCCGTATCCATGCGCGACAACGATTGCCTGATGTAGCGGGATCCCCGAACTCGATATCAAGTGACTGCCAAGGTTCAAACTCGACAATAGATTCGTGGACTTGCAGTGGTTCCTGATGTTGCTGTTGGCCGTGCACGACGTGTTCTACTTTTACATCAATAGGCTTGTCCTTTGCCGTAGAAGAAGATCGTCTTGTTGCACTATCCGTGTTCGTCATCTGTTGCTGATGTTCTTCATTTTGCTTCGTCCTCCCACTTGGACTAGTAGCACGCGTAGCACACGCTGAACTTTCCTTCGAAGTTGCAGCACTGGATGCCCTACTTCCGCGAAAAGCACCTGGGAAAAATGACGACAGACTGCCCATACACAGATTCCGCAAACCTCGAATAGGGCGTCGCGGTTCGAGATCCAGAGGACGTCGTATGCCTCGTTTTGGACCGTCGTAAGGCGGCTTGGACGTGACAAACAAGACTTTGTTTCGTTCGGGTACGAACACCATTCGGTGTGCCAAGCTGGTGGTCGAAGAGGAGGCGCATGTTTTATTTAGACGAGTCAGTGCGAATATTTACTTAATCCATTTCTAGTGTTGAAGGTGGTCATGGGGAATCAACGAAGGAACTCGAGTTACTTAGATGGATCGAAAGCCTTAAAGATGAGCAAGACGAAGTCGTTGATGAACAAATAGTCGCACTCCGTCTAAATAACGCCGGCGCACCTCCTGGTCGCTCTTCTTGGTGGAGCAAAGGCTTGCGCATTTCGTTGTCATCGCGGTTTTTCTTTGCGAGTGCGGGATTTTTAGAGGCTCGAGTATCCTCGGGACTACTCAACAAATGCTCAGACTGCGCGTCAGCCATCGTAGTTGTACTAGGAATTGCAATCCGAACGCATTTTTTTCGGGAAGCGTTTGCCTGTGTTGAGAAACGCAGCACCAGAGGGTGTTTTGGTGAGGTTGCTTTTTATCTTCAAGATTTGAATTCATCCTTGTTGCCGAACAACTAGAAGCTCTACTTCTAAGTAGATGTACAACTAGACCTAGATGTACAACTAAATCTAGAAGCAAGTAGTACCTCATAAAACGCTTTCAACTTCTCCACTCTCGCTTTCTCTCCGCCCGCTTCATCTCCATTGTCAACCTGCAACACTATCTCGGAGACTCGTGTTGTCGGCGGGAGCGAGAAAGAGCCGTTGCGTGCTGTCGGAGACCCTTGTTGAGGTGAGGGGGGTGGTGCTCCGCGTGGTGCTGGGACTCGTATATTAGTGTCCGTGGCGAAAGGTGCTACTGGTGGCGGAATCACAGCAACCTCGGAAGGCGTATGGGGCATGGCGACACTCCCGCTACAACTAGACGGCAGGAGGTAAATACTGTAGTCGTCACCTCGTGATGGTGCGTGTACGTAGTCAGTCGTGAACGAGAGTTGTAGTAATATACTTCGCGGGGGCATGGTGAGTGGTGATTATTATCATGGTCGTGATCAAAAGAAATTAAAATGGTCGTGAAGATGGACATGGACGATTCGATAAGTATGTTCTTGCAATGCAAAAAATATAGCTTAACTTTCATCTAGTAGATGTGAAGAAAATCTTAGTGGTACTGCATGACGAAAACGCACTTGCGTGAACGGAGGACTGCACGACAGACTGCAAACAGCTTCTCGTCTCTGACTTGCTATGCTCCTCTGACGTATCCTGCTCGAAAGCTTGTGGTCTACTGCTCCTTTTCTCCGACCTCACGATTTGCAGGTCTTTGAGAGAGGTGGATGGTACTAATCGTTGCCCTCCTCGTGCTGCAGGAGTAGTAGAGGAGGCAGGAATATTAGGTCGTTGTTGTGAGGATGATGATATGCAAGAGGAACAAGATCCTGGATCAGGCTTTGGCTTAGGCTTGCTATGGTGGTGAAAAAGAGGCTTCTTTGCTTGTTCTCTAGTGGGTCCGATAGCAGTATTTCGCTGCAGGTTATTTCCAGGCGGGACGTTGCTTTCCTCCTGACTGCTGCTCGATCCCGAAGAGGAATTGTCACTGCTAGTGGAGTTATCTGACGAGGACGAACTTGCCGAAGACGATGGTGGATGCTGTAGTTCGTCTTTCTTGTCTGTCTTCATGATCCTGGTGCTCGTTGTATAATTAGGTCTATGACCTTCTACGTTTTGCTGTCTTCTTGAAGAATCAGCAGACGATGACGTCGAAACAACAGATGAGCTCAGCATGTCTTCTCGTTCCGTCGTCGTCTCCTTGTTCCTACTGCTCAAGGTGGATGAATTATGCGAAAAAATTCGCGGTCGACCGCCTCTCATCAGTTCTCTTCTCCTCGTAGATCGATGACGTACAGATACCGTTTCTTCCGATGATTCCTGTGGCATTGGGGTCGATGAAGATGAGGCGACATTTGAAGATGAAGATGAGCAAACAAGAGCCTTGTTTTTATGTCGCTGGTCATGCCTCTCTGCTCCTGCAAGTCCAGCACGACCACGAGCCACAACGCCGCCTGCACGAGGACCATAATCATGCTCTTGATAGAAGTTCTTTTTCAACATCTGCTTTTGCCTGGGACTGTTCCGACGAGAAACACTGTTAGATGACGCTGCTGTAGTTGCCATCGACAAGTTCGTGCCTCCACTTTTACGGCGGGTGCGATGATGAAACAACGAACTTTGTGGTTTTGATGTTTCTACTAGCGCAACATTCTTGATATTATGGCTTCTACTATTTTCTATCATCTGTACTAGTGGCGAAGCTGCGGGACAACTTGCGACGATGGTGATTGGCATTTGCTGTTGGGTAGTTGTAGTCGGAGTCGTGTACTTTTTTGTTTGGCAATCTTGTACTTCTCCTTCTCCTGCGTTTACACTACCTGATGTCTTTTCATCTGTCAAACGATGATAACCAGCACTGAAGCGGCCTTTTCGTTTATCATTATCGTTATCCTGCCTGCAGATGTCTTGTTCCTCGTCTGTTGTTACCGAAGATGTCTCAGAACAAGTCGCGCCGGAAGCTGAACTACTTGAACTGGTTGCCTCTACTTCCTTCTCTGTCGTCTTTCCATCTGTCTTATTCTCGACGTTTTCATGCTCTAGTTCCCTAACTAAAGTCGGCCTCCCTGTCGTTTCCATGTTAGCATGAGCACGATTCGCTTCCGCCTCTTTTGATGGATTTGGAACAATACAAACAGGCGATGACGACGCAGCAGGTGGATATACAAGTTCAGGATCGACGCACGATGCAGGTGATATAGTTACACTTGGCACAGACAACGGTGGTAATGATATCACGGGAGCTTCTAGTTGAAAGCTTCTGACACGGGCTATCTGAGCAACATTCAGCGGATCTCGAGGCTTCGAAAAACTGTCTCGACGTTGTTGTTGTAGTTGTTCTTCTTGGGTCGTGTAGTTTTGTTCATTTAGAAGATTTTTTGCCGGATTGGTTCTTGTTCTTGTTGTAGGATGAGGTTGAGGAGCAGGCTGTTGTTGCTGATTAGTTGCCATTATCTCTGCATATGCTGCGTACACACCGCCAGGTCCTGGTGGCAAAAAGGCTGGTGGATCAGGCAGAAAAAGGCAGCCATCACCAAGAGCGGAAATGCGTCGTGGTGCAGGTGGTGAACCTCGTCCAGGAGGAAGAGGTCCAGTGCCATCACCAAGAGCACGAGCACCAGAGACAGCAGACCTACTGAGTCGTCCATTTTGTTGAATCGTCGCGCTCCCACGTGGTGGTGGGTCATCGGAGGAAATAGAAGTTTCAATGGAATAAATTGATGGAACATGATCAGCAGAAATGCCCGGTTGTTGAGGTGAAGGTCGTGGTGCTATTACTCGGTTGAAGATTACCCTATTATCCGGGTTGGTTCGATTCAAAGGGGCATCTTCCGCGCTTTGCTCTTGTTCTTTATGACTACGGATAGAAGGTTTTCTTGTACTCGTAGCATCGACATATCGAGTTGGTGCTTGGACAACTGGCGCTACATCAGCTTCTCCACCTCTTCCTTCCCGTGCACGACTATCTTGTTCACCTCCGTGTCTAGCAGGAGGGCTGTTGCCATGTTGATATCCCTGGTATGGTCCAGCTACTGGACTTGGAGCTGCTGGTGTAGAAGTGCCGTACGACGTTTTAAACGGACGCACTGTGACTTTCTTGCCTCCAGCTAATAACAGTGGCGCAGGAGGTGTTCTGCCGCCTTCTGCGCCTAGGCCTTGAAGATAGGGTACTGGAGGCGTCGCACTCGCAAACGACGAGTTTTTTCTAAAAATATGTTGATGTTGATTGCTCACGTCAAGAACTGGTTCTTGTGCATTTCCACCAGCACCACTTCCACCAGCTCTATGATCGAAATTGCCATTTCCTATAGGAGTCGTGGCTCGCCCGAAAGTACGTGTCCGACATGGAAACGCGGTGCCACGACTAGCCGACCTTGAATATTGATGCTCAGCTCGAGAGTTGACATCTGCATTTCGGCGCCGCGTGTTGATTTCAACAGAATCTTGACCATCTCCAAAGCCAGAGGCTACTGAAACAGAAGCACCGCAGACGCTATCTGCGAAAAGTTAGATGGTTGAGATGAAGATGGTGGTTCGGGGCTCGTCTGAATAACATTGCTATGTATAATCGTATGAAGATGATGCCTCTTTGTCTTATTTTTGCTAACAACAAGAGAAGGAAGAGAGAACCCGTTACTATTTGTATTATACTTAGATACTAGAGATGAAAGAGAAACAGCAAAATGAAAGGCTACAACTCGTTCCCTCGCATGTTTCCGCCGGGCTTGGGTTTGGATGGTCCAAAGGCGAGACCGGTGCCGCAGTGTCCGCTGTTCGCTCACGAAGGAGGGCTCCTGTTTTCCAGGAGAAGTTGCGTAAGGTTGAGGCTTTTGACCTCTGCTTGGACGGTGCTACGGCAGACGGAGCTGCCGTTGAGGTACGAGAATTAGGGCAGTCCGAGTCCGAGCCTGTTAACACCAAGAATGCTGTAACCGCTTGGATATGCTTGTAACCAAGTTGGTAGGATATCGAAATCGATACTCCTTATGCTTATAATATACTAATATCCATATTATTTTTCCTGGAATTAATCACAATCAGAATCACGCCTCCTCAGTTTCCTTATTTCTGTCTTTTGTTGAAAGACTGTACTAGGAGCCTTAAAACTAGGCTGCGAGAAGACAGACTGGGACTGATTTTCCTGTTCAGGCGACGACAGGTACGAGCCGCGTCGCGCCCAACGAGGTGCGCCAAACATGATGACTCCTTGGTTTCTCAGGGCTGAGGCGAAGTGGCAGTACTCCCAGCCTTCATGTCTTTCGTTCGCTTGATGACGCTTGCTCGTCCTGCCGGCATCAAGAAACAAGGATGTACCAAATCACCATCTTCATTGATCATGAAATACTACCTACAGTAACTCTTTTGCATTGCTTTACCGTGTGTTTACACAACGTTTGATTGTTGAGTAGTTATACGTACTCAACATATCACACAGTAAGTATTCTCCTTAAATACAAAAAAAGAAAACGATGACAAATTTTCCAAAAAAGAGTCGAGTTACAACTCACTCAATCCTTAGTACCAAGTACGTACTGGTTCTGATCGCTATTTTTTGAAATTGGCTCCGATGCTCATGCTTTTTCGTCTCTTTATACGTAATGTTGATCACTAGAACTAGTACACCTCGTAATCCTCTCAAGCTCAACTCATTCTTATTTTATGGGTTCTGTCGTGCTTATACTCTCATCTTTCTATCATGACGACTCTGCCAACAATGGCACCGAGTTCGTCATCGTACATCTTCTAAAAACCGATTCTGTGACTCTTCTACTCTTGAGCTATCGAACCGAGCGTTGAGGAAGGCATTACGAAAACTTAGTTGCGGCCACTGTTGCGCCGCTATTGTGCACAATTTCGAATAAGTAGTCAAATTTGGGATACTACAATGAACTGTACAAGGTGATAGCAATCGAATAATGTTGGCTGTCGATGTTTTCATCTATCCTTCTTTCTTCATCAATGTAAAAATTTCCTGTTCACCGCCCTTTTCACTGTACATACTTACTCAATGATGCCGTGTTTCACCTGCGTTCCATGTTGACCGTGTTTCACCTGCGCCTCCTCGAGGACACGCAGACCTGCAGTTGCCAAGAAGCACAATCCCAAAAGGACGCCGCAGGTCAGGCGCGCTCTCGTCTTCGCTACTGACGTTTGATGCAGGACGTAGAAATGAGGCTCGTCATGATCTTTGTGATCAGCATGCCACTGACCACCTACTGCTCCATGCCCAGCATGACGATGCTTAGTATTTTTTCCTCCACTTGTTGTGGACGTCGATGAAGAAGTATCTCTTTCTGTAGCTAGATTGTCATCCTCTGGATGGAGGTGCTGTCCTGCACGATCTTCTTCTACTTTTTGATGCTGATGTGCTATTCTTCTTGAGCTTTCTTCATCGTCTCCAACTGGTACAGGTTTACCATGCTTGTCGATGCGCAGGACGACTCTCCCAGTCTCGTCTTCGAATTCGTCACGTTCGTTAGGGGAACAGACAATAGTTTTATCTATGAATTTTTACGTTTAATACCAGAGTAGCAGTAGAAGATGCCTATTCGTTTGCATTTACAACAGAAAAGAGCTAGAATGAATAGCAAAATGAGAAAATTGAATTCACAAGGAACGAAGTAGTACAGGTTAGTCAGCCGTCAGGAGTGCTTTCAAATAAAAATGACCAAGACCAACCCGAAGCCATAACTTCCACATATTCTGTCGCCGAACGAGGTCCACAGCATCGCTTCAGGTATTCCCAGACCACCGAGTCCTTCTTCTCCTGCTCTCGATCATGCCAGACGAGGCCAGCAAATACTGGTCTCAAGGACTCAGCGAAGACCGAATACAATTCGGCATCTAACTTCTTCTTCTTTTTTGGTTTCTTGCTGTCGTGACGACCGTGACCTCCGTTACCGTGACCTCCGTGCTGGCGCTGAGGACCATGATGAACTGTAGTGGAAATGAAGGAGGACGACGTTGAAGACGTACCGCTTTCACTCGCAGGTGATGTACTAGAGGAAGATGATGCTGCTTGTTGTTCTCCTTCTGACTCCTGTTTACCATCACTAGTAGTCGTTTGTCGTGATGCACCTTCTGATGTTGATCTTGATGTAGTAGTTTCACTCTCTCCTCCAGCACCAGACGAGCTACCACTCGAAGAAGCACCACCAGAGGCAAACACGAACCGCATCAGTTTCGAAGTCCAAGCCTTCACGAGGGCAGAGAAGAGTTTCTCCGTCTCTTGAACGAAAGAAATCCCTGAGCTGGATTGATAGTCCCTCGCTTTCTCGAGCAAGCTCTCGTACTTGTCAAATGCGGATTGGAATTTTGGCTGGCGATTAGATTATTGTTCATTTTGAAGAAGATCGAGATTTTTATTGTACTGTTGTAGCTAGTTCAAGTTCTAGTTCATCTTATTCTATGTGGTTTTAGTAGACTACAAATTATTCAGTCTCGTTCAAACCCGTAACTTCCAAAACGCGAAAGTGTATTGCAGTCAGTTTCAGGGCGTCGGTCATGACCCTATCGAAGTTCTCGTGAATCCCAAGCAAACTCGCGTACACCTTCCCAGACGTAGTATGCGGATGATGGAGGGACTCGTCTCCATTATTTTTGTAGCTAGTGCTACGTGTAGATCTAGATGTATGATCATGATCTTGTTCTTGTGCGGCAGTTTCTGACCTTGTCGATGAACTACTTGGATTCTCAAGAGGAAGAGTCTTGATGTGGTCGTTGTACTTGTCCTCGGTACTAGAACTTGTTATGGTAGGTGGTATACCTTGTTGCGATTGTAACTCAGGTAATTGTCCTAGGGAAATTGTTCCCGCTGTAGCAGCGCCGTCACCTGCAATTTCTCCGTCAGGCTCAATGCTGGCGTAGTGCGTTCTTTTCCTATGATTGATTCTAGCGGTAACCGGATCAAGAAGGAGGTGTCTTGCGAGAGAGAGGAGAAAAAGCGTGGAGAGAGACTGTCCTCTTCGACGCGGCATTTTTTTGTGGATTTCTGTTTCTTCTAAACTTCAACTACGCTCTAGGAGTTGATGTAATCAATGTTCTTCACACGCTATCCTTTTCCCTATACATTTTTTGGTAACTGTCATGTTGACAAACTTTGGTTCCTTTCAGTAACCCTTTTTTTCATTTCAGTTTCAGCGTCGAAAATTTTTGGCTGGGTTCCAACTACATGATCCCCTAACGAGCCTTCATTCGCTCTCAGCACATATTCCGTTTTTTTCAACGTGGCTCTTTCAACTGTGACTGTCTCTCTCAGTGCCGTCTTTTTCTTGATTAACCGGTCCCCGGCCCCCAGGCCCCACCCTCACCCCCGCGGCTTACGGATTATAGAATAGTCCTCGCACGCGATGAGGGAACGGTAAATGAACAACGTGGATAAAAGAGGAAAATAGAAATTTCGCCTCATCAGTAATGCGCCGAAGCCTGTAAGTATTGCCCAGCAGGATGATGCAGTTTCACCAGTTTTGTTTGAAGGGTAGAAACAAATGTGGGTCGGGGTGTAACCGTCAATAGTAAAAATGTTCACGTCAACAACATGCAATAAGTGCAAGGTCTCGTAGTTATTCCTGGGAGTGAGAACTGGAAGTAGCTTGATGTTAATCTTAAGTAATAGTGCTCATCAAATCAAATCTACTGTGTCAGTTGCACAGCAACAATCTTCTCTGAAGATTCCTTCACGTCTCCCTGGGGAGTTGCACGTCGCAACGGGAATTCTGTTGTCAAAAACACTTGTTTTAGTGCCTCCCCTTGCTGGATCAAGTCGTCTAGCAACTCTTCATCTAGTGGGCCGGCTTGGTCTTCTTCGCTGGCCTTTTTCTTCTTCTTCGCTACTTTCTTCGTCTTTTTCATTGGCGGTTCAACAGCAGCTTCAATAATCTCCTTTTCTCGGTAAAAAACGGATGAAACTTCTTCTTGTGGCAGGTTCGTGACGAAGTGAGTTGTGAACTTGTGCGAACCAGTAGCACTCTTGAAAGTCTCCCTCCTCCACGAGTAAGAAGAACTCATCTTTTTACTACAAGTTGTGGAAGCATTTGCATTCATCTTGTCTTCGCTACTTGCAACACCACGTCTTCTAACATCCAGGTCGTCTTCATCGGGGAAGTAGTGGACAAGACCAGGGGAGGAAAAGTTCAATAAGCAGGCGTTTGAGTTCTCTGCACCTGCAGCGGCTAGTTGTTCTGCCGGTTTCTTCTCAGCCTCCAACAGCCTCTCAACCCTCTTACTCGACAGTCTGGTACAGCACAAGGGCTTATGGCCAACCCAGAGATTTACCAACAAAGCAATGCGCTCACCATTTGTGGGCTTCGCCTGTCTAAATGCGCCATCAGCGAAGTGGAGCAGTTGGCCGTCGAAGACCAGATGTTTACCAACTCTCGGGTACGCTACAAGGCAAGCTTCTTCTAGTGTTGACCACGAAGATTCTGTCCTCGAAGAATTTTTACCTTCTTTCAGTTTCACGACACCTGGCGCATTTACGTACGCCTCCTTCCTGTCCACCACCACCGTTGGCGTTCCGTGATCCGTCAAGTACAACACCGATCCGAGCATGGGATGCAAATTTACCTTATACTCCTGTTCCATGACGTAATCTTTGTCATAATGGAGGTCTACGTTTTCATCTTCTTTTTCATCCAACACCACAGCCCAGAACTCTGCTCCACACAGCTGAGAAGGCACAGCAGCGTTTAGGTCGTGCGCATATTGTTGTGCTTGTTCCTCAGGCGGAAAGGTGGAATCTGGACTAGTCGTGACAGGAGTAGGAGAGCACTTCTTCTCCTCTTCAGGAAGACTCCTTGGTGCGGCTTCGCTAGTGTCATTCTCAAGAACATTCTCTTTGTTAGAAGCAGCTGAAGCTAGTGCAGCCGCAGTGGCAGCTCGCTCTTCGACTACTGCCTTGATGTGAGATTTGGCGTCGAACAAGCTAGTGTTTTTCGTCTTCGCGCCTTCGAGGACCGCGTCTCCAGCTGCCACCTCCGGTGAAGTCTTTTTCATAGGACCATCAACATTAGATACCTCCACTTCCATAGGTGGAGGAATCGCCGGAGCGCGTCGGCGCCATTGAAATCCACCCCCTCCATTATTTCCACCTCCAAAAATATCGAGACCATCAGTTGTCTCAATATTTTTGTTCATCTGCTCATCGACCACCTCCTTACAGTCATCAAAAGTTTGAATATCTTCACAAGGACGACAAACGAACTCATCATCATCATCATCATCATCATCTTCATTACCGCCTCGTCCATAAGGACTTCCGTCCTCATTCTCGGTCATAAATTTCGAAGCAATGTGGACACCTTGAGCCGTGTTTTTCTTCGTGTATTGATGAAAAATCTCCAACGCAAGACGCTCTAAGACGCAACGGGGCTCATCCTCGGCTCCAATCCAATAGGTACTGCCGGAAGAGTATTCATCACCCGTCTTGGCTGCAGTCTTCAATCTGCGGCACTGTTCGCGAGCTACTTCGACAACAGTACTTGTTGTACTTTGTTTTTCAGCACCTCCATTTGCTTCCATCTTCTTCTCAACGAAGCAGTTCTCGTACACAAATGTCCCCATAGGTTGATGTTCTAAGATAGAATGCGCTGTGACACCTGGAAGGACACGATGTCCCTCCCGAGTCAAAGGCATCAAAGCTACTTCTTGCTCCTCATCATCGTCGGAGCCGTCAGATGATGAGCGTTCAGATCCTTCTTCTGAACCTTCTTCTCCATCCTCCTTCATCTCTACATCAGAATTCATCTCTTGGCTTTCTTCCTCTTCCTCTTCGTCTGAATCTTCCTCTTCGTCAGACATCATGGTAGTAACTTCCTCGTCAGCCTTCATCTTAGCCGCGAGCGCTGCTTCTTCAGCTTTTCTTGACTTCTTTTGACTCACGTCGGGCTTCTTTTGACTCACGTCACCTGCCGCCTTTGCGACGGTTTTGCTTTCCTTCATTTTTCTGTAAGAAAGTAGTTGCTTTAAAAAAGATTTAATAATATGTCAATGTCGAAGAAATAACTGGTAAACGTAGACTAGAAATACTCAAGAAGCTGTGTTGCTATTTTCTGTGATGTTTGCTTTCACCCAAAAGCTTCCACCTAAGTAAAAGCTTTTTACATTCGAGATTATCCGGCCGATTTTCGTACCAGCATTATTCTTCATGTGATCTTGAGGATCGCATGTCATGGGTGCATCTCAAGAAATAGTCCTTCTCGACTACCAACGAGATGAAGCAGATCCTGATGCGTCCTGACGGAAAGTAGAGGAAGCGCGCACCCTAATCAGGGGATGGACGATCTTGTTGTAGGCTCCTCTTGTTGTAGTTACGGATGTGGTGGATCCGACCTGCTATGTGCATGAGACGATAGCTTCGTAATTCTGAGATCTTCATGATCAACACTTGTTTTATCTACTTTTGGTTGAACAAAATAAGATCATGATCGGCAATCATCTGACTCAGGACAGTGTTTGGGTCCCGTTTGGTGATGAAAACACGTTGCCAGAAACACTGACACGCCCCTCTTGCTAACACCGCCTGGAGCTAGACGAAGCTCAATTTCAATTTCCTTCGGGAAGCGGTAGACATAATAATTCAGCACGAGGTGAATCTGGGTAGGTCGATATTCAGTGGCAGAGACTTGGATCGATCAGAAACTGAAGAGAAGCTCTGTGAGAGTGGACGATCCTTGTTCACGTTCAATAGTTCAAGATGACTATCATGTACGTTAATGTTGTTGTTCGCGGGAAACCAGATCATACTCTTCTTGGTCCTAATACAAATACTCTAACATTAACTACGTCGTCCTCTACGTCACTTTCATTCATTTTACCTTGTTAGTTCACGGCACGAGGCTGACTTTCATATCAAAACCTTGCAGTCGAGAGTACTTTCTCGATGTATCACTATTCGATTGACACTCCTGTTCATTTGAAATTCAGCAGCCCACGAAGTTGTAGTTATTATTTCGATCCAAATTTAATAACGGCAATGAAGCCTCTCTAACTCTATCTGTTTCTGGTCCTCCTGTGCAAATTAATCATCTAGGAACGTTTTTTCGTCGGTATATTTTGTGTAGTTACCCAGCATAACATCCTCCTAAAAAATGTGGGTCATCCATTGTTCTTAGGCAAGATCCGCCTAAAGATAGCCTGATCCACCTCATAACATTAAGGTAGCCTGATCGGATCATTATCTAGAGCTAAAGGTAACATATTGGTTTTGGTAAGTAGTCATCCACTAGACCTTTTTACAACATTCATACATTAGAGCGAAAGGTAACATCATTCACTAGACCTTACATTCAGGCTATCATCTACTAGAGCTAGAGGTAAAGATCCACCTCATAAGCATAACATTCTCCTAGAAACAAAAATCTTGATAATCAAGAATCCGGATCAGGTATCTGGGCTCCATCCGTTTCATTCTGTGGTAGCCCTGCTCCCTTCCTGCGTCCGATTGCCGCACTGACGGCCTTTATTAAAGCTCAGCACTCAACGGTCACTGACTCTGAACGGAAGAGACCCACTCCACCCAAGGCTCTCGCCTTTCCCTTTTCCCTTCTCCCCTTTTCCCTCTCAAGGTTTCCCTTCATTTGTTTCCCCTGTTGGTTCTCTCAAGAAGGGGTCGCCTCTTCCATCTCAGAAGTGGTGACTCCAATCTAAATGGTGACTCTAATCTGAAAGTTGAGCCTTAACTCTAGCGTCTCCTTTGCTTCTGCCAATGCCTTGTCCCGGCCACGAGCCCGCATCAAGATCGCCTGGTCTCGGATGGCGAACAAAGCAACGACTAGCAGGATAAGAAAGATGGGTGCGATGCCGAGCACTCCTGTTAGAAATAGAACTTTTCGGCACAGTTGCTTTGGTGCCAACTTTTCTAGTTGCTTTCTTGGTGCAAGGCGAATAGTACGAGGACTATAAGTACTATCCGCCCACTAATGGCAGGCTAAGTAGAATATTCCTTCACCATGATGATTACACGACCACATAATGAGCGGGCTAAATTCCTTCACCATGATGACTACACGACCACATGATGAGCGGGCTAAATTCCTTCACCATGATGATTACACGACCACATGATGAGCGGGCTAAATTCCTTCACCATGATGATTACACGACTACATGATGAGCGGGCTAAATTCCTTCACCATGATGATTACACGACCACATGATGATCGACCTCCAACCATAATATCAGCATCAAGAAAACCGACGATGCACCGGAGTCGATGAAGCTGTCTGCATCCATGTAACTGACGATGTAGAAGTCCGCGAATCGTGGATGCGATATGCGGCGAACCCACATTTCACCAGTCTCGGGTAAAAGCTGTTCAGTCTCTATATCCTCCCGCAATGCCTCATAGGCATTCACACTGGCGTCATCCTCATCCGCAGATTCGGCATCAGGGTTCTTCACTGCATTGTCTAGGGTAAAGTAAGTGCCGGCAATGGATACGGTGCCATGAGTGCCGCGAGAGACTGTGTTGGTTCCAGAGCTGTCGGAGTTGGTATTGGTGGATGAGGATGCTTCATCAGCCGAAGAGGCGGTCTTGTACACAATGCCTACGTTGTCCACGTTGTATGTATTTGCTGTCGTCGATCCTAGTCCCGTTTGTTGTCGACTTATGGTTGACGATGCTGCCGCAGACTCCTGTACATCAAACCTTGGAATCCTGGACAAGCTTGCTTTTTCTAATCTCGCTACTAGTTTGCGCCATCTGTCTGCTGAAAAGAAGCTGCTAATTTCCTCGTGAGCCACCTCCCATATGCTCTTGATACTCAGACGGGCGCCAGTTTTCTGAGGACTTCGTTGTTGTTGATAGGCCAAGGAGCCGCTCGTTGGGGCGCCAGCTGCTGCATGCTGCGTTGTGTCGCCGGGAGGTGTCTCTGTCAGCCTCACCTGATCCATTTTCTCTTTGGCGCAAATAATTTGCCCGGATGATTAGAAGAGGAGGTTTGTATAAGGATCATTGGACGTTGCTAGGATTTTACAGAACTTGAACAACGAGTTGTCTACTCTTTTGAAAAGACAGAAGTAGTTACAAGATCCCACCAGCAGGAGCTGCATTCGATTTCGAAGATGCAAGAACAAGAAAATCGGATGAATTACAACTCCTCCAGGAGCCATACTTCTTACTCACCAAGAACAGCGCAAAGTTGCTCACACGCGCATCCACTTGTTCGCCGACATACGGATCCCTCAGAAATCTACGACAGGCTTCCAAATCCACGCTGATGCGACCGACGAGGTGCGTTACTAGCATGTTGGCTTGGTTCAGCAATGCTGTCGCAGGATCTGGTGGTGTCTTCGGAAATTCTAACTTGAAGGTCAGAGGCATTACTGGCGCAAAATGGAACACCTTTGAATCGAGTGTGACCTGCGTGTCGCTAGAAGAAACGATTTCTGCCCCGTCACTGCTCCATTGGTAGAAGAAGGGAGTTAGAAGATGGTACTTACTATGCGAAATTTTTCATCATCTTGGGTTCTATCTAGTACGTCGTAGGGTTTTACAACCCAGCAGGTGAAAGACAACGTGCAAATAACAACAATCATCACATCAATATCAAGCACAAGCAACTTCAAAAACTAAAATGAACAACATACCAACCTCCTTCACCATAATTTCCTTTGCCATTTATGAGACTGCAAAAACGCCCGCTCTCGATTGATCTCACCCTTTTCCCACTTTGCCTCAGGTCTTGCGTCACCCGTGTAGCAGGTCTCCGGAGGTGTGATTGCTAGAATTTGTTCCTTAGGTTGTTTGTTTTTGGGTCCATGGTTCGTGTTGGTGTAGTGCAAGTACAAGTAGGGGTCCTTGATCGCATATTCAGACAGGCAACCTTCAACGTGACTAGGAAAAACTGGTGCTGTGACAGTTACGGTTGTGGTTGTGGTATTTGTTCCGCTAAGTAAAGAAGAGGCGTTGGTGGAGGCATTTGGTAGATTGCCGCCTGTTATTGATGAACTTCCCGCACTACTAGGTGGCGTGGGGGCAGAGCACAAACAACTTGTACTCGTCGTACTTGCCGAAGAAGAAGGTGTCACTGGTCCCCACAGTGGCGTGTCTGCACAGTAGTCTCCGTGTAAACCTGCAGCATGACACTCCTCGTAAGCCATACGCCATTCGTCTGCACGTAATTCGTCTGACTCTGACGTCGATACTATGTTCGTAGCTGGTGATGAGGCAGGAGGATTAGATCTAGTTGTGCCATATGATTTGCATTCTTGGTCGCACCATCCTTGGTGACATTTCTTTCAAATTTTTACGTCCCAATATTATAACGCATTCAACAGGATTCTTACGACTCTTGCTACGTAGCCTTAACAGAAACACTCTCAGAAGCATTTCTTGACATGATGTAGCGGAAGTATTTCCATTCGTCCATCGGAATCGAATTCGTGGTGTCTGGTGGAAACGAGACTAGAGGATCGACTGGATATATCCAGTACAAGTTTTCAAACGTCACGGTCTGCAGACGCCGATACCAGCTGCTTTGCGCAATTTGAAGCTTGTTGGTGCAACAGGGGTTAGAGGAGGAATCGTCGAAGTCGAATCAACATCAAGATCAATGCTTACTTAGTTATACCAAGGACAACTACATAACAAAAGCCCCCAAGGACACGCAACTAGGGTACATATCCGTCTGCATCAGGAAGTGGCCTAGATCACCCACACGTCGAAATAGGATCCCATGATCCGTCACCGTTTTCCGCGTGCCTGTAAAGCCTAACTCCAGCATCTTGATACCTGCTTTTCTGGCTACTAGGACTGGTGCTAGGAGGGTTTCGAGTTGCTCGAAATGCAAAGGCTCTTTGTAGATCCCCAACTGCACCGCATGATTCAACACTTCAATCACGTCAAAACTTGAAGCTTCCAGATATCGGACCACCTCGCTTTCGATCCGTGGTAATGTGCCGTGCTCGTTGTAGGTTGCTCGCAATTTAGGCACGATCGTCGAGAAGTACAATTGACCGCCACAGATTAGATGCAGGGTTTTGGTGTTTCTGTTATTTCCCGTTTGTTCTGCCTTTCTCCCCTAGGAGGGGCATGAGGACAAACGGCAACACCAGAAACACCTTGAGCCTACCCTTAAATAGATCAGGAAAACGCAAGTCAATAACAGCCACACTGCAAGAACATAGCATAAAACGCGGTACAAAGCGAACTGAGGTTGATGTGTGGTCATGTTCTGCTTCATCAGACTCTCGATGAGCTCGCGTTTGTCTTTATCTTGGTAGTGATAAAGGTCTTCCTGCTCCACAACTGACATGCAAGATTGCGACCGCTGAACTTGGTCTTGGACTAAGGATGATGTAGCACTAAGAAGTTTCTGGTCTTTTGTCAAACCATTTTTGCTTTCATCATGTTCCAGAAGGGTAAGTGCAGAACCGCTACGGCCGGGTGAAAGGCCAGGTCGAGGTTGGCCGTCGAGACCTGATGATTTTGATCGCGTGTAACGCGGCGCCATGTGGCATTGACATCAGCAGCAGGGAAATGAGCATAATCGAGATTTCTAAGACTAAGCCTATGCGAATACAGTGTCGATACATGAAAAATGTAGCTAAGAAGAGTGAATCAAGAGTAAGTACTTAGTAACTAAGAGTGAAGCCAGTCGTGTGCAATCAAAACGTACTTTTCTGATTTCCATCTGCTTTGTACGGACTCCCGGATTGTTCCATTTGATCAGCTACTCGTCGTGAAGACGTGCCAAACAACAAACCAGAGAGGCTCCAACCACTCGCAGTGCTCGGCTGAATTCGCTCGTTAGGTGCATCATTTATTCCGCCGGCCAATGAGTTAGAATAAGGAAGAAAAGAAAGGACGAAAGCAGTTAAGTCAAGAAAGTTCGAGGTGGACTAGGAGTTGCCTTAAAAATATCTCTTCTTTCTTGGTTCAATCTTTGCAAACGGTCATGTTCCACTTTGGAGAAAATAGGCAGTGCCCGAACCGACTCACGAACGCGCATGACCATTTGCTGGGTTACGGCTTGGAGCCGTTCGATACTCAGTGTCTTTTCAACTGAAGAGAACAAGCTCCGGTTTGTTCGTCGTTTCTTGTGGTTGTTAGAGGAGGCACGAGGGTGGGCGTGGTAGAAACGTGAGCGATGTCTTGCGTTGAGTCAGCGACTTCTCCATCTTGCATATAATTTTTAGGCCACTATTTTAGTCATGGTTCGCTCTGCATGTAGTTCTTAAGGTGCGGACAATTATGATGATCTTCAGTAGTGGACTACTACAGCACGAGTCGATGGTGGTTCTTAAGGGTAAGACGATAAACTTATAATTGCTACGTACTCGTACACGTACTCAGTCACCATAACTTTATAAAAAGGATTTCCTCCATCATCCTCGCCATCGTCTGATAAGATGTCGTTCAGCGCATCTAAATAGTTCTGCGAATTCACATGCGCGACTGACGGTTCCGTCCGGCCATCGTCTTTCTGTTCTTGTTTAGAGGTTGTAAGGTGATATCTACAAAAGCGACGCCTAGAATGAGGGAGTACAGATCACCTTGATGTTGTGCGGAAAGATGTCTTGGAAATCGAGGACGAAGATGGAGATTATAATGGATCCTTCACATCGATAGCGATGGATGCAGTAATGAAAAATAGTACATCATACTTAATACAGACATTTACTCATTTATTCTCATCTGCATAACTTTACTAGCAGGCTGTGCAGAAACAACTGTAACCCTCGACTCCTTTTTGTTTGTATAGGATGAACCTGATAATGAGGATGGGGATGCTTCGCTAACAAGAACATCATGCTCATCTTCAGCTAAGTGGTTCATCTGTCCGCCTTCTCGTTCTCCTGAAGATTCCTCCAGCTCCTGATCTCGACGTTGTAGTGACGAGGCTGTAGTCCTGCTCTTGACATCTATTCTACTTCTTGTTTCCTCCGCTGCACCCGCCTTCGCTTCTTGATTCGGCTCATTTGCAATCGTATCCTGTAGTTCTCCATCTCCTCCTCCATGATCCAGCGCATTGTCTTCTTGCTCTCCTTCATCTTCACTCAGATGAAACATCGAAGATGCCGACGACAGTCCCCGACTCAACGATCTCGGCATCTGTTTCTTTTCTTAGCGAAGAGAAAAGCCCAACCTTACGCCAGCAGCCCAGTTGTATGGATTCCCCTTGTGTAAAAGGGGAATGAGAAGAATGGGCTGTGTAAAGGGTTGGGTTTTTGGTGCTCGCGGGTTCCCCCGCTTGTTATGCCTTTCTCATCCTAAGGGAGAGAGGCATAAAAAGCGGTAAGAAAAGCACCTTTAACCTACCCTTAATCAGCTTCCGTGCTGCGTCGGAGCATATCTTGCTTCATTTTCTCACGGTGGATTTTGGATATAGGAGAATTCTCACCAAAAACCTCTGTAGTCCAATTTTCCAGACTTTTACGCCTCTCCTCGCGATAAGCGGCTTCCTTCTTCTTCTGCTCACCATGGTCTGCGATCTGCGTGGGATGAAGAAAGGAGTCACAACATCATACAGATGCAACTAGCTTCAAAAAAGCAACTCATCTCACCAAGACTAAGTGGGGTCTTGCTCTTTTATTCATCAATTAATATTCATTTTTTCAATATAATGAATCGGTAAGACTAACAGCGAGGTACTTGCTGCATCTTCCCTGACAACATAATAGTACCCACTAATATCTCTAGTAGATGAGCTCTTTTCATAACCAAGAGCCTTCTGAATACTCTTGACTTCGTGTGGGTCACGTGTCGGCTCTGGAGGAGGCGGATCCGTTACGCGGTCGACCCATGCGGCTACCTCTGGAATACACGGGAAGGAAGCGACGTCGGCGCGGCTTGATATAGGGGACGGATCCACGTGCTGGAGGCGGCTGTCTGGGGGGGTGCCCTGATGGTGTTGGTAAAGATGGGGGTTACAAAAATTAGGAGGATATTCATGATCCCGATAAACAAGAAGCTGCCGGCGATACCATCTGACTTTTTTTGGACGAGAGGAATGTCATCTCTACGTACAGGAGATGAGAGCACACATCGCCTTCGTCCGTAAAAAATGTTCTTACCCCATCCCCCCTGCCCACTTCCGCCCGGTCTCCGTCAGCGTCCTTCATTTTTCATTTCTGCGACTGGAACGCAAACGCATTCATCTGATCTTACATACTGCTCAACATTTTGATTTTGTGGTTCTTGTGTTTCTGTTTGTGATATTGATATTGTCTCAATATTCCTGCTAATACGTGACGCCGAACAGTTATTTCTAAACTTTGTCAAATTCTTCCTTGTTGTTCTTATTGTTTTGATTTGATGACGCATACTAAGCGAGAGCACCCGTTTGATGAAGAAGAAGAAGAAGAAGAAGGGGCTAGGCGTAGTATTAGACGTAGGCATTTGCTGTTCGTTTACCCCGTTCGTGAGGCCTTTCCTTCTTCAGAGAGGCAAAACGAACAGTAACACCAACAGGAACACCTTTAGCCTACCTTAGTAATAAACTTATACTACCTTAAGAAACTAATACAGCCAAGTAGCACTACCCAACAAGTAAAGGGTAAGGATCAGTATCTTATACAGCTTTTCGTGATAGGAGGTAGCGGTCACTCTCCTTCCATCTTCCCAGAAAAAAAAACAAAAAAAGTAACGACAGCTCATCTACATCTTATTCTGATCAGGATAAAAGTGTAAGTGAGCCTGCCTCCGGGTCCTTTGTGATCGCTCTTTGCAGCACGGGAAAAAATGACGCTTTTTGACGATCGTCCAGTCAACTGGAAGATTGAAAAGCCGCTCGTCACGCACGCGCGCACACCGCTGATAGCCACGAAACTGTGCGCCACTACATCTCAGAAAAGCGAAGCGCAGGCGATATGGCTGCAATCGCATCTGATGAACTCTACAACAAGCTTGAGAGAAGGCTGCAGCTATGACATCATGTCACGCGGCAACAGCATGAACAAGTTCCAATTGTCTTATTACATTTGCACACCTTGCACTTGTTCCAAAGGGAGTAGATGCGTACATATCCATGCATATGTCCCTGGTGCCAACTTTTCTGACGATCTGAAAAGAAAGTGCTTCTAGACAAGTTAGGCACAGACAGAGTTCTGCGGTCATATCTTTAGACAAGGTATAAAGCGATACTAATGATGAGAGGACTAGACCTAGAGGCCAGCATACTGTCTAAAAAGAAAGGTTCTTATTATCCAAAACGAGCACGCAGATTTTTTTGTGGGTATCTAGAGGTAGTCTAGGGAGTGTTTTTTTGTAAAACGATATTAAATATGAGTTTTCACGTGTCTAAAACGATTTTAAATATGAAGAGGGGTGCACCACTTTGCATCTTCATCATGGTCAACTTCAGTTCACTGCACTTGTGCCCAAATCTTTTTGATGCAGTTACTGCATGGCCCTGGTATTTGGTAACCTGAATTTGATCGCAAGGATCCTCGTCTTGTTTTCCTCTTAATCAATAAAATCAGGCTACCAAATATCAGAGCCATTCACATACATGCACGCATCGCATCATGGATGCGAGTCGGTAAATACTTACACTAGTGCAACATTTATCGAAGATTACAATGATCAAGGTAGGCACCATGTTGCTCAATAATTGTCATTTATTTTTACTTCAAAACTACAGGCTATTCGCCCTGTCTACGTCTAGGTAAGGTTCTTCTTATTAATTTCAGTCGTGTCCATCTAGTTTCATCAAATTCAAACCATCCTAATAGCGGTCAGAGTTACGTTCCATTCAAAACATAATCCATCAATTCTTGCCACTCTTTCTCCCTTTCTGCAGCAAAGATCTGTGCCTCCGAACGCTCTTGGGTACTAGTACTTATTTCACTGAGTTCTCGCTTTACGCCTTCTGAAGATGTTGCGAAAGAAGCAGCAGGAACAGGGTTCAACTCGAACTCACAGAAGTCTCTATAATCCTCTGATGATTTTATCGTATCGATGTTTGTTTCGTAGGTCGAACAAGGTGAATTAGCACGGACAAAGCCCTGCCATTTTGGATAATTTCCGGCGTTGACCTGTTTTCGAGATTCAGACTGAACGAAGGTAAAAAAATTAATAGGATGCAATCAAATTATTCCAAAGGGGGATGAAAATGAATGGAGACCGTTTACAACAGGGTGCATTTTTCTCTGTTTATTTTCAATCTATTAAGCTGCTACCCAGCATAAAAAATAAAGGGAGACAAACAAGGAGACTTTTACCACTTGTCCTTCGCTCCGCACTGTATACAGCGCGTCAACCGGATTGGCCTCGGCGTTGCCAAAGCATGCGAGAACTTCCGTTGTATCATCTTCGCGGACAGGTCCACTATCGACGCGCCGTTTTGCCGAGGAAGGACAATGCCGGCGATCATCAGGGAGAAGCAGGACAGGAGCAGGATGGCTTGTCCCAGTCTCGTCGCTCCATAGTTTCATGTGATCCTCGCGCGTGCTGGCGATCCCACTACTTTCTCGCCCCCCACCTGTTTTTCCAGTAAAACTAACATTGCTCTTGCAGAACAAGTTGGAAGCACACGCAGAACAAGTAGAACTTGGAATTTCAATGGTTCTTTCAAGTTCATCTTCCGACGCACTTATCGGAAGTTTAGCCGAGACCTCTTCATCGCTCTTCCCGCCTCCAGTCGGAGCCACAAGAGCCTCCTCCCGTTGCAACATGATTCCAATTCCTCGGCTTTTAAGAATATTGATATCGCCCTCGTCGCCTTTATTGTTCTGAATGGCAGTTGTGCTGGACTCGGTGTGGGTGTTCGCTATCCTCGATCGACAGCGCTCCACTAGCCTGCCAACAGCTGGGACAGGGGCAGTATTTAGCGCGTGCTAGAATGCGTATCGGTCCCCTCATCTTGGTCCCTTTTGCCTTGTGTTTCATGAGAGTACACCCAGGGCAAAAGGGTACCAGCTACCACGATGCCGAGAAAGATGGATAAAAGCTGACCATAAATCATCTGCGTTATGAATATTATTTTCTTCAACTGTCGGCAGCAATATTCCCGCTTGCTTAGTTCCTTCATCCGTCGATCCAGCCGGAGCTCCTGGAGTCTTCTTTGAGTTGTATGAAAACGAAACGGAATAGGCAGAAGTCGACATCGGACCCAACACGGGATCGTGGCCGCGTAAAACCTGTTCAAGAACCAAGAAGCAAGATGAGGATCGCAGCTTTGGAGAAAGCGAAGATCGAGCGATGCAGAACGTTGGACTAGCAAGATTTTGAAAGAATAAAGAGTAGGTGAAAACGGGAAGGATGCTGTTCTCATGAACATCAATACCACCAAAGCATCCAGCATTCGCAGTAAATGCGGAAAATCCGGCGCACCGTCACGTGGAAGTACTGTGGACACCAAACGGCCATCAGGATCGATCAGAAAGACGGGACGGGAATCCCTGCTCGGATGATACTCCTGATGGTCTGCCTTAGTCGTGCTTGCTATGCCGAGTCGTCGCGATATGCGGTGACCAGGATCGCATATCACAAGTGGAGGCTCAAAATCTTCTATGCTACCAGACGACGCTGATGGCGCCCCGGATGCGAATTAGAAGAAGTAATATGCAATGCTGCACGCACGAATCATATGCGTGCGTGACCTACGAGGAAATTGAAGCGAAGTGATAAGAAGGGCCAGATTATATTCTTCATTTTGGTTTCAAGCACAAAGCCGCGGAGGGGCGACGACTAAGGTGAGAGTTGTCACTGAGGAGCCGCGACCACATAGTCGAATGAAGTGCTACAAGGACGTACTGCCCCGCCCATCCGTTCCCGTTCCAACGCAGGCACTAGTTGTCGCGAAAAACAAGTGGTGCCACCGCGAGGCGACCTGGGGCTGTTTTTCGTTGAATTTCCGTTTTCAGAAGAGGAGCGCGACGCAACACTCTTTGCCTGAGGGCTTGCCGCCCGCGGACTGGCTCCTGGCGAGTGGGATCGGAGGCTTTGCGGTGCACCATTAGAAGAGCTTTGCGTCAACATTCCAGCTTCTTATCGTATCCTTGGGATAGGAGTGGGCTCAGCTATGAGGGACAGGGGGTGAGCGTTCGAGCCATCCTTGTTAATATTTCTTACCATTCGCATAGACGATTTCTTTCGTTGTAAGCTAGCAGTGGCCCTTAAGGGATGGCGTCGTGTCATGCCTTAAGGGATGGCGTCGTGTCATGGCTGGAGGCAGGTCGGGAGGACGTTGTAGGTCCCACACGGTAAAGCATGTTCAACACAGTGTTGCGGATTCGGGCTGATGCGGTATTAAGACCTGAAGATACGACCACGTTTCCACGTCCTCCCGGTGCCGACTGTTGCTGCTGCGCTGCGCGGCTCACAGCAGCTTTTGCTGTCGTATAGTCTGCATTCGTAAGCACGACCAAGTTTGCTCCTCGGCGTTGATATTCCGGCTGAAAAAGTATCGCATCATAAAGCACACTGATGCGCTGGCGTTCGCCGTCATAACTACCTCCGGTCGTAGTTTCGCCAACTCGTTCATCTTCTAGTGGACACCACAAAAAAACTGTCCACTTACCGCGGCATAAATCATCGAAAACCAGTGGCCCTCGAGTTGAGTCGCATTGTCCTAGGGTCGGAAAGCTAGTGCCTGGTTGCAAAGGGCCTAGTGACCTCTCAGCTGCCGAGGACATCCCTTTCGTCCTTGGGTTCTGAGGAAGCAAGGTTGTAGTAAATATTTCACATGAACTACAACTACAAGAACAACTACAAAAATACAAAGCAGGAGGGAAAACAACTTCTAGTAAGAACAAATCACTATCACAAAAATGCTCTTGCTTCAGCTAAAGTTAGTAGACGACCAACTCCTCCACCTCTAACCTATAAGTAGGCCGATCGATGATTAGACATATTTAGCACAGAAACGCATGACACGTTTCGAAAATCCCAATCCGAGGTTTCATATTCACGTCCAGATACTACTAGCTTTCCATCTTAGTTACGTCGATACTTCTACTTTCTATGTGGAGAAGGAGATGTTGAAGCCTTCTTCAACTCCAGAAAAAAAAGCGTCGTTCATATTGGGCGGGTTTTTGTCAAGCATTTAATTATAAAAATGCTGCTCCTGTAGTTCCTCTTTTTACATTACGGAACAAGAAGGAGCTTCCACTCCGACTCCAGTAGTTGTAGTTAAGTAATGTCAAGTTTCGTAAAGATCGTCCGATCGAAGCAAGAAGGACGAAAGCACAAGAAAGACCACATCAAGGACACACAACAGACCATAGAAGTACCGATAATTCGGCTTGATAGTAGAGGACAACTCTAATTACCAGGCGTGTTTCAACTCTAACTATCAGACGTGTTTCAACTCTAACTATCAGACGTGTTTCAACTCTAACTATCAGGCGTGTTTCAAAAACAAAAGCTTTGCAGGAGCTGCTCCCGCCATTTTATTTCTCGCAGAAGTGCAAAATGAAGTTGCATTTTTCTTACAGCTAGCTTCCAGCATCTAGTAGCAGGGGCGGGTCCGTTGATCTTGATTTGCTGCAATCAATACGAAGTAGCTAGAAGCAGGTACGCACTAGACGACCATCACTCCTTCAAAAAATGGAAAAAATTACAGGACGAAATCATGTAGTTAGCGTCGACTTAGCGATGATGTAGTGGCATGTGGCGCAATTAAGTAGCACCTGCTCACTTTTCCTCTTCGTTTTGCTATACATACATGAAGATTCATCATCTTCTACATCTTCGCCCTATCATTTACGATAATATTAATTCATGAATGGGCACATATTCTCGAATCCGACGTCGCTTGTTCTAGTACAGGTAAGGTAGTTGTTGTAGTTCTACTTATCTTCACACACGCGCTACTTATCGAAATCGAAATATCGCCATGTATATTGAATTATACACGCGCAACTACTAGCTTGCTACTATTATTATTAGGAAAAGAGTCGACGGCTATCCACAGACCACCTACAGACGGCCAAAAGGCAGAATCTGAAGCAGAGCGACACGCTAAGCAAATGCAGGAGAGTCCTAACAAGGGGCGCCGCGGTCCGGGTGCGTTTGCCGGTGCCGTCATGGTAAAAAGAACCCGGCCGGCGGCCACAATCAAACCAACGCCGAAGAAGGGTAAGCAGGTGCAGCGGCAGAGACAGGTAGAGAAACATCCGCCGGGGCATTTAGTCGAAAGTCGGCACGCCGCGCCAAGGCAGCCCCAAAGCACCAGACCCCCTCGCGGCCGGTTGCGTCGTAGTTCGGGGCGAGCGTAAGCCCAACGACAGCGGCAGCCCTGCACAAAGTGCGCGAGGAGGGAGCGGCGGCACTCCTGCACCGTGCCACGGCTCACCCGTATGGGTGCCGAAAAGCCGAGGCATCACTGACCGCAACCCGCAATCCCGTATGAATATATAAGCGCCCACCCACCAAGTGAGCCGCAGTGAAGTCCGGCGCCAGTCCGTCACTCGTAGCACAGAGAAAGGCCGAGCAGAGCAGAGGGATCAACTCAAGGACGGCGCTCAGCTGGGGAGGACTCACACCACTCTCACACCGGAGGGCCAGAGCATCTCGACAGAAAAGGCAGGCGCCCATCTTCCAGACACGGGGGCGCTCATCTCATGCAGCAGGGGCAGCACGTCAAGAAGGCGCCACTCCAGGCCGGCAGTGGTGTGGTGGAGACCGGTGGAGACCCCCCGCGCCAGGAGGGAGAAGCCCCGAAGCCAACACAGGACGCGCGAAGACTCACGCAGAAGTCTCCAGTCCACAACCCGAAGGCCCAGACATGGGCACCCCACACCAGGAAGGGGCAGCAGCGACGCGTCGCAGTTCGCTAACATGAGCGCGCTCCCCGCGACGGAGTGCAGCGCCAGCCTTCTTCTATCCACGTCGTCACGTCGTAAGCGTAAAACCACGAGCCAAGCCCCAGCCCGCCCCCGGGTACCGGAGGGCGCAGGCCATCTTTCGACGCTTCGCGCAGTAATGTTGTCCCAATGGGACCCCGGTGACCAGCCGGGGGCTACTAGCTACTAGAACGTAAGTAAGCGAGTTGTCCGTCGATGTCCCTGGTCTTCTGGTAATTGAGCTCAAACGGGTCGAGGGGGAGCGAACTAGCTCCTACTAGAACTATAATATAGGCGCATATTTTCATTTTCTATTTATTATAAATATCTACACATACCACACATACTCGTCCGCGGCGTCTTCAGCTGCCGAATCTTCTATCTGACAAACTTGACAAGTCATCAATCTGTGCCACGTGCGCACGTCAGAAGTGTAAGAAACAAAAAAGATGTGAATATGTACAAGTACGTAAGTTTTTTCCAAATAGTTGAAAAGTCATGTCATCGTCATGTCATGTGTATGTGTCCCCTATATGATTTTACTTTGGTGTCCTACTGTCTACGCGCCCGTGCCTGATCATGCAGCGAATTAATCATGATGATGTTGACCGAGGAAGACCAGAGACTGAATACTTGTTTAGAAATCGGGAAGCCATTGGCACAAGTCTACCACTGTACTCAAACTATCATCAAGAGGAAGAGCGCCTTCCCAATACCAGTTCTTCATCGACAATATATTACTAACTTACTAGTATAGCGTCAGTCCTGGAGCACCAAGTGATCCTTGAGACCAGACCCCTAGGGAACGATCTTCAAAGCCGAGTAGTTGAAAGTGAAAAGTTGAAAAAAATGCTCCTATGAAGACCTACATCTACTGATGAAAAATAAGCAACAGCAACAAAAGATATTACTGATCACGATTGAACTCATTGTCATCCATTTCCGTTTTGTTTTTGGTTGAATATATTATACATAGATACATAGATTGATAAGTGTAACATTAGAACTTTATTTTCTCTTTCTGTACAATGTTGATAATATTAATATGTGATTACCACGACGCACTATATTGCGTCGACGTTGTATTAGTCATGAAAGTATTCTTCTACTTCAGTTGTGCTTGTCCTCGTGCTTACACGAACGATAATAGAAAAAGTGAGAGGATATCACAATTTTCTTCTTCACATGGCTATTAAACGTGAATAAACACCTGCTTCGAGGAAGAAAACAACACATTTATCAGTAGAATCAGGAGGAGTAGTACTAGGAGCTGTCACTAGCGGCTACAGGCTTTGTCTCTGACGCCAACCATTCACACATCGCGCTCTGCCAGCGTCCCTCAAGATCGTTGCTTCTACGGAAGAAGAAAATGAACTCTCTGCTTTTCTTAGCGGTTGTAGAGGGTCTTCATTGTCTTCCCTAGAGTAGTTGTAGATGCCTCTAGTTCTACTTCTAGTGGGCTGTCTGAAGTTCCCTCAACTTCTGAGAGAAGTGGCCCACCACCGCTAGTAGAGCTCAATGTCAGAACGACCGCTAGAGCAAGAGCTCATCAAAATAACGATTCACTTCTTAGCTTCATTTTCATCCAAGACTCTTCCCAAGAGAAAAACAGAGAGGAAAAATTCAATGCCTACAACTAACTTTGGAACAAATGAGATGAAAATAGAAAAATGGTGGTGCTGGATAAAGATAATGAAAACCTATTGCCGCCATAAACTGCTTAGAAGTACAACCTCCGTCTCCGCTCGACTGCGCCGAAGCTTTAGGGATCGTTTCCGCTCCCTCGCCGGCGCTTCCGCTTCGTGCCAGTGATGTCAAGAATGATTCGTCCACCGTATCATTAGACCGTGTTGATGTAGTTCTAGCTGAACTAGTACCTAACTACAAGTAGTACTGCTACTGGCCAGCTCTATTATAAATTATATTGCATTTAGTTCATCTAGAGTCATACTGCATCTAGAACATAGAAGCTCTAGTAGACTTCTAGCTTCATCTGAGTGGTAACGTATTGTCGGGTTTCGAAGAAGAAGTAACGTATTGTTTGACCTACAACATGAGAGGACACTTCTTCCTTTATCCGAATTGTTATCCTTATCTTCCAGCAGCAGCTGCATTCAAGCATACTTCTAAATACTAAAGGTCGTCGTGCTCCTTTTCCTTCAGCATCAAAAATACCAAATATTAAGCAGAAATCTTGATCTTCTTCAATTGAATAGTAGTGCAACTAACTCTAACTCCTGCAGGAGCATCAACGAAAACAGGAAAGCATTCATAACTCGATGCCGCAAAACGAGAAGCGAATCATCCATCACTCGAGCTTCAACTTCCACTGCTACCTTGTTCCACGGGGTAGGAACAACATGTTGGAAGACCGCGGCAACACCTCCGCCATTGAATCTTCCAGCGAACGGACGCGGAAAAGCGCGGCCGCGAACCGTAGAAAACGGTGTTTGCATGTCGCGCACAGCGTTATCCAGCTTCAATTAGAACTCACGACTACAATGCAATTATCCATCTTTATAAACTCGTCAAGGAGAAAGATCACCAACAAGATGGATATATCATCTTTAACTTTATTAAGCAGAACAATATATAACAAATATTAAGTGTCCGTTGTTGAGGCCTTAATTCCAGAGCTGGGTAAAGTTTAATGGACTGAAACGACTGACGTGGAAGAAGCTCAACACCATCTCAGGAGCTGCCACTTGCTCTGCCTGGGAGGATTCCCGGTGGCCACCTAGACCTGCTCCAGCTCCACCGCCTGCTGCGCCAGCGGTGTCATTTGATCTGCATCGAAGCAACGGGGTGTCCGACAACTCGGTCACTGAAGGCAGACGGGCGGCCACCTTGTTCATGTCTTCAGTACTAGTGGGTAACCTGCGTCTACTATTCGGAAAACCGGTGTCCGCTTTCGGATTCGGGGAAGCGAGCTCAGAGTTGCCTTGCTGCAGTGACAATTTCAGGGTAAGCCAGCTGCTGGAGTAGAACAGGCGACCCACCTTCATGACTCGCATAAACCACGAAGGCGCGAGCCATTCCATAAACGCGCGCAGACCGCACATGTTGACGAGCTTCCACTCGCCAACCATATCTTCCAGTGCGAGCTTCACTTCTTGTGAGACGGGGCCGCCACTCAAAAGAAGCGGCCTTGGAACTGCAGCGTGGGAGCTCCGTTCGTGCTTCGTGTTGGATTTGACGTCTTTGACTTCTAATTCCCGCACGAACGCCGTGACTTGCCGAATATTTCGCACCGCTGCCCCGTGAGGAAACATGAGGCGATCGGCAATACGCGAAAAAACCGCATTCAAATACCGACTGAGCATGTCGTCCTCCTCCTGCAGCTGCGCCGCTTCCATCGCTGAACCAAGCACCTCCTCTACACCTCCGAGATCAGACCGCACAAAGTCTGGGTTAGTAGACGAGAAGCAGTCGTGCCACATAGAGGAAATGGATTTGGATTGATATTGGTTTCTTAATAATTGTGATTGATATTGATTCATCATTGAAGATTTTTGACTCACAAGGCCCTGGCAAGAACAAGAGATAGTACCTGAAAATCCGAACAGCCACAAAAATCTTCTTCGTTTGGGTTTGTTGTGCAACCGTTGCACAAGCCACAGAACAAGCAGGGTGCTCCAGCACACCAATCCGGCGCCCTCGGCACCGGAAAACATGCACGATGGGTTCAGATTCAACCGTTCCTGCCGCGCGACACGCTCGGGAAAGAGAAAACGATAGGGGTAGCTAAACCACTTCATCCTCGAGTCGTCGTGAATCAACTTCAAAACAGCACCGACCGCCCTTGATGCCCTTCCAGATCAAGAAAAATGTTTGAGGTGGGAATATAACGAAGTCATCATCATGCGTCTTAGGTAGCTACTCTCGACTACTGGCAAGACAAGATAGTAACAAACGGTGTGTCATGGAGACGGCCTCGAGACTATTATCCCTACGTGAGGGGACAAAAAACAGACCTGAACCGGAGTCTTCCTGAAATACAACCGAAGTAAGTACAATGCAATACAATAAATCTCGCACGAAGATGTACAGTGCAGACTCCCGCAAGGGCGTTGCGGTCGCAGTTGTTCGGCACGTTGAAACTCACGCAAGGTTTTTCAGCTAATAACTGCGAAGCGGTACGGGACAAGTAGTACTTTGAAAAATATCTGACGAGAACGAATAATTTAACTAATAAATGATCCTGAGCAACTCATGGCACAATATGCTCACGCAGATGTTTAATTATTTACAATTCGATACATTGTACAATGTTTGCAAATTCCGCACAACAGAAACGACCCTCTACTTGAAGTAGGAGATAAGGAAGATATAATTACAAAGTATAAAGGACCATCTCACGCCAAATGAGGGATACGGAAAACACCAACTGAGGGGCTGTCGGAGCAAGGGTCAACAAAAAACACATCAACGCGCGTCCTTGCGAACAATTCTGTTTGTGTGAATTTGTTGTAAACTCAGGGATCCGATATGAGGATGAGCAATTGAAATTGATCATAATTATCTACTTATTTAGTTTTAGTTGGTGATAGTTGTTATGCTAATGCTAGTGCCTGTGAAGAAGTAGAAGGTCATGCATTATTTACAATTTTTGGTTTCTGTCTAGTATTCTTCAGGGATGAAATTTCTATGAATTATTCATCCCTCACTCGACAGTTATCTCTTCAACAATCGGACGCGACACTACAGACCACGAAGCAACAAACACACGAGCTGCCACGAGGGACCCCCACACGGACACGAAAGGAAATGGCACAGATTTAGATCACAAAGTGGTAAGCGTGAGAAGGGAGCCGAGAAGTTACAAGCATGATGGAGGAGCATTCATCAACGATCTAGTCCTAGGGAAAGGGAATTTCGAGGGAGTATAATATTGTAAAGAGGAACAAACCTGTTCCCACTCGTCGGCCTCTCTGGAGTAGTAGGAGAGGAAGAAACTGGGAATCACTGACTCGCATAAAAAAGGTGAGAAGACATAA